AGATCGGAACTGAATTGTAATCGAACTTTTATTACGAGAATTGGCCTTCTGGTGTTCAACTATTGGTGCCGTACCAATTGTTTGTATGATATGCAAATATTTGTTTCGGAGTTTGGGTGGGAGTATGTATAATATGTATTCACAAAAAAAAAAGTATACGAGTACTCTATCAGTCAATCTAGCTTTCATAGTACAAGCTCTGCTTAGTTTGAAATTAGATGGCGTTGTGTGTTAGATGTCTGAAATATTTTTATTATTAATTCCTTCGTTACTTTTCACTTTATCTTAATTCTGGGGAATGGCACACACCACCGGGTGGGCAAGGCATTTGTGTCTCTTGAGTTATATACAGCAGTGCTATTCTCTAAGGCAACAGCCTTGCATACAGCGCTACCACAGCGTCGAACTTTAAACTAGGTGCAGGTGTCCATGGGCGGCGGTAGTTAATATCAGGTGACCCGTTGCTCGTTTAACCCCTATTTATTTATAAGGAAATTACTACCTCGGGTTCAATTCCCGGCTCGGACCAAATGTTTGTACGCTCTGCAAATATTTGTTTCGGAGGTTGGGTATTTTCTATTTATAATATGTATATATTCACAAACAAAACGTAAATTTATATAAGTATTCTATCAGTCAATCTAGCTTTCATAGTACAAGCTCTGATTAGTTTGAAACTCGATGGCGTCCGATATATTATTATTATTATTATAAAACATTTCACTCCCTGGGAAGGTTGGAAACTTTGGGAAAAGAGCAAGCGGATAGAGACGGTGATGATTATCTATACAAATAAATAAAATTGAAGTGTCTGTTTGTAATGTCAAGATAACAGTTTTTTTCATGCACACACGGTTATTTGCACGATACCTATGCCCAAAAACCAGTTCAAATATTTTTTGTCTGTCTGTTTGTTCAGGGTAATCCTCAAAACGGCTTTACTGATTTTGACAATATTTTTCTACCAGGTAGCTGTCAATATAGGGAGTAACTTAGGCTATTTTTCCTCTTAGAAATCCCTATAAAATTTTGACGATCCGGGAATCGACCCGAAACGAATCGAACGGCCTCATAGCCTGCAGTCGCGTACCGTAACGCAGCACGTTTCAAATTCCACGCGAACGAAGTCGCGTGTGCCTACCAGCTAGTTATATTATAACATCTTCTTATATATAAAATTCTCGTGTCACAATGTTCGTTCCCGTACTCCTCCGAAACGGCTTGACCGATTCTCATGAAATTTTGTGTGCACATCGGGTAGGTCTGAGAATCGGCCAACATCTATTTTTTATACCCCTAAATGAAAAGGGTGACCCAACCCTAATTGAAACGAAGCTCCTTATCGCGCGTTGTGAAAGGGGGCTAGACGGAAAAAAATCTCACGAAAAGTTGTAACGACACCTTTTATGTCACTTGTCAGTCACTCAGCGCCATCTATCGAATAGATAGGAAATCATTACTTTTCATCTCAGTAAAATTAAAATTTATGTTCTTAGGTTGAGCAAAAAATATTGTATTCGACATCATTTCTCAAGGAGATTTTACCAATGTATAAATTGTTTTAATTAGAAACCAACTGAAAAATATGTAGGTAATAGCCGCTTTCATAGATGGCGTTGTAATTAAAATCGTGTAGAATCAGTTTTACTCGATCGTCACAACTTCGTTCCTATCGGGTGTCCCACGAGACCACACGGCTTTTTTTTTTTTAAATTTCCTAGAAATAATGTATATGGCAAAACAACGTTTGCCGGGTCAGCTAGTAATTATATTAAGAAACAAGTTTGAATTTCATGTAGTTTTATTACAGTTATGTGAAGTATTTAGACCTACTGTTAGTTGCTCTTATCGTGTATAGATAAGTGTACATCTTAGCTAATAGCATCACTCAACTATATAAGTAGGTACCCCTACCTACTCCCGTAATGTTACGGGACTAACATTTGAATAACGCATGCACCACACATGTGTACTACATAAGAGAAGATTCATATTACACCGGGCCGGGCCCGGGGCGGACCGCGTACGTGGCCTTGATGGGCACGGATTTGATATCCATACAAATAAATAAATTTGAAGTGTCTGTTTGTAATGTCAAACTAATAGGTTTTTTTCATGCTCACACGGTTATTTGCACGATACCTATACCTAAAAACCAGTTTTTTTTTTTGTCTGTCTGTTTGTTGGTAATCTTCTAAACGGCTGGACCGATTTCGAAAATATTTTACTACCAGGTAGCCGTCTATATAAGGCGTAACTTAGGCTATTTTTTAACCGACTTCAAAAAGGAGGAGGTTGTCAATTCGGAAGTTCTTTTTTTTTATATACGTCATAGATGGACGGATTTTCATAATTCTTTTTTTGTTCGAAAAAGGTTTATTCCGAAATGGTCCCATTTAAATTTGATATACATCTGATAATGATTTTGGGAGACATTTGACATGATTTTTCGCGGACGAAGTCGCGGGTATCAGCTAGTATTACATACATTTTGTATGAAGCAATACCGTGCATTATCCGTCTCCGCTCCGGCCCCGCCGTTCTGTTCTGCCTAAATATTCGTATTTCAAGTATGAGAGTAATTAATAACAATGCAATTTTTTATCATACATATAATTTAAAACACATTTTCATAAAACTTTAGAGACCTAAATGTATAAGTATTTGTAAACCAGTTCTTTACGTAGGTATTTTTTAATTTGTTCTTAAATACATACATACATACTTTGAAAGCATGACCCGTTGGTAAGGTAGTTTGTTTGATGTTATTACTTTTTTAAAGTTTAGATGAATACTAAACTTTAAAAAGTGAATAAATATGGCTTAAAAAACTACAAAAATTGGTACTTTTTAAGCCATAATAGTTGCCTGTGTATGTGTATATGTGTGTGTGCACTGCATACGAATGTTTACAGAGATGGTACAATTTTGCCCACCTCACGCTGACCACGCATGTTCAGAAAAGGTTGAGGGCGTGTATACTGTCACTTTGAACCGGGTGCCACGGGTATTAAACTTCACATTGAATCAAAATACAATTCATCACGTGAGATCGATGCACGTGAGATGTCTTAATGACGCTTAAGCCGAAATACCTAACGTATTACTCAATAGCGTATACACCGGTCCATTGTCAGACAACTGTGATAAATCAGTCGTGAACTAATGTGGTCAGGCAATAATGAACAGTAACTTCATTTCAATACGGTCTAATTCAGATAATACATTTTCAAGTGAGGGGTGGTCTGGCATAGAACCTCCGTTCGAAACCATAATCCTGTGTATAAGCTATTTGAAACAAATTCATTTTTATAAGTTCTGATTAACGATGATAAGGCAAGACGTGTTATGAGTAACTTTAAACTAAGGAGAGAAGCTTTTTTTGTGTCATCAGTCATCACAACACATCACATCAACAGCCTTTAATAGTCCACTGCTGGACATAGGCCTCTCCTCAGAAAGGAGGTCTTGGCCTACTATACCACGCTGGCCAGATGGGTTGGTATAGAGTTTGTGTCAAGTTTCCCTTTTCTTTGCAGTGCTGTTTTCCTGCGTAGTTTGCTCCCTTAGCTGGCTCTTACGACACCCACGGGATGAATAGGGGTGGTGACACTCCGCACTCTTAATCCGTCACCAAATTTTTTGTGCAGTCATCATGAAATTTCATTACTTTCTTAACGTACGGCATAAACTCAGACAAGAAGCGGGTCTTTTGGTGTAGTCAGGACTCCACGACAAGCTGAAATTTTTGACAACCTTTTTGAAACCGTATGCTAACTAGACCCCGTCAGAGCGCATCATCACCTCCATGAAATTTTCGTCCTGTGGTTATATTCGACGGTTCGTGCTATATCTTTAGGGTCCAATATATTAGTAGTATTAACCAGTCCAACAGAGTATCCACATATATATTCCGTCATAGCGTTTATGCAACGATTTTAATGACTACAAAATACGTAGGTATATCTACTTAATATTCAAAATTCATTAACCTTTTTAACACAACAATGACAGCCACTTATTGATAGGTAAGTTACTTTTATTTCGAGTAACGGTTATTTCGAATTAATCCAAACATCATGACTACGTATGATTTTATGTGCATTTTTAGAAATTGAAATATTTACAATCTAATACAATAATCTCCTACTGTTGGTTCAATACTGTTCAGAAGACAGAGATTAAAAAAGTACGACTATCGCTGTTGTCCTTTTCTAAGACTGATTGGCACAGCTCTATGATACAGGCACAGGACGATAGAGTGGGGTAATCTTACTAAACGGCTGTGGAATGTAATGCCCGAAACTATCCAAGAAGTACACTCACTAATTGTTTTTCAGAAACTCCTTTAGGATCATTACTTATCTCTATAATACGTACAAATGCTATATAGGTACGTATCTATGTATGTATCTATCATTTAGGACAACTATTATTTAACAAAATATTACTAAAACTATTACGTGTATGTATTATTTAATACAAGATGTGTGTTTTTACTTTTAATTTTTTAGTTGTCGCACCTGATTTACCTAAGTGGTACTGTACAGTATAGTCCACATCTGGGTTGTCTGAAAGAGATCGTAGGTAGATTGCGATAAGACCTTACAAAATGTTTCCATATTTTACAATATTTTTCGTTGTGCAATAATGGGTAGGTGTCTATCTTGTTTGAAGCCAACAACGCTCATCTAAGAGAACCCATAGAAACTGGGTAGGTATTTTATTTAATTTTAATTTATTTTTCTTTTTGTTTTATACCGATTTTAAGTCTATTTCGGGAACTTATTTAGGTATAAGGTATCTACCAACAGGATACATCAACTTTGCCCAAGTTGCTCACGATTGGTCTTAAATTATATATTTATAGTTCAATAAATATATTTAAATAGTTCTAGCAAGGAGAAGTATGAATAATAGTCCTATAAACATAATCTTATGTGATGAAAGACTCTGTTGAGAGCTTCATAGAGTTGTAAACCTTAAAAAATCAGTCTCACCTTATCCAGGTATGGCCACACTCCCGTCAACACTATGCTGAACCCGAGTGACATCTGGAACATTGTGAAATATATAATATAGACACTGCGCCATCGTTCGCGATGTTCCTGTGCCGTTTCCAGCAGCGGCTGTACAATCTCAACCTCTGGCGGAGCTTCAGGAGCTTCATCCTGGTCTACTTGCTCCTTACGCACTCGTCCCGCTAATCCTTTTAGCCATTCCATTTCGATAACTACCACTAACACGTTTGGCTAAGCTCTAGGTGGTTATATACACATACTAAACTGTTTATAACAAAGAATCATTGCGATCCGGGTCGTACGAATTAAAAACTCATAGTAAACAAAGAAACACGCGTGCTATGGAATGTTGCGTAAACGCGAGCGTATCGTCCGCCGCCCGCGCCTCGCACACCGCAACTGGCGACTTGTATTTATTTCGTTCGTTGGCATCGTTTATTATAATCTCGAGGTTTCGTCACCAAGCTGATAGCGTTCATTATTGTCACATAAATTTGTAACAAAGACGTACCTATAATTTATTGGTAAGCATGTACGTTAGCCGCGTTAAACTATGTAAACATACACTAGTAAGCAGTTAATATCGCGTTGAAATTTTAATTGAATCATATCTTCCCTTCATTATATTAATGTTATTGTCAATCTACCGGCCCAAACCACTTCATCATAGCAAAAAAACGATTAATAAATTACCTATGTATTTATAGCAACTTCTTTAGTTGATAGAGAAACCTAATAGTTAGGTACTTACACTATCACATTTTGTTCAAGTTCAACTGTCTTGTAGCGAGAAGTAGAGAAGAAACCCTTATTTTTCATTTCCTTTAGAAGTATTGCAGGAAATTAATTATTACTTTTAACAATAATAAAATCAATTATCAATCTTAAGAATGTAATTTTTCTGCAAATTTGAATTGGACCAAACGGGCAGTACCTACCCATCTATACCGTCTTAAATTAAAAAAAAAGTGTTCCAAATCGGTTCGTTTGCAGTCGTTCTGAGGTTACAGCCAAATAAAAAAGGTAACCAAAAAAACACAATAAATACCTACAATAACAATTTATTATGATGTAGGCGCCATAAAGTCCTTGACACTTTTAAAGTTTGTTCTTTTAAATTCGGTTAATGACAATAATTACTAAGCCAGATGTCGTGGGTTCAATTCCCACCCAGGACAAATAATTGTGTAATGAGCACGATCATTTGTTCTGTCACTGGAAGTAAGTTATCTATAGTATGTACCTATATGTTTGTTATGTGACAGATTAAGAATATGGAGTGTCACCGGCTCGGCGCCTCTATTCGTCTGGTTACCACATCACAGGCTCTGTCTAGTTTAGGATCAGACACTTTTAAAAGACCGTGTATGAGATCTCATCAACAGCCTATAATAGTCCACTGCTGGACATAGGCCTCTCCTTAGAAAGGAGGTTTTGGCCTACTATACCACGCTGGCTAGACGGGTTGGTATAGGGTTTGTTTCAAGTTTTCCTTCTCTTTGCAGTGCTGTTGTCCTGCTTAGTTTGCTCCCTTAGTCGGCTCTTACGACACCCACGGGATGAATTGGGGTGGTGACAAATTGGTATGAGATCTATGAAGTTGTTATTATTAAATCCTTTTATCGTGATTAAATCGTCGTAAAATACCAATTAAAATAGGCTACCAAGATACAGAGCTAGGTTTACGACTAAGTTCAATGTTATATCTAAACAACTCTATGTTTATAGACAAAGCACATTTAAGTAGTAACTAAATACGTACCACAAATTCTATAAGCTATGTTTACAAACCTTTGCACTATTAGTCATGGACAGTCACGGTAGTAGCTACTAAACAAAATGAATAGACGTCCTTCAAGTTATAATAATAATATTGTTTTCGTCAAACTACGCACGTCCTGGTTTCATATTCTAGAACACAATTCTCTAGATCTACTTAGTATAACCTGTTCTTTTGGGTTTTATCTTGTCAAGTATAGCAAAGTTTGTCAGTTTGTATGTTCAGGGTAATCTCCGTTCGCGAAGGAGACGGCGGAGCGGGACCGGGAGAGGTTTAGGACTCTCCCGGCTAGCCAGGCCCGGGAACGGGCTAGGTACCGCAGGCGACTCAGGCGCCGGAGGTCACAGAACGACCTCCGTCCTCCATAAGCGCAGGCCTGGGGGTGACAGGTGAGGCCATCTGTCACCCTAGCAGAAGCAGGCCGGGGTGGCGGCGAGCGCGTTGCGCTCTCTTGCAGGGAGCAAAGGGAACATGGGGTTCCCACACGGGGGGGGTCGTCTACCTATTGTTGTAGATGGCACGAGGTATGTCGGGGCACCAGGGACATCCTTTCTAGGGTATACCTGGTTCCCCGGCTATTAGTACCGGGTTTTAGTCGGTTCGAGTCCGACATGCCACCGACAGGTGGTATCCGAGGAGATTTCCGCACGGAAAAAAAAAAGGGTAATCTCCGTAGTGGTTTAAGGTGAACGCTTAAACCACTCGCCGCTTTCTACTGCGCTGAGTGTTGTGGGACAACACTTTGTGTGATCCACAAATTGTTGTTCTCAGTCTGGGTGTTCTTTGTGTCCGTTTCATGTATGTTTGTAAAGTCCCCCGCGACACAGGATTTATTCCTAGTGCGGGAGTTGTCTTTTTAAGGCAAAAAAAAAGAAAAAATTATTCCTGAGTGCTATAAAATACTTTTTACCGCGATAATCGACACACACGTTGGCGGAGCTGCGGGCAAAAGCTGGTTTAGAATAATTAGATTATATTTTAACATATAAATATTACACAAAGATTAAAACACAGTACACACGTCAAACGGAAGGCCTGGCGAGTAATACAAAGTAAGTACCTGTGATTTTAATAAACGACTAGTAGAGACACCTCCATTCTAAGAAGAGGCCTATGTCCAGTAGTGGACTGTTAGAGACTGTTGATGATAATGATGATTACTAAAGAAATTGAAACTAATAATTGTTTTACAACCAAGAATAATCAATCGCAATCAACTATTTTTTTGTTAACTGTAATGTATTAACTGAACAGTGAACAGACAAAAGAAGAAAGGAAAAATTGTCAGCACGATCACACGATCGACACGCACACACACACACACACATAACTGTGTGTGCAGTGTGACACGACAGAGAAGATATATTTATTAAATTGACATTTGGTTGGTACAACGTTTGGCACATTTATTGAAATAACTTTTCTGACCGCGACACTGTTACCATTACCGACACCTCTTTTGAAGCGAAAACTTCTTTAGGCGAGGCGATTGGAAAATACAATTAAACTCTCTCTCTCTCTCTCTAATTAAACTCTTACCGTTACTAATCCAGTCATTATTCCATTAATCCAGTTATTTTTCTATCCTTATTTTTAATTGATGTACAGTGAAAATGATCGATATAGAGAAACACTGGGTACACCCAGTTTTTAGATCTGTGAAGGATTTTATCCGATCGGTCAAGTCGATTGGTGATTGAATATTTAAATAGTTTTTCACGACCCGAATTGATTCGAAGTTACCGCTGTGTTTTGTAAACTAAGACCGAAATTAATTACTTAACCGAAATAACACCGATCATAGAAACGGAAGTTTTATTGATTCAAGCACTAACTTTATTTGTGCAAAACCGGAATTCGTAACCTACCTACGAGAATGAAGTCGAATTTCATGCCTCCGCTGTTGCGCCGCGCCAGCAATAGACATAGACCGTTTTTTTTGTACGTTTGGTCCATAAATTGTCGTTATCAGTTTACTTTTAAATGGCTAATGTGTCTTTTCGTTGTACTGTATATATATTATGTTGCTTTCCACCGAGTGTGTAATACTCACTCTTAATAATAAATCCTTTGTTAAAAAAAACTTGAACCGACTTCAAACAATAGGGGAAGGTGTTGTACCTATAAACGGTTTTACCTGTGGACATCATTGATATTTCAAAAAATAAACACAGAAATTTAACGAATTGAATGCATCCGTAAAGTATTTTAGATGTGTGGCAACATTGACTTGCTGCCATTTTGTATCTTTTGTTGTGTGACCGGTGACAGACCGTTAAGGGTTTTCGCTCAAAAAAGTAAGTATTTGTCTCTTTTTCGTCCTATTTTTTTGTGAACATATGAAGAATATAGATGATTATTTTTAGTCATACTGTAGTACATGTAGTTAAACATCCATTTACATCGGTATAACGGTGTAAACTAGTACCTATCATGCCGGTAATACATTTTTAGGTTGTATTGTCTGATTTGTACCTGTGGACATCGAAGTGTATGTACCTATGGACTGTCCACACGTACAATTTTTTTTTCATTTTTCAGTGCCTCGACGGAAAAACGCGCCGTAGGTTGTGTTCAGAGACGTTATCGGAGGCAATTAAAGAGGCAATTAGTGGATGTTCATTGCGAAAAGTTGCAGAAAAATATAAAATACCAAAATCTAAGATATTTAAATACCTTCACATGAATAAGGAGAATGATCTGAGCGAGAACAGGGTAGTTATTTTGAGAAATGACGTGAAGAAAGTATTTGATGAGGAAAAAGAAAAACAGCTTGCAGAATATTTAGATAAAAATAAAAATTCAATCTGCAGAAAAAAGGGTCACAATTCTTCAAGATGACCAGTTACCCTATGCCATGTGTATGGGATGTAAAAGACATGAAAATGTTTACAAACTGCTCAATTGCGATTTGAAATATCACCAGAAATGTGGATCAAGATCACATTTAGATAATTTTGAATCAGATGATGAGCCAGACTTCTTATATCAAAAGTGTTATATTTTAGATGATGGTGATTCAGATGCCTCTGATGATTCTGCCTTAGAACTATATCAAAATTATTTAGATGCCAAAACCAAAAAGAATAATTGATTCTTTAATGTTAAAGTTGATTTATAAAGATATTCTATTTATTTTTGCTGATTTTTATAGGATTATTATGTAAGGATAAGTGATCTGTCCATAGGTACATTGCCGTCCATAGGTACAAGTATTTCTGTCCAGAGGTACAATCATAAGATGTACCTGTGGACAAATTTAGTGATTTAAAAAAAACTGGCTTATTTTAATCAACATAATTCGTACAAAACTAAAGACTGCTAATTTTTAAGTGTTAACTAATCCTGGAACAACATTTGTAATACTTTACGGCTAATTAATAAAAATTAAATTATAAAACCATATTTTCATTCAAAATCCGGCAAATGTCCACAGGTATAACACCTTCCCCTACTAACACAAAAAAGAGCACTAAAAATCTAGCAGCAATCGCAGTTGATTTGCTGTCATTTTTTTGAGACTGTCATTAGTTTTTTCATTGTGAAGTCCTTTCGAAAATTGTGTCGCTATCAAAATGGATTTAACCGGTGAACACTTTCGTTCAATGATTTTTTATGTGCTCGACTATATAGAGACTTCAATTGGAATTTGGTGATGAAGCACCATGTCAGAGCTCTGTGTATTTGTGGTTTGGAGAATTTAGACGTGGACGTGACGCTTAACCTTGTCACCGCAATAATGTGTAGATGAACACCACTTACAGAAATTCACACCATTCGTGATTCAGTTGCGCGGCGCGTCGTATGTCAATTAATATTGTTAAAATAGTGAACTCCAGCATAAAGTAGAGAAAGAAAAGGCATAACATTTTATAGGTAAGTTGATTTTTTACTAATAAATCATTGTTATTACTAATTTACATCTTGATGAATTCTTTAATAAGATATTTGCTTCATTTATTACTTTCTGTTTTGTACAATTACCATTGCTGCTTTTGTTCTTATTGCATGCGATGTTGACAAACTTGCAAGCAATGTGATGTGAAATATTAGATATAGTCATTGAACAATAGTACTCTGTGGATATAGTTCTGCGATTCGTATATTTATAATACGACAGCAGGCATCAATCGACGGTTAGTGATGAACCGTACCATTCATTTGAATGAAAGTACAGTTATATCGATGTTAGTATGAAGGGATATTTTTCGATATTCGAACGTAATAAAAGTACGTACTTACGTACGAGCCCTGAATCGGCGTTGAATGCGTTCCATAAAGCCATTAAAGAGGTCCCTAAGGAAGACTGGTCCAACTGCTTTGTACAGTGCTTTCAGCGAAATTCTTATAGGACAGCCAGAGTCACTTATAGACATCGAGTTGGAAGCTAGCGTCATATTATATTCAAACTATAACGTAAACTGTAAATACTTCTAAATATTTATAAAATTGTAGTTAACAAACTTGGCCTTCTCCGGGAAAGAATAATTATTTAAAAAATAATCTAGTCAATTAATTAGAGCATCGATTTAAAAATCGATGTTTTATCTACTAAAACGATTGACTGACACATAGTGGCAACCCTGTTCATTCAGTATTGATAAAAAAGCGAAGTGGTGGATGATCCCTGAATTTCAGATTTAAGTGTATTTCAAGAAAAAATATCCAGAAATTATGCTGATTACACGCCCTGTTGTGTCCAGGCTATTTCAGCAGACTGGTATGTACAGCTCAAATATATTTGAAAATTTAAACTTCGAAAATCGATGTTCATTTATTTAGTTTTTTCTCGCCGATTGTATTTGTTTTATTGTATGGTTAAATTTCAATCCGTCATTATACAATATTTTTCACAATACCTAATCGTGAATAGTATTTAACACGAAAGTACAAATTTTACTTGAAAAATGTTACATAACGTCAGTAGATAACCTAAAACTGACAATAAAGTATTTTCCATAGCTCTTGATGGAATCTGTATCTACTTATACGAGATTGTAATTGTACTGGAGATTATTTTACTAATTCTTTGAAAAATAATTGCGCTAAGTGATGTAGGTACATAAAATGTTGCATTAAGTCTATACATGAAACCTCTTATCAGTGATTAGAAGACTAACTAAAACTATAAAACAAAATATTATAGACACTAAAATATCTAATTATGTCAACAACTGCTAGGGTGCAAGTTATGTTGATTTTTTAAAATATTTTTATGAAGTAATTTTAATTATTTATGCTTTAATATTAACTGCTGCTGAGGTTTTTTAAACTGTAGTATGTTAACAAGAGTAATTACTGAAACCACTTTCAATACAATCATTTAGTTAAATAAAGACATTGCCAGACTAAGTAAATACTAGAAATGCATATGTATGGTGACAATGGTGACTAAAGTGGTATTTCCTTTGAAAAAACCCCTTAACTTGGATGCTAATGATGATATTAGCAATACAAACCATATAGTAAAAAAATTATTTATTATAGAAATGTTCACTACAAACATTTTGGATAAACTGTCTGTGTTGTCTGATCGAGCTGTTACCGGCTTAGTCAAGGTAGCTTGGATATGCCTCACTGTACAGTGCTAAAAGTAAAGCACTGTATAGTAAAGTGGTCTATCAAAGGTTAAGGATATAGGAAATTTATCTATCAGCACATGAAAAAAATTATTCACCTACCAAACAATTTTGCTTCAAATAACTGTATTTTGCTCATATTGTAGTGACCTAAAAACTTCTGACTTATAGTGTTAGTTAGAAAAAATTGTAAATTGCTCATATTGTAGTGTGACATAGACATGACATTAATGAAATGGACTATTGCAGTGCGCCGCTACCATGACAACCACTTCAAACCCCCCACCATGGATGAGCTGCCCGTCCCCCGTGGCTCGTGGCAGGCGCAACACGACGCCAACCAGCGCCGCTACAACACTGCACTGTTGCTAGGCGTTGTCTTTTCTGTTGGCACTCTTGTTGTTGTAAGTATAACGGATTATCTGGCATTTAGAATGACCAGTGCTGATATAAAATATTAATCTATTATATAAGGGCCTCCTTAAAGTATTTTTTTTTAAATGGTGCAGAGAACCATATAGAAAAGAGACTAGTAACTCATCTTCAAACATTTGAAGCCATAGCTTGCCAAAGACAGTGCCCTCCTGCTACCGAAGCAAATTTTACTTATATATTGAAAGACTTATAGCACTTCCAGATAAGTCTATAAGTCCATGGAACTCTAGTTACCTAATTACCAGCAGTAAAACGGTACTTTACTAGTGGTTAATCTCAATTTTTTTTGTAGAGTTCAAGATTTTATGTGTAGGTGGAAATGTATCTGTAATATACATAACATGACACCATTTATTTCAATTGTCGGCTATAAATGAGTGGACTGGTAAACAAACAGGACAGCCTAAAAACTTTTTGCTGCTACCTTACGAAAACTTCAGAAATATCACTAACAATAATAATAGTTTAAAAAACTAAAAAACTTTTTTAGTTTTATTAAACTTTTTTTTTTAATCTTATTTTATTTTTTATTTTAAATTAGTGTATTGTCATTGGTCCTCGATATATCTACAAAGTTTGCATGAATTCTGACCGTTTAAAGTCAGTCAAAATCACACCTGAAGCTAATAAAAAGCATATTGTGTTACCAGTTTTTTAACAAGCAAATTGCTGCAATGTGAATGGATTTCCTACTCTGCATTAAAATTGATATATCTATCTATCCGAACGAAAACAGTACACTAATCATTTTTATTTAATAATCTTTTTTGTTGCAGGCCAAGGCTTCAGGATTAGTTTACCTTAACTACTATCCACCCAAGTCCCTGGACTAAGCGCTGCTGTGAATAGACAACACCATTCAACTTTTATGGAATACGACTATAAGTGATATATAGCTAGAAGCCACTACGAATGTACTAGTTTATATTTTACAAAAGCTGGATGGATAATAATAAGATAAACAATAGTTAAATTAACCAATAAATAGTGGTTTTTTTTCCTATTTGGACTATATTACACAAAGAATATCATAAACGTGGACACAGACAAATGATCTTACCCATTAGAATCAGAATGCTGAATCAGAATGTGAGATGTTACAGTACGAAAAAGGTGTTTGTTTTGCCATACACGGCATGCAGATATTTTTAATTAAAAATACCTAGCGGAATTCTTTACCAATATAGTGTGAAACAAAAACATGAGAAATAATTTAGGCATTGAAGATAATTTAAACAATAATCATAAACAATAACACGTCAAAATAATAGTTGATCATCATCATAATAATAAAATTGTTAGATAAATGGCATGGAATTTGGCAGTTCTATAATCTCGACAAAAGGCTTGTGTCCACTAATAAATTGCTTGGTTTATAGTTTCAAATTATAAATGAAGAGACATAGATAAGAAAAAACGAGTCTATTTCTCATAAAAATTAAAGATTATTAATATTTTTTTAAATAAATTTGAACAAAATTGGCATTAAGTCACGTGACAGCGAATACCAATCAGAAAGATTATGATCAATGATGTTTTGCGTGACGTAACACGCCACGCAAAACATTGTTGTTGTTGACGTTTTCATACAACAGAATAGGTTACTCCTTATTGTTTTTCGTTTTTAGCATATTTTCTCACCTTAATACAGTTACAGTTGACACTGGACACAAGTAAACAGTTTTGTTTCGCAGTCTGTGACGTCATTGAAGACGCCATGACTCTATTCAGCGTTTTCAAGGGAAATTTAAATTGTTTTTTTAAAAACAAATACGTAATGTAAATATTGCTTTTTCTTTAAAATATAAGTTTTTTAGGATAAAATAGATATTAAAGTATATAATTAACCAAGTTTTCAAATTGAGTCAACCAGCCTATTATCTATATTCGAGTGTCAATATTTTACAAATATTAATAGTACACAGTGAGTCTAAACTTTTAAAATGGCAATGGAACACAAAACAGATCAATATTTATTTTTCGAAAGGAGTAACTATAGAATTGTCCAAAAATTATTGCCAAGAGTAGTCGCATTTGTCTGAAAGTATGTTACGTAGCTTCTTTTTTAATAGGTCCAGATTAAAATTTTTTAGTGTCTCAGGGAACTTATGAAATATATACAGAAAAATAATTTAAACAATAATCATAAATAATAAAACGTCAAAATAATAGTTGATCATAATCATAATAATGACTAAAAAAAAGTTTTATTCAGCAGAGATGTTTTTCCAACATTTCGATTTTTCGCTTGTTTTTGACCTTTAATTTCCTGTAATTTCTTTTAAAAGCTATTTTGTATAGAGACGTGTTTCTCTTTACGAATACGGAGACCTCATAAATATATAAAAATGGTAGGGTAAGTATTTTTAAGCTTTTAAAACAAGGTTGACAGCTGTCTGAACTGTACAGGCCACACATAGCCCTGACACACCGTTTTTGAGCCCTAAAGACGAATTCCCTATTCACTGAGTTACCCCAATATATGATACCATATCTACCGGGCGGCGGAGGCGCGCTTATCACCGCCTCATGCCGCCCTGAGTGTGGCCGCGGGTGGACGGGACGGGTTTTCACCTCTAGACCGCCATAACGGCCAGCCGCGAGGAGCTCAATGGAGAATGTACCCGAAGGTGGTGCCCGCGGCGTTGCATGCAGGCGCTAGGAGGGGTCCGGATAATAGCAGTTCCCGGATCTCTCCTATCACTGGCGCAGAGTGGCACACCGTGTGGTTGTAGTCGGTCCGTTTCCGACACACCACCCCGCCGTAAACCCCGGTGGGGTGACGGTCCGAGGGGGTTTCCACGCGTAAAAAAAAATGATACCATACCTAAGCGTTGATACGACACAGTCATGGTAAGCCTTTAGATCTGATTCTAGACTTAAAAATAAAAATCTTAAATATCACACAGTTCTTTGTCCTGTGTGGGATTAGAACTCTCTAACTTTGTCTCAGTAACATCATCACTAACCAGTGGTCTGGTGCCCACCACTTGATTTAGTTTCATACTAACAGACCACTGAATCCATTCACCTAGTGGAGTTAGGAATATGAGTAGGAATAAATCAATCACCTAGACGACCGGCTGAATAAATTGTTTATTTTGGTTAATTAGTTAATTGTTTGGATCGATTCCCGGGTAGGACCAAATGTTTGTATGATCTGAAAATTTTCGAAGTTTAGGTGTTTTCTATATATAATATGTATTTACAAAAAAGACTATATAAGTAATCTATCAGTCAATCTAGCTTTCATAGTACAAGCTCTGCTTAGATTGAAACGAGATGGCTGTGTGTGCCAGATGTCCGTTACATCTCTCCCATCCACCCATCCAGTTGTCCGATATCCTCGTTCTTATCTATTTCTAAGATATATGGTTATGACTTAGACGTAAACAAAAAATCAAGCTGTCAAACTCACTCTCTTTATTTCATAAAAAAAATAAAATTATTTGAAATCGTCTTTTATGTAGACTCTAAAGTCATAGATCAACACACACAAAATCAACAATCTCTGTTTTGTCAAATAGTCTTTCCACGCCGACCAACTGAGCCGAGATGGTCGGTTAGTTCAAATAGACTGACCACTGAAACTAAAAATCTAAACTAACCACCCAGGTGAACAGGAGTATTGATAGGAATAAAATTGATATTCCTAACTGACCAACTAAGGTGGATAAATTGAGTAGTCCGTTGGCAACAAAGGCTTGATTTTACAAAAATTCAAGAATAAACTATTCTGTTCTGTTTAAATGTGTGTTGAAATAAAATCAACAGTTTATATGTAAATATTTAATAAAATAATGTATCATCATAACAGGCTTATAAGAATTAAATTACTTTATACACAATAATAAATATTTATACTATTAATTGTAACTTAGGAAACTAGTAATAATTATGTTCAATTTGTTTACTTCGAGTAGGAATGTATATCGACATTTAGGCCCCGTCCGCACAGCGATATTTTACCGCCAGTATTTTTTTTTTGCGTAATTCTGTGACACATAGGATCTATACAGGACTATCCGCAATGGCGGAAAGAAAAACTGATTTGATACAAAATGAACGCGATACGGTGGCGATTTATTTACACAGAATTTTGTGAGAACAGAGAGAAAGTGGGCAGCGCGCTTGTGATTCCTGAGTTGTAGGCGTTCATGAGCGATGGTTGTCACTTTCCATCAGGTGACCCGTCTGCTCGTTTGCCAATATATCATTAAAACAAATACTAGCTCGAAACGAACTCTCTTATTTAATGCTTACATAGTTATATTACGAATGGGGCTAAAGATCCAAAGTAAACGTGGCATAAAAGACCTGCTCGTCTGCCCCCTTCTAACATTAAAAAAGATTACCAGTTTATTAGTCCAACAAGGGATAGCCTGGAGGACCGTTTCCCTTGATTGAAAATTTGTTGCTCGACAAATTGCAATGTTTTAAAATTACGTTACTTTTGTTCTGAGAGTGTTAGTTAAAACCTGGGTTATTCAGGCATCCCACAGTAAACAGTGGTTAGTGCTCCCGCGCAATGTCGGAGAAGGCGTCGAGGATGTGCTGCGTGGTGAGCGGGAGCGACAGCCCCGCCGCCGGGTAGCACGACGCGATGCGAGCCTGCGTACATGCAAACATTTTATTTCATACCATACCATTTACATCATAATAATAACTTCACACATCCCCCACTGGACTACTTATCCCAAACTAGGCAGAGCCTGTGCTATGGTAACCAGACTGTTCATAGACATACATATTACGACGACCCCTAATAAAATAGACCTCCGAAAAAAATCTTCTATAATATCTAATTATCAATAAACAGGACACCATGTTATGCAGCAGAAAAAATGTCGGGATCAGCACGGAAAATTGTGGGTTACCAATATATAATAGCGAACTATAGTCCATTCGTATTAAGAAAATAGTGACGCATCGATCAAGCCCCGGACCCTGACCAATCAGGTTTCACGCTTTCGTACGAAGCGATTATTTTTTTTGGTTAGAGGCGGGGCTTGCTCTATGCGTCACTATTTTCTTAACACGAATGACCTATAATTTTTTTACAGCATATGCCAGATCCAATATATCTTAACTGTAAATATACTTAACTCTAAAAAAAATATTGCTGACGAGTAAAAAGTTAACTCAGTATATTAAGCCAGATCTTATTTTCCAGTACCTGTAAAGCCACGTGTTGAGCGATAAATTCTTCCTGCATAGCGCGCCACACCACTTGCAGCAGCCCCCCCTCCTCGCTCAGGTGCTTCTCCACCGTACGGTAGAGACGGTGCAAAGATTTGCGAACTGCATTAATACAAATTTAACAATTTAAAAAAATATTACTTATTTGGATACTGTCATTTGAATACGTCAACTTCATTGTAATTTAAAGAATAGACTTTAATAAGAGAACTGGACTAAGAAGTACTGAGTTTTACTGTTTACCTTACTCTATCGTCACGACTTCTCACAGTAATCTAAGTAAACCAATCTAAGTCTAAATACGAGCAAGATTTTAATAGTTTTATTTCGATAGAGTTAATCAGGGTAACTTTAGCAGTTTTCAAAATTAATATATTCAAATTTTATAAGCCATCAAGCTATATTTATGTTCTGAGATCGTAAAGAATACAAATGAAAAATATTCTGAACCTATTTATAGAATCTATTTTAGAAAATTGTAAAAAATGAAATGGCAAATGGCGGTGAGGATCATTAACTACTCCAGACTAACACAAATTCTTAAAATTTTAAGAATCTTGATAGATCACATCCGCCAAAGTCGCCCAGAATGTCAAAGTCACCCTAGTTAACGGCGAGACAGCTACAAGTTACAATCGAATCGATGGCTGAAGTGTAAAAAGTGTGGAGAGTGACCTTCGTGCGCGGGGTACATGGCGAGCACGCGGCGCAGCTCGTGCTTGCTGAAGGCGGCGCGGTAGCACACCTCGTCCTCGCGCACGCCCTGCGCCACGGCCTCGGCCACGCCCTCGAAGAACTGCGTGAGCTTCTCCAGCGGCCGCCCGAAGTACTGCGTCACGTACGAGCGCAGCGCGTCCGAGTAGCGCGCCTTGCACTCGCGCCGCAGCGCCTCCAGCGCGCCCACGCGCAGCGAGCACAGCGCCGCGTGCAGCCTGCGCGACATACAACGTTCCCGTACTCGGATCTCACATTTATTGAACCTTACTATGTTTTTTTTGACATAATCTTTTCTAAATCAATAATTATAAAAATTGACATACGAGTGAAAAATAAGGTTTGTTTTATAATGCAATAAAAATAACAACTAATAATTGTACAATTTTCTAGAAAAATCAGTTGCTTCATTTTACTTTGAGCGCCTATCAAACAAACACGGAATAATTTAAAATCTAAAATACATATAATTTTTTCTTGAATGTAGTATTTAGACAATATAGTATCCAAATATGTTAAAAACTGACTTTCGTATTATTTTCAAAACCAACATTACGATCATGACGATTTATTCCTTTTAAGGAACATATTATGAAGTTGCGCGGGTCAACTAGTTAGTGATATCTTTACAAAGTATAAAATAAAGTCGCTTTCTGGTGTTGTAAGCGCAGATCTTTTAAACTTGACAACGGATTTTAATGCGGTTTTCACCAATAGAGAGAGTGATTCAAGAGGGAGGTTTATATAGAAAATATATACATATTATAGCGGAAAAATCCGAGAATTTCAAAGATTTTTTGTAAAAAACATGTTTTTGTGCGCTTACATTGCAAACGCTAGCCTTATACCTTACGAGATAGACCAAAATTATGTACTACGGCATTGTATATCTTAAAAGATCTGCAAAAATGTCCGCGATGGTATATGTCTATCTCCTATGGATAGCCCACAGTAACCATTTTTATCTTTAATATTACAAAAAAATGATGGGTTATTTACAAAGCTATTTTAAACAAAACATTATTATGCCTTATCACGTTAGCTACGTTGTTTATTTAATGTACATTAAAATTGTTCTTTACAGCATATCATTAAAATGAATATTTTAGAAGATATTAGAGATTTAAAATATGGGGGCCCAACGACCACGCCGTACGTCCGTCCCAGGTGGCAGCAGCCGTCAGGATCGAAGCGGGGTTATAAATATTGCATTTAAAGATGTCCTGTAGTATAGTCCTATCATAATAACAGTATAATTAATAACTCTACACTGACACCACCTTAGTAGTATTATTAGTTTCTACATTGCACCCGTGCGAAGCCGAGGTGGATCGCTATAACCCGGCAATCTCGTGCGCGACCGTCCCGCGGGGTGACAGACAGTGGCGGGGGCGAGGTAGCGCGTCATTCTAGTACACAGCTACACGGGTTTCCCTTCCCCGCTACACCACCCACTACCCGCTGACATCTTGAGTACCTCGTCCCCGCCACCGTCTGTCACCCCGCAGGACGGTCGCGCACGACGTTGATGGACTATAGTATACTATATAAAAAACCGAAAATAAAAAAAAATATTAGGTATACCCAATTATAATAATGATAATAAATTACTTAAAAAAATTTTGTGTGGAAAATTCACGATTATATAATCAAAGTTATTGAACAAATGAACGTAAACGCACTTCAAAGTATGGTATAACCTACCTGTGATAGTTCTCCAAGTGCACGACAGCTCGAGGCGTACGGGGGTGTGTGGCGTGCTGTATCGCCTGCATCATGGCGCCCGCCAGCGACACGTACCTGCGTAATGTAACCGTGATTTATTCATTAATACCGACAAAAAATAACGTTAACAATTTATCCATTAAAATACAGAAAGATTAGAATAAAATCATCAAAATAAACGGAATACTATTTTGACACGAGATTGAATTTTTTCAAATTGTTTTACTGCCAATTTTATTCTGTCTTTCTGTCCTAGATTTTTGCGTCAGTTTAGATATCTGATGATGATGTTCGATAGAGGACTTATTGAAGAAGGCTATGTAGCATTACGTTTCGACCGTTAGGAGCAGAGTAGTAACTATAAACGAGAAACTGTGAGGGGCGGCATACTACCCACTTAAATCGTTAGGCATAAGGCACGTGTCCATATCAACAGCCTTTAGTAATCCACTGCTGGACATAGGCCTCTCCTTAGAAAGGAGGTTTTGGACTACTATACCACGGTTACCAGACGGGTTGGTATAGGGTTTGTTTCAAGTTTTCCTTCTCTTTGCAGTGCTGTTGTCCTGCGTAGTTTGCTCCCTTAGTAGGCTCTTACGACACCCACGGGATGAATAGATGTGGTGACACTCCGTATTCTTAATCCGTCACCACATGGACTGCCTGTGGGCATGGGGTAATATAACGATTATATAATTTAATATATGTATATGAAGTGAATATACCATCGGTCGAGGTCGGCGCGTCGTCCGCTGGCTGCGAATATGGCTTCACACGCACTCGACAACTGTTCCAGTTCCGATACGAAGCTCAGAATGCCACATTTTGGTTTTTTAGCTGCCTGCGAGAAGAATATTTTATAACAACACCAATCATAATATATAATAAGTAATTCTCAATTTATTCTTTTGTACACAAAAAAAAGATTTACAAATAATTCACAAGCCGAGGTTAAATGTTGATTCCGATGATGAATGACATTGATAAAATTCAATGTTAAAATCTTATAGATGATTCAAAAATATGAAAATGAGATCTGATGCCGCCATTTTTGACATTACATGGTATTGTACCAGTATAATAATAGAATTGGCAATTACTAGATAGTATCTCTTACTCTAACGCTCTCGGCTGTGGTGACCATCGTTACAAAAGACCAAAGTGAAGTGAGAATCCAGAACCTGTTTGACAGCATCGGGCAGTGCACTGAGCCGCTCGGCCACGGCGCGGTCGGCGCCTCGCTTGGCGGCCACGGCCACCCCCGCGAGGGCCGCTCGCGCCCACCGCGCCTCGCCCCCGGGGGTGCCCAGCGCCGCCCCCGCACCGCCCCCGGGGGTGCCCAGCGCCGCCCCCGCGCCACTCCCGCACAGCACGCGCCGCCCCACACACGCCAGGGCACGCATGGCCCCGCTGTATTGCCACATACGATCATTTTACATTTCTTTATATTATGGCTAGAAATTTCTACAATATATATACTTATATACAATGTGGAACTACTTATATACACTATTTCGGGATTCGCTACGATGTCCCCATCGTATCGAATCCTGAAATAGTGTATTCAGGCCATGATTCTGAGTCGAAAATTTATGGGAATTTTCTGCCGGAAAATTCATCTTTTCTTTTTTAATTTTTTTGATTAAAAATGATGAAAAGTTATATCACAATGAGTAGACAGAACATTTTACCGAAAACAATTTTATAAATCCCAAAAAACTGCAATGTAATTAACCAAACAGCCGAAGCACGCGGGGCCTCGTCTCCGGCCGCCATTTTGTGTTAGTGTGTAGACTGTTTACACGGAATACATGTGTAGTTATTACTTTAGTGCGATACCTACCTTGAATGACCTTAACCTTTGACAGCTGATTGCATAAAAAGTTAAATTTTCCGGCAGTAAATTCCAAAGATTTTCGACTTAGAATGAACGTCCGAATACACTATTTCAGTATTCGTTACGACGTCCCTTACACCGTGTATATATTATGTGTATTAATTAGACATGTAAATTTGAGTTTGAGTTGGAATCACAGGTGAGAGATTATATGATCTATAAATCATATGATTTATCACAGGTCATTGTGATTTTAAACCATTCCTAGTATTTTATTTATTATATTATATTTTAACACCTACATTTAAAAAATCTTTGTACCAAGGAGGCATGTCATATTTAGGGAGTAAACCCATCTAGCCAGCGTGGTATAATACGAGTATACGAAAACCTCCTTGTCTCGTCCGTTTGGTGACGGATTAATATAATAATAATAATATTCTACCACATTCACACAACGCCATCTAGTCCCAAACTAAGCAGAGCTTGTACTATGGGTACCAGACAACTGATATAAATACATATATACTTTTTTTTTGTAAATACATACTTATTATACATAGAAACACCCAGACCAAATCAAACATTAAATGTTCATGCACACAAATGTTTGACTTGAGCGGGAATCGAACCCGCGACCTTTGGAATAGCAGTCCGTTACACAAACCACTACCCCATCCGGTCGTCAATTAAGAATACGGAGTGTCAAATCATCCCTATATTTCGTGAAATCATCCCTATATTTTGATTTATGATTTTATAAAAGTCTATGGAAGTTTCAAGTTATACAAGTCAATGAAACAAATCAAGACCTTCAAAATGCTTGAAATTCGACAGAGGGGAGATCTCCAATATATTTGATGACCAGTTTCAAACTAAGCAAAGCTTGTACTATGAAAGCTAGATTGACTGTAATTTATACTATTTTTTTTACAAATGAATATAAGGGTACGCGACACCAGTCTCTTCGAACTATCGCAGTCTTTAGTTACGTTTCTAAACTAAAACTTAGTATATCGTTTGGTCTACCATCTTCACCTCATGTGTTTTGTTAACCAATAGCATTTTTGATTTTTTGTTAGCTCTAAACAATTATATTCCCAAAAATGATTAAGGTCAGGTATGTGCGCATTTACAAAATGAACCAGCTAAAATGCTTTGCAATATTATACACTGCACCAACGATGATGATGAAAGTAATAATAATAAAAATAATATTTTTGGACAACTGTCAACGCCATCTAGTTTCAAACTAAGCAGAGCTTGTACTATAACTAAATTGATTGATAGAATATTTATAAACTTTTTTTTGTAAATACATACATATTATACATAGAAAACGTTCAAACTCCGAAACAAATATTCACAAAACAGTGGAATCGAATGTTTTCTATGTATATGTATGTATTTACAAAGAAAAAGTACGAGTATTTATGTATTCTATCAGTCGATCAAGCTTTCATAGTACAAGCTCTGCTTAGTTTGAAAGTAGATGGAGTTGTGTATTAGATGTCCGAAATATAATAATTATTATTTAAAAATTCGCAGATCATACAAAGATTTGGTCCGACCCGGGGGCCTGAGCTCAGCAGTCGCATACGCAACCAGTGCATCACCAATGCCGCAATGCGATCTCCGTATGTGTCCGTGTGGTGACGGATTAAGAATACAGATTGTCACCACCCCTATTTATCCCGTGGGTGTCGTAAGAGTCGACTAAGGGGAATAACTACGCAGAACAACAACACCGCAGAGAGAAGGAAAACTCAACACAAACCCTATAACGACCCGTCTGGCCAGCGCGGTATAGTAGGCCAAAACCTCCTTTCTAAGGAGAGGCTTATGTCCAGCGGTGGACTATTAAAGGCTATCGACGATTGAATCTCCGTATATATCGTGGAGACGACTCACTAGGGCCCCTGGCGCTCCTGGTGCGCGACGAGCGCGACGAGGTCGGGCTCGAGCGCGGGGAACAGCTCGGCCATGAAGCGACGCGTGTCGGCGCCCGCGCGCACGCGCCCCGCCTCGCCCTCACTGCGCTCGCTCCGCTCTCCGTCGCTACCCTCGCCCTGATACACACACGCAATACAGGCTAGTTGACTCAATTTGAAAACTTGGGTAACTATTTACTTTAATATCTATTATATCCCAAAAAAACCTATATTTTAAAGAAAAAGCAATATTTACATTACGTATTTTGTATTTGAAAGAAACCATTTTAATTTCCTTCGAAAACGCTCAATACTGTCATGGCGTCTTGAATGACGTCGCAGTCTGCAAAATAAAACTGTTTACATCTGTGTCCAGTGTAAACTGTTTTCAAAAAATGAATAAGGAGTAACCTGCTCTGTTGTATGAAAACGTCAACAACAACAATGATGTTTTGCGTGGCGTGACGTAACACTTTCTGATTGGTGTTCGCTGTCACGTGACTTAATGCCTATTTTATACGATTTTTTTTTAAATATTAATAATCTTTATCTTTTATGAGAAATAGACTGATTTTTTCTTATCTATGTCTCTTCATCTTGAAACTATAAACCAAACAATTTGTTATTAGTGGACACAAGCCTACTCACAACATATTAAAAGCTTTAAATGTCGTGTCATGGGCCAGCCATACGTACGCACTTATGGCCCAGCTCCACCGGAACGATATCACGTCCTGACAGAAAAACGGTGTTAAGCATGCTTTTCATCGAGTGAGTGAAGCGCGTTAGAAGGGCAGCCACGTATTTGTGGCTCTCGAATTGTGACTCTGCTCCACAAAAATTGTTCTATCGAAATGGAACTTTGTTTAAATATATAGATTGAAATTTAAAAGCGGATGATTAATCCTTTTAATGACTACTAGTATAACCTCGACTTTAGGTTAATTTGATTGTTAACAAACCTATTAGATTCGACATAATAATAATAATATTCTACCACATACACACAACGCCATCTAGTCCCAAACTAAGCAGAGCTTGTACTATGGGTACTAGACAACTGATATAAATACATATATACTTTTTTTTTTCGTAAATACATACATATTATACATAGAAACACCCAGACCAAATCAAACATCAAATGTTCATGCACACAAATGTTTGACTTGAGCGGGAATCGAACCCGCGACCTTTGGAATAGCAGTCCGTTACACAAACCACTACGCCATCCAGTCGTCAAATAATAATATAATAATATCGATAGTTTGATGGTGGAACTATTTTTGAAGTCGGTTCCCTTTTAAACGTGTTTTTAGTTTTACTAAATTATTTTATTATGTACATTGTTGTACACTTTTTACGCATGACCGTAATTATGAATGTAACTAATGACTGTTTTCCTGCTCAACACTATATACATATTAATAATTATAATTATATGCCACCATAAAGTCTAATTCCTTAACCAGACTTCATTGTTTAGATATAATAAACACAAGAAAAAAAAAGTAGAAAACGGTAATACCTTGACATCGATATCTAAGAAGAAGAACTGAACGCAGAAATCTTGCTCTGCATTGCATAGATTTTCAACCAAAGTCAGCACCTGCGAAAATAACTTAAAACTTATAATTTTTGGTTTATTGAATAAGTATTGATGTGAAACTCTTTTTAAGTGAAAGTGTATTTTTTAAGAACTTTATTGATTTGATTTGAAAGTAGAAAGGTTTTGGCCTGGTATACCACGCTGGCAACACGGGTTGTGTCAAGTGTTCCTTCTCTCTGCAGTGCTGTTGTCCTGCGTATTTCGCTCCCTTAGTCGGCTCTTACGACACCCACGGGGTGAATAGGGGTGGTGATACTCTGTATTCTTAATCCGTCACCACACGGCAATGCCCGCTTATCGTGTACTGAAGGTGTAATTATGATTTATAAGTAAGGTAAGCAAATTACTGAAGTAACATTATTATTCGGTGTCACCGTATTTATATAAAAATTACTATGTTCTGTCATATCGGACGAGCGCGTAGGACCTACTTAACTGACAGTTCAGGGTTACGTACGTTGTCGAGGGGCTCGTCAACTCGCTCGGGGGGAGGCGGTGGGGGGGAGGCGGGCGCTAGTGCTGCGCGTGCCACGTCACACGCCGCGCGCACCTCGCGCTCGTACACGCGCGACCACGTGCTCACGTACACCTGCAAGTATACATACATACAGTCAGTCATGATATTAGAGGAGTATGGTTATTATAATAATAATAATATTCTACCACATTCACACAACGCCATCTAGTCCCAAACTAAGCAGAGCTTGTACTATGGGTACTAGACAACTGATATAAATACATATATACTTTTTTTTTTGTAAATACATACATATTATACATAGAAACACCCAGACCAAATCAAACATGAAATGTTCATGCACACAAACGTTTGACTTGAGCGGGAATCGAACCCGCGACCTTTGGAATAGCAGTCCGTTACACAAACCACTACGCCATTCGGTCGTCAATAATAAACCGTTTACTGTGCATTCGACTGGGCTGTTGATCTAATTTATTGTTGTCCGATGTCCGATTTCCGCCCAGGACAAAAACATACCTAATAACAGTGTGATGAGTACGTTTGTTTGTTCTGGGTGAAATTTATCTATAATATATATGTGTGTCAGAAGTCTAGTTACCATATGGTAACTTCCTACCTACTTACTAGACCGAGCCAAGTTTAGAATCAGACAACCGTTCGAACCAAATGTATTTAAATAATTTAAAACATATTTCTATTTAGAAAAACGAATAAATGAAATTTTTCATGTTGATCAAAGAGAGTTTACTGGTCTTGTACATAATTATTAAGTGAAGGTGCGGTTTACAAAATCTTGGCTACATATGACCAAAGAGAAGGAAACGGATGCTTTTTAATACTTTATATTGAAGTTACCTGAAAAATTCGTTAGTTTATTTGATAATTTCCACTACAGATAGATCGGCAAGGTCCTTCGAATCCCCAGATCGGAGACTTGGCTGCTAATTTAATACAATTAAATTAAATATGTATTATGAACAGTAGGAACCTTAGCCAGCGCGTCGAAGGCCTTCTCGTCCATGTCCTTGAGCCACCGCATGAATGGCGCGTAGGGAAGCAGCTCGGGGTGGTGGCGGTGAGCGGAGTCGTGCGCCGCCTCGTTGCCGAGGTGGATCAGCGCGTTGTTCAGGTGCCTCGCTAGCGCCGCCGCCAACTGACAACCAACCACAATGATTATGCTGTACTAACGATATTACACTAGAAAATAGCGATTAACATGGAATAAAATAATCCTTCTAAAATTGAACTAAAAATCATTAAAGTATGTTCACAACTTGCGGCTTTAACATACTAAAAAGAATCCTGTCTATGTCCCTCTAGACGTCATAGTTTTTCATTTACAATACTAGACATTAACAGTCTTTAGAAAGCTATGGAATTACGTATTTCCACACGAAAGAAAAGAAGGTAGTCATGTTGTTAGCACATCTAAGTAATAGAAACTTGCAAACAAATACTAAAAAAAATATGGTACTTAGCTGCTAAAAGTGATGTGCTAAGTTTGTAAGAAGCATTAGATTAATTGCAAACTACAGAAGCGGATATTGGAATCGTCCTCTAACCTGATCTTTAGCTCGTGCTAACCGTCGCAGTCGCTCCCGCACAGCGGCAAGGCGACGGCGCGAGGCAGGTGCCGATGCCTCAGCCCGTAACGCTGCTCGTAGCGCTTCTCCAGCGGCAAGGGCTCGCTCGCGACCCTCGGCACTGGTCAGTGAAACCTCAGCCAAGGAGTCCAGGTCCCGCAGAGGTGGCGCATCCAACCAATTGTACAGTTCACTAAGCTCCGCGAGGAGAACGCGAGCGTTTCTGTCAGCACGGGCGGCATCGGTGCGAGCGTGTGGGGCTGTTGGTGCAGCGCGCACTAATGCATCGTAACGGCGCAGGCGTTGTGACAACGCTGCGCCGGCACCGAGCCCGTCCTCGAGACGCTGCGCTAAAGCAGCACCTGCGCCACCGCTCTCCGTGGCGGCTGAGAGCATTCCACCAACATTAAGAGCATCGAGGCGCGCCAAACGCGAGCCCAATCGCCGCACGCGCCTCTCGGCGTCATCGTCACTAGGTTCAGCATCTTCGAGTAGAGCACCCAGTGCTGCATCAGATGGTGTGGCTTCTCCACTGCCGGATGACCACTGTGTCTGTGGTGTCACAAGGTAGAAGAAAAATCATGACATTTAAATGAAAGTGGATGAGTCAGTCAGTCAAAATCACATCACATCAATAGCCTTTAACAGTCCACTGCTGGACATAGGCCTCTTCTTAGAAAGGAGGTTTTGGCCTACTATGCCACGCTGGCCAGACGGGTTGTTATAGGGTTTGTGTCAAGTTTTCCTTCTTTTTGCAATGCTGGTGTCCTGCATTGCAAAACAAACACGGACAAAGTCACAATAATCATGTAATAGAGCTGAGTAGTTTGTTTTTTTTTCTCATCACACTAATCTCTGGAACTAAAATTCTGATTTATTTTTTGTGTCTACAACATAATAATACATCACTATTAAACAAAAACCATCTTTCAGCCTTCTTTTGTCTGTTCAAAAGCAGTCATTATAAAATCCCTCCATTATCAGCAAGTCTCCACAACTTAAACCTTGTTAGTTAGTTAGCTTAAGCTGTAGGGATTGCCAAATCCAAATATAGCATAAAAAGAGAGAGGTAGAGAGAATGACTTAAAGGAGAGTTAAAGAGAACATACCAGAATGAGAGAGTACATAAAGCTATTAAATCAACAAATCACTCTACTAATTTTGGACCTGATGACCTCTCGCTATCGTATCAGGTGCCTGCAATTAAGGGCATCCCCAAAATCTACTTGTGAGTAAAACTGTATATGATTATAATAATAATATTCTACCACATTCACACAACGCCATCCGGTCCCAAACTAAGCAACTTGTACTATGACTAGATAACTGATATAAATACATATATACTGTTTTTTTTTGTAAATACATGCACACAAATGTTTGACTGGAGCGGGAATTGAACCCGCGACCTTTAGGATAGCAATCTGTTATGCAAACCACTACGCCATTCGGTCGTCATTATTGTTGATTGATTAAGATTTATATATATAATAATAGTAGAAAACTGCTCTGCTCATGTTAGAATTATATTTTGTTTCTAAATTGTTACAGCCCTTCTCATTACCTACTGATTATTCAATTGTGAACTCATTATAAAAAACTCATACATATAATTAAATACAATCAATAACATTAAATGAATCACATCTTCATTAAAAAACATTAATAATTATTAACTTAAATGTTTGATTTTAAGCTTTCTATAAATGTTTTATAAGGTATACATAAACATAGTCTGTTATATTCTATGATGAATTACTGAATATAAGCAATATAGAGTACAAATGATATAAACTTTACTGCAAAAACCTTTAATTATAATTATCTATGAGCAAAAAGTGGGCAGTGAGGTCTGAAAGATGCATCTTACCACATCTGCGCAAGCTGGCTCCCGGCCATTTTCCCACTCTTTTTGTAATACACTTTCGTCAAACTTCATTCTTGAATATACAGAATTTAAATACAAATTAATTCAATGGTTCAACATCAGCTAATAAAGATATATTTGCTAAACTTGCTTTGACAATTTATTATTTTGTAAAGTTAATTTATATGAGTGCTTTAAGATACTGTTCAATAATAAACAGATATAAGCAATGAACCCTACATAATTTGGTACTGAAAAATATATGTTATTTCAATATAACAGCAAATGTAAAAACCCAAATAAATATACCCAGAATGACGATTAAAACGTCAAAACCGTACGTCAAATGATAGTCATGTCAATCATGTCATGATACTAGAGTTGCTAACTCCTGAGTGAGTGATCTAAAAGAAATACATCATTCACACCGAAATTAACACTTAAACACTTTAAACACACTAGCTCCTAGCTAGAATGTATCAGTTCAAACTCTGAACTCAGCATATTCCTAGCTCAACAGTGTCGATCATTGTTTCATGAGCGAAAGAGATATATGAAAGATAAATTAGTGAGATAGACGATAGTTAAGTTCACGCTAATTTAATTTCATTTTGCAAAATGTACATTATTTTTATAGTTTCAAAGTATTACATTATTTATGTATTATGATACCCAGTGTAACAAGCACAAGTGTGAGTTGTGTGAAAAGGTTTTCTACGACATAGATTATGTGTATGTAGAAATCGCTTTACAGAACAGTCGTCCAAAGCTTTCAAAAGTTCACATTATATTACAACCATTAAAGTGATAGAACTCGTTTATATTATACCATTAAAAATTTGTATAAAGAAAGCTTAGTACACATCCAGAGCCCACCTGTTGCAAGGGAATCTTACTAAGTCAGAAATAAAAGTATGAAAAATTATTAACACTATTGATTTGTTCGAACAACATCGAACAAGAAGTATGGACGTTTATATTTATACTGTCTTATACATAATACCACTGCCTGTTACCTATTTAAGACTTTCAATATTTTTTATCAAGGTTTCGAGAAAAACTCTCGACGTGTGTCTTATGCGTCGTTTAGTGCTTGCAGTAAGTACTAGTTAAATAGAAACAGGCCCTTTTTCTACAAGTTATAAACTTGACAGCATAAACTAAACTAAAATAAATAAACTATATTGGTAGTTTGGTACTATTGGCAGCACTGTCACATAAATAAAATAACCTATCTTTATTTTAACAACTGTAAAAAGAAAAGGATTTTTTAAGTAATTATCGATACATGTGATTATAATAATCATTTTTTTTAGATATAACCACAAGAAATATTAAATTAGAACAATGGCCAAACCTGCTGCATCTGCAAAGGGCAAAAAATCAAACGAGGAAGTGTTCGCTGGGTTTCAAACTCTACGGAGTGAACAGAGACAACTAGCAAATAAGATTTCAGAGTTGGAAATGGATCTAAATGAACACAAGTAAACATATTTATTACCAGTCCAGATAGTAACACTAGTTTTTTAGTTTTTGCTTCTAACCTCAAAATTAAATTGTTCGCATTTTTTTTAGAATAGTCATAGAAACTCTTCGGGGTGTGGACAAGAGTCGTAAGTGCTTCCGAATGGTTGGTGGTGTTCTAGTAGAGCGCACAGTAGCTGAAGTACTTCCTGAATTAGAAAACAACTGTGAACAATTGCCTAAAGCACTTAATGCATTGGAAGATCAACTTACGAAGAAAGGTCGAGAAATTAATGAGTACATCGAGGTTCATGATATTCGCTTACAGCGGGTCGACCGTGATCCAACGGAAGCTGAGCCTGAGCAGCCTTCGAAGTCAAATGTTCTGGTTGCAAGTGGTTGATAGCGATAAACTTTTTGCACTTTCAACAAATACCTTGGCTGACTCCCCTAAGCCAATTTCACATTGTACAAATGTGAAGTAGTAATATCTATGTGTAATTGTCTTTAAATAACATTACTGTGAACTCAGTGACAGCGCGTACGCATATTTAAATTTACAGAAACATAAAAATACTAAATTTTGCTGGAATTGCCGGTTTTAAATTCCAATATATTCAGTGATATTATTGCTGACTGTACTTAGTTTATTTAATTAATGTTTTGAGCAACTAAAATTTTCCTTTTAAACCCTGCTTAATATGTACTGTATTCTACAGATTGTTTACATACAGAGTTATTATATTTAATAAAGAAATTATTAACATTAAGTTATGCTTTAATAGGTTGTTTTTTTCTTATTCGTGTTTTTTTCGTTTATAGGTACTCATACCAATGGTGTTTTTTATGGTAGAGGGGCCAACAAACGAGTAGATGGGTTATCATCAACATCATTAGCCTATTGCAGTCCACTGCTGGACTTAGGCCTCTCCCATTGTACGCCACTTAGATCGATTTGTCAAAAATGTTTGTCCTAATATATATGAAATCTATGAACTGTATGGCAAGGAGTGTAAGGAGACTCGAGATGATTTTTATTCTGTTTTATTTTAGATACAGACAGGGCTTAAACACTAATGTGGAGCGTTTGTATAATTGTTTTTTTTTTTACTTATTGCACTTCAATCACAAGTCTGCACTCCTAAATGTAACCTTCTTGTTAAAATAAGCCTGTTATATGGAAATTAATCCATCTATTGGAAATAAGTGCTCTTCTATCATAAGGGGTCATCTATAAAATTCGTAACAAGATTTTCATGGTTTTGTCAAAACAACACTAATGTAAATATTAATAATATTAATATTTTCACACACGGCTGTCCCAAACTAGGCATAGCCTGTAGTATGGTAAGCAGACTGCTGATAAACATACATATATATTTATACATACATACATGTTGTAGATAAAGTACACCCAGTCACAGAACAAATGACCGTGCTCATCACACAATTATTTGTCTTGGGTGGGAATCGATCCCACGACCTCTGGCGTAGCAGTCAGGGTCACTACCCACTAGACCAAAAGTCAACAGGCCAGTCAAATACAAAGGAGATGCACTTGCGAAAGTTCTCCCTGCACAATAATTCAAATGAGGATTTCTCTGTTCACGTGACAGACCCTCCAGATGTGCTGGACCACTGCCGTGATAATGTTTAGTAAAAGTATGTCACATATTGTGAAAATTTTATCGCCCCTTGATGTTGTAATTTTGCTGTTGATGTCCTTAATATAAATAAATACTGCTCTACCATAAAGTTGGTCGTGCTCTGAAACTGTATGATGTGCAGTGGTGCAGTCAGCTTCACTAACCATGAGATAGGATCATTAATTTATTAGCAGCATTAATCAGCCGTCCGTGTGGTGACGGATTAAGAATACAGTGTCACAACCCCTATTCATCCCGTGGGTGTCGTAAGAGGCGACTAAGGGAGCAAACTACGCAGAACAACAGCACTGCAAAGAGAAGGAAAACTTGACCAACCCGTCTGGCCAGCGTGGTATAGTGGGCCAAAACCTCCTTTCTAAGGAGACGCTTATGTCCAGCAGTGGACTATTAAAAGCTATTGATCATGATGATGATTAATCAGCAAAATTACTTGTAGTTTATGATTTTCATTTTAGGTAGATATAAGGTTCAGTTGTTATTTAACATAAAACAAAAAAAAAACAAGTTTTATTTAGTGCAGTAAAAATATAATCCCCTTGTATTAAAAAACTTTTAACACATCAACATCATAAACATTTTTATACAACAAAATGACATCAAATTTATAAACAACGGTTTGTCTAAAAGTGTATAACAATATATGAAAATAAAAAAATCTATTGATCTACTCATTAACAAAGGAATCAAGTTTAATTAGTATAAAGAACTTAGCTAAAAATAATCTATAACAAATATGGAACAAAACAGTGACACAAGAATAATTCTTAGCGATAATTATATTGAATATACTTACATAACTATAGTACTTAATGATTCAACAAGTACAGTAGGTGCCATGAAACTTGAGCACTAAAGCCATTTTATTTTAAAGTCTTCCACAAAAGTTGAATCCAACTCATATAATAGCTCAGCTATGTATGTAACTCAAATTAACGATTTTACATTGTGACGTTATAAAATTATTATTTTAAATGTTTTATTATGAAAACTACAAATCTCAACTGCAACTCTGGAATCAAAATCGGATAATATAGATACTATTTTAAGTAACTAGTGTTACATTAGTGGCAAATGACTATTTCTATATGAATAAAAACTTTAAAGAACATTGTTATCGTTATCCATATAATACCATTTTATTCTCAATAAGTTTTCTAAACTTTTTTAACTCGCAACAATCAAAAAACTATAATTTAATCTCAAAAATATGTAGGTATGTAACATCTAAAAAAAAACGTAATAACTTAAACTGATCTAAGTTGAACTATATCATATTGAATTTGTTTACCTCGAGAAAAGCTTAGGTTATTACTTAAATTTTATATAAAGCGTCTGTCCGAAATAGGGGTAGCGTGCGAGTAGGTTAGGTACGGTACGGTAGAGTGGGTTAGAGTGCGAGAGGAGGAGCCTGCCCGCGCTGTCGTATGCGTGAGGGAAAGAGAAGCCAGACAGACTGGCGCCGTAACGCGTTACGTAACGAAGCGGTTTACCCTCCCATAAGAAGATATCACTTCAAAAATTTGAAACATCGCACTGAAAAACCGATAATCATTATCATCTTAGTTTTTTCCAATGTGTTTTCTTTTGCCATTCTCCTTTATCACCCGACATTCTCTTTCAAGCAGACCTTCATTTCATTTCCATAAGAAAATTTTCACTCTTTTTCTTTTATAAATCGATAATTTTAATATTAAATACCACTGAGTAAAATATTGTAAGAACATAAACGTAGACAGAAATATCTAAGTGAGCAAAATTCATGACTTCTACTGTATTACTTGTGTTTCATGAGCTTCCATTAATATGCTTATCTACAATAACAGTATCCATTAAGATATGAGAATAGAGCAAGCCATCTCTACCTAGCTCTATACTATCCAGTGATGCAAGGTGCGAGAGAGAAAGCTGCCGAGAGGCCCCCTCTTGTCTTTTTCTAATCGGGCGAGCATGCGCAGTGCAGTGCTCTCAAGACAGCAAGAAGCTCTCGGCAGCTCTCTCTCGCACCTGGCATCACGGTTTGGGCTTTAAGCTTGCTCTATTTTATGGTAGTATCACGTACTTTACTTACATGATTATGCATAAATAATATGAAAATATATAACTTCTTTATAATTAGTTCTCTAATAAAAGCACCTTTTACATACAAATAGAAGATCAAAAACGAGTTATGAATATTTTTGGAATGATTTTTTAACAATATTTATACAGTACCGTTATTTAAATGCTTTTGAAAGGTTTCTTAATAACCAAAAGCCCCCTAAGGGCCACAAATTAAATTTCTATAAAAATATAACCTCAAACAATTCGCACACGGCCGTCTGATCCCAAACTAGGCAGATAACAGCCTCTGTACCTACTATAGTAACCAGACTGCTGATAAACATACTTATATATTTCTAAATACATAAATAACACGCATCCACATAAAACAGGATCGTGCTCATCACACAATTATTTGTCCTGGTTGGGAATCGAACCCACGATCTCTAGCTTGGCAGTCAGTATCACTAATGACTAAAACAATATATATTTTTACCACGTAACACTTAGGTAAATAAATACATAGACGTTATAAAAAAATACGCTATAGACTAATACAATTCTTTCTTTCTTTCTTAAAAAGACAACTCCCGCATTAGGAATAAATCCTGTGTCGCGGGGGACTTTACAAACATACATGAAACGGACACAAAGAACACCCAGACTCAGAACAACAATTTGTGGATCACACAAAGTGTCGTCCCATGTGGGGTTTGAACCCACAACACTCGGCGTAGTAGGAAGCGGCGTGGCGACCGCTTAAACCACTACGCCATCCGTGCAGTCAACAATTGTAGACTTATTTATGAATACAAAATTTTTTAGTGAATGGGATTCGAGTCGAAACCGATGTCGATTTGGCAGTTTAACTTCATAATGGAGTTTACCTAGATACCTAACTGATATGTCTAAATAGACTCTCACAACAGTGAAAGCGTTTAAAAAATATTGTCCAACTGTTGGCCACTAAGTTCCTTTCCGATATCGCTATTCGTATTAATATATACTTTGCACTATCACCAGCATAATAATGGCTCATGGCCAACATAATTTAGTTGTTTTGTATTGTGAAACTCCATCTAGACAAATAATAATAATAATATATCTCACACATCTTCCACACTGCCATCTGATCTCAAACTAGACAGAGCCTGTACAATGGTAACCAGACTGCTGATAAACATACTTATATTTTTAAATACATACATGTTATAGATAAATTACACCCAGACACAGAACAAATGATCGTGCTCATCACACAATAGTTGTCCTGGGTGGGAATCGAACCCACGACCTCCGGCTTAGCAGTCTCTGTGTCCAGTGCAGTCCAGCAGGTCTGGCAGTGAGGCAGGACCAAGAGGCCCGTCATAGATCATGGGGGAGTTCATAATAATTTTAAAAGTACTATATTTGTATGCATTTCTTTTACAATGTTTGTAAAATTTTACTTAGCAGAAAGGAGAAAATTCCCATTACAGGTAAATTAGCTTGGAGAAATTTTTGCGTTTGTAGTAGTGTATGGTCAGAAACTGCGTAAACTGGTTTATTCTGGTTTTGTGCGTGTTTCCACTTTCCACTATCAAGTGACGATTTTTTGCTTTAGATTGAAATATCTCGGAAACGGTGCGTCCTAAGCCAAAAATAACAAAAATTTTGACCCCCCCCCCCGTAGACTCTCCGGAGTTTTAAAAACCTAGATGAGAGGAAAAAAAAAAATTTTAAATATCGGTCTCTCCTCTTTGAAATTTCACTTCTATCGTGTGTGAATCGCACACACACCTTTTTTTTATAAAGTCAAAACCTTTTTCTTTAAAATAAAAACTTGTTTTTATTGAAAACAAAAATCAGAGTGTTGCTAGGGATAAGTATAAAATGAAATAGTAATGTTAGGATATCGAAACATTTTTGTATAGGCCAGAACGATATAGTGGAAACGCGCTCTAAGATCTGAGTAATATACACACCACTACATATGCAAAAATTTCTCGAGACTAATTTCACTGTACACTCTGTATTAAAATTGGACCCACTTAACACGAATGTAAAGACATATGTTACCCATATTATTAGTTAGGACTTGTACATCTAGTGTTAAAAACCTTTAAACTATTCTTAAGTGTATAATTGTGATTAAACATAGAAATATAAACAGAAGTTACAATTACTTAACATACATATAACCTGTTTACAAAAAATTACTGGTACATTTTTTTCCAATGTATATTTGCATAATATTACAAAATGAATGTAGTTTAGCAGACTCAGACTCAAGAAGAAATTCTCTGAAATTTTAATCTATATCTATACTAATATTATAAAGCTGAAGAGTTTGTTTGTTTGTTTATTTGAAAGCGCTAATCTCAGGAACTACTGGTCCGATTTGAAAAATTCTTTCAGTGTTAGATAGCCCATTTATCGAGGAAGGCTATAGGCTATATATCATCACGCTAAGACCAATAGGAGCGGAGCAACAATGAAGAATGTTTCAAAAACGGAGAAAATTTATTACTATTGAGAGACGCAGACGAAGTTGCGCGGGTCAGCTAGTCTTTTATATTTTAAGAATCGAACAGGTTTTTTTTTTCACCAACCCAACATTTTTGTTTTTTAAATATCGAATCTTCAAAATCAGTTTATGAAATGTATTTATACCTTTTTTAAACAATTACAACAGTAAAAAAATCGAACAATATTTATTCTAGAACATTATAACGATAACGGTTTTTTTATTACTGATGACGAAATGACGTAAATTGGTCTTAATGGCACACAAGTTTTATGTCTGAAACGACATATACATTTATATTATGAGACATACATATTTTTCAAATCAACAATAATGCTTTTGTAAATATGAAAACACAGGTTTGTATTTAACACAACGTCATTTTATTTTTTACTTTTTCCCAGCGTTTTTTTTTAATTCATCTTATATCTAATATGCAGATAGAAGAAGTAAAAATATATAAAAAAATAAGTTATCTTTTGGTTCCTTAGTGTCGGTATGTGAAGTGAAGTCATGTTCTTAGTAGGACGGCATCAGCTTTTAGTAAGCATTCTTCAGAGAGTAAATATCAAGCGTCAATTAAAGTAAATATCAATTAGGCAAGCGTCTTACATGTAGTTGATCATGTTTATAAGTAAAAATAATAGGTTTCTATTGTAATGAACTTCGAAGGGATTTTCTTGACGATCAATTTAGGTGTATTTCTCATCGGTTTAGCTAATAAACCAGACAAAATTTTGTGTCGTCTGCACAGAATCTCTACCGAGGTCAATGATCTAATAGTGTGTTACCGGTGTATCCTACGTGACTAGTTATTTTAAATCTATATAAATTTAAAATTCAACAAAATATTTCACCCAAAAAAGGAATCATACTCACTCCACACAAAGCAAAGATAAACACTACAACCGTTTCAGATCGTGTCGCCTACCGTTCGATGCGACGGGGACAACCGTCACCGGATTCAGAAGGAGTTAATAAAGTGTAGACCGGTGTCGGAATAATTAGAAGTGCATGAGGTTGGTGGGTACGTAGGTCTCGTCCTGGCGGTTGGGCGACTGGTCCAGCGCGCGCAGCGGGGGCGGCGCCTCCTGCGCGGGCGGCGCGTCGCTGCGGCCGCCGCTCTTGTGCTCCACGCGCAGGTCGCCGATGCGCATGCTGCGGTCCACCGACTTGCACATGTCGTAGAGCGCCAGCGCGGCCACGGCGGCGCCCGTGAGCGCCTCCATCTCGACGCCGGTGGAGGCGCGCACGCGCGTCTCGCAGCTCACGCGCACCGCGCCGCCCGTCGCGCACTCGCCGCGCGGCAGCTCCACGCGCACGCGCACCATGTCCAGCGCCAGCGGGTGGCACAGCGGGATGAGCTCGGCCGTGCGCTTGGCGCCCATCGCGCCCGCCAGCTGCGCCACGGTGAGCGCGTCGCCCTTGGGCAGGCGCGCGTCGCGCAGCAGGCGCAGGAGGCGCCCGCTCACGTGCAGCGAGCAGGACGCCACCGCCACGCGGCGCGTGGCCGGCTTGGAGCCCACGTCCACCATGCGCGCGGTGCCGCTCGCGTCCAGGTGCGAGAAGGCGCCGCCCTCGTCGTCGGAGTCGGCGCGCGAGCTGAAGGCGCGCGCGGCGAGGCGGCGCGGCGCGGCGGCGGCCAGCAGCCTGCGGCGCGGCTGCGCCCCCCGCGCTGTGAACGATCCCACACACTGAGCGGAGCGAGGCCGCCCTAGCCGCCTATGAGAATCATCGGCCGGTTCTCCATGGTGGCGAGATTCTCCATGCCTAGAAATACAGATCGGAGACCGTCGGCGAACTCAATGGATACTCGATACTCGACCCGATAGTCCCGTCACCGCCTTCACTCGTCTGCCGACCGACTATTCTCTATTCGATTTAATTAAAATATGTCTCGCGAATAACATTTAAGATGACTATTTATAGATACCTACTACTACAGACTAATTACCAATATATTTTTACACTCATAAGTAACGTTAGAATACAATATGAATACACATTAATTAGAAGCCGCAAACTAAATAGACACCGATTTGATAGGTAAATAAACAAAAAGTTAGTGAGTTACAAAAATCAACAACATGAAAAAAATAAACACAGAGGAGTATTTTATACAGGAGATACGTCACTTGAATAATAAGTTAAAACATAAATTTCTTTTAAAAAAATTATGCGATTTATAAATAGCTCGAGTACTTTGACTGACAAAGTACTCGTTTATCGTGTTCGTGTGTTTTCACTTAGTGCGAGGACAATATCTCACTGAACCGTTAACCCGGCCTGGGAAGTGATAATAAGTGACGTGGCGGATCGTCATAAATGTGTATTCGCGAATACGGATACCTATAAATACTTTATATTCGTCGTTGATCAAAAACAACAATTGACGTTCCACATAATATATTTCGAATTGCACTGCGTGGACTTTTTAAATAACTGTTTTATTACGAATTATAAACATTTGTAGTTTGACTTAATTTTAAAGATAATAAAATGGTATCTTCTCCATACTAATTTTATAAACGCGAAAGAGTCTGTCTGTCTATCTGTCTGTTACCTCTTGACGCTTAAACCGCTTAACCGATATAGATGAAATGTGGTATAGAGATAGTTTGAGGTCTGAGCAAGGAGATAAGATAGTTTTATTACAGAAATCGTCCATTAAGGAAGGGAAAAGGGGGCTGGAAGTTTGTATAGGGAATTAATAATCGTTGAAACGATTTATATGAAATTTTGTATGAAAATGCTGGCTAATGACTCACAACAAAAAAATTACAAGCATATACAGGAGCCACAGGGATGTGTCTGTTGTCAGTGAAGCATTTTTTAAAGACGAATTATGCACAAGTATAGCATGTTTTGTGTTTAGCTACGGATAATAAGTACGTAAAAACCTTTTTTTATATTATAAATATAAGTGTTTTAGTATAAATCATAAAATATACAGAAGGTACAGGCTGTATATATGTATACATATATATTATAGGTTTATGCTCTAAATCTTAAACAAATGTAACATTAACAACTTTTGAAAGTATCCAAAAAGCTTTCTGTATGATTTAGTTTGTAACTATAGATTAAATATATGTGCACATATAAAAAATAATGCAAAACAGAAGCGAATTGTTTGTGTGTATGTGTGTGTTAATATTAAATAAGTGGTCATTTACAATGGTTAGTAACAAGCAAATTAACTACCAACTAATTTGAACTAATATGAACTAATTTCATATTTTAATAATACTACAAGTAATTAATTGAATTTGGGGCGTATTATTAATTAAATTGTATTAGTTCGTTTTCGAGCCGAGTGCAAGGGGTACTCGGCTCGAAAGACCAAATAATTTGCGAATCATGTTAGAAAGAAAAGAAGGAGCTGAGATAGAGTACCCATTGATTTGTGTTATAAAAATTACAGTATCATACCTATAATCGGGTTAACACATGAGGAGAAAGCGTTATCTGGCGTAATACGAATGTAAATCACTGAAAGTAAACTCACAAACTCATTATGATAATGATATAGTCGAACAACCAACAAACACTTCGAATTTTATTAAGAAGTGACCTAATTTTAATTAATTTTACGTGTTATCTGTGACTTGAAAGTATTCTCAACTAGATTTAAGTTGAGATATTAGTTTAAAAGAAAACTAGTTTCGTACTTTCGTATAATGATCATCCTCCGAACGTTTTTATAAATTAGTTTGGGATCGGCTTTCAGTCTACGATACGGCTGAACTTGAACAATTTTTACGTAGAGCGTCTGCCATCATCATCATCATCATCATCATCATCATCAACAGCCTATAATAGTCCACTGCTGGACATAGGCCTCTCCTTAGAAAGGAGGTTTTGGCCTACTATACCACGCTGGCCAGACGGGTTGGTATAGGGTTGGTTTCAAGTTTTCCTTCTCTTTGCAGTGCTGTTGTCCTGCGTAGTTTGTTCCCTTAGTCGCCTTTTACGACACCCAAGGGGTGAATAGGGGTGATGACATTCCGTATTCTTAATCCGTCACCAAACCTCCACAACCCAAGTACTGGGCGATATTGAAGTGATATAGACTGGTGTCGGACTTTTTAGGGCTCTAACCACCCGTAACGATTGCCACAGATGTCGTATGGCAACCGGGACCGACGGCTGAACATGCTCTCCGAGGCACGGAGTTTCGTATAATGATAACAAAAACATTGAGCGGTGGTAGTCACTTGCCATGTATTGACCCGTCTGCTCGTTTGCTTCTTATATTAACGTGAAATTGATAACTCAAGCTGCAGAATTGTTATAAGTGTTGTGTTATAGCCAAAATAATATTTTTTTCTTTCTTTCAAGGTTACGGCCAATGTTTTTATGGGAGAGCTGAAAGTTGTACAGTATAAGTTAATAGTTATGAACAAATTGTATGGCCACTTACCGGCGTGTCGAGCCTTCTTGTTGTATAGCGCGGTGCGCACGAGCTCGTCGAGCCGATCGTCGGACTCGCCGCTGCGCAACGCGTCGCGCAACGACACTTCACTCGCACCGAACAGACATACCTGACGAATGATATTATAATAATAATAATATTTGGATTCATCTCACGAGATTGTCGATATGTAGAATATTGATTCAGTGATCATTGTTCCGATAGTCGTACCAACACCTTAAGAGGCTCACGTTGGACGGCTGGATCAAGGGTCTGATGCAGAAGGCAGTCCTCCTTGACACGGCTCGTATAGTGAGGAGGTTCCTATCTTTGGAGTCCTAATCACCGGTGTCTTAGTCCCTGTATCCGATGTCTACTATTTTTTATATTTTTAAATGTATTTTTATTTTTTTGTAATATATTTAAAAATGTTATTAATATGTATATATAATTTAATAAAGACAATAATAATGACTTTATTTCCAATATTAATAATAGGTCTTTACCTATGAAATTTCCGTTTTGTATGCATTATTTTTTCAAACTTTTTTATTTCTGTTATTAAGTAATCACCCATGCAATCGACGCATCTTTGCCAACGCATTCGCAGTTTATTAGCCTTCTTGTAAAAATCAGCTGGACGGGAGGCAACAAACTCTTCAAAGGTATTTTGTACTGCCTCTCGGGAATTGAATTTTTTACCCAGCAAGCATTAATGCAGATGTGTACTGTGAAGAACTGGAGAGAATGATGGAGAAGCTTGCACATCTGCAACCAGCTTTGGTCAATCGGTCGTCCCCACTGCTCCTTCACGACAACGCGCGACCCTATACTGCGCAACAGACAGTCTCCAAGCTGCAAGAGCTGGGGTTGGAAGCTCTCCCTCATCCGCCATACTCACCAGACCTTGCACCTACCGACTATTACTTTTTCCAAAATTTAGACAACTTTTTAGTGGGAAAAAAATTCAATTCCCGAGAGGCAGTACAAAATGCCTTTGAAGAGTTTGTTGCCTCCCGTCCAGCTGATTTTCACCAGGGACTTCCTTTCTAGGGTATACCTGGTTCCCCGGCTATTAGTACCCGAGACGGCGGGCGGTTTTAGTCGGTTTTATCGGTCATTGGTATAACTAAACCTTTAAAAACAGTTTTTTGTTTATTTGTTGTTTTAACTACAGTAAATAAAAACTGTATTTAAAAGCATTTTATAATGCATTGATACATAAATATAGTACCTTGAGGTTCCCGTCAGCGGTAAGCCTTAGTCTATTGCAGGTAGAACAGAAGTTTTGCGTCATAGAGTGAATGAAGCCCACGCTGCCAGCGTGGCCCGGAACCTGCCACATCTGAGACACGTAGGAATGCGGTAGAATATATTCATTAAAAGTAAACAGTTTTGGCGTAAAACAGTTGTTCAAATGTCGTTCAAACACGCACACGGCCTAATTGATCGTAAGCCAATTGTGTAAATTATTCGTTGCCGACAAATACGGCCTTCTCATCGAAGTCTCGCAACCCTATTTGCTGACAAAACTTCTCGCTAATCAAGACCTGGCATTAGCTTCTGCTTAACTAAAAAAAAAATGATTTTTATTCAAAAATTAATTTGCCTAACTAAATTCGAGGGAGTCGTGTCTAAGTGGTAACCGAGTAGGTTGCAAAGTTAAGCATTCCTAGCCAGGTCAGTCTATGGATGGGTACCCATGCGTCACGGGGGTCGGTGATTGTTGCCATAAGAACATCTTTGGCAATCGTTACGGATAGTTGGAGCCCACAAAAGTTTTGGAGGGTTGTGGAGGTCTGATGACAGTCGCTCCGCGTAAAAAATCCAGTTCAGCCACATCACAGTAGACTTAAAGCCGACCCCAACCAAGCTTGGGAAAAAGGCTCAGGAAGAAATTTGTTACAACACGCTCTCCCACTTGATATCACACACGGTACAGTTTAATCATTATCTTGACCTTTACTCAAATTTTGTGGGGTCGAGGCAATACGTTTTCTTCTTTTCCATTCTCTTCTTTCATTTGTTAGCTGCCTGCTTTTTTTGCGATCCATCCATCTTTTCTTTCTTCTACTCTTATTACCGTTGACTGCCATACATAAAACTTTCTTCACCATATTTTGCTCCTCACACACACACATACACATCACATGCCCCTACCAGAATAACCTGTTTCTCTTTTTCATGCACAGAAGTAAACTTATCATATTTATAAACAATATGTGCTACAAAGCAAGAAAATATGTAAAAGGGCTACAAAAACTACAGAAGTTCTAATTACAAAGACTGCTTAATATATAATGACAGTTCAAATAAAATAAAACAGGGCACAGAGAAAAGTCCAAGATCTGGTATCTCGAAGTCTAAAAAACATTATGCAATATCTGCCAGATAGTTGTTTATGTCTGCGAAATGATAGGCTCACATTGAAAAACACCAGAACTAATCCATGAAATAACAAAAATACAATAATTCCGTTTAAAAAACATTTAAATTAAAATATTTTATTCCTATCAAACCACTTACAGATATTATTGTATTGTCAGGAGCTGACTAAAGCAGTCGTGAAGCTAGTTGTTTGCGTCATTACGTTCCCATACGAGTAGAGTGAGTTCCAATGGCGTTGAACTTATTTAGAAGAATCCCATGCTAGCTATTATCTAAATATAACTTTGAACAAAACAGACCGACTTAAAAAATAACGAGTTCCACAATTTGGTTGTGTTTATTACCTCAGAACTGCGTCACTTATGAACGGATTCGAAAAATTATACTTTTATGTGGGTGGGTATGTCTTCTCGTTTAATCCTATTCAGATTTGAAAAATAAATATGACCCCAAGGATGGAAAATTAAAGAATTAGGAAAACATTTTATTCCAATTTCTTGTGATGATGATTAAAGTTGGTGATACTTTTTTTATAAGTTAACTAATTCATTTGTGATGCTAGTTGCCTGTTCCAATACGCAGATCTAATTATAAGTTGCCACCAAAGACTGTTTGCAACAAATGTTTCTTCTATAAATTACCTCGTGTTAACACAAAATTTGTACTCTAGTGTCGGGAAGAGTGATTCCAATTTTAGCAGTAAACATCGAATATTGCCGACATTAATTCGCTCCATGGATACACTCGTTGACAACGTTATAAACATGGAAGTGGCATGGACGAATAACTTGTTTGAAAAGTCAAAGGGACACGAAAGTTAACTGAAATGTTTCTAACAAACGTTGGCTAACAAACAAACAAACAAACGTTGGTCAGTGATGACACAAATTTGCCAACTTTTTGAATGGCAAACAGTTAGAAAAACAAAAGTTGACAATATTTTCGACGGAGACGCGCTTTTATGATAAATGATATTTATTTCTGTAAGTAAATCTTTTGAGATATTTTTAAAAGTCAAACTTTACAGCTAGATGGAGCCTACATTTCCTAAGACTCAATCTGGGAAGAAACGCCGAAACAAAGCACAGGTGTAAAGCTAAAGAAAACAATGTAGGGTCTTGGTAGGCCTTTTGAAGAAAGAACCATAGTTTTGAGCCTGCGGCCTATCCATACAGACGGCATACTGGTGAAGAATGGCCCAGCAAGTATCTAAAAATATCGTTGATCGAAACAAACCATCTTATGTTAATAGTACCTACTATTCATCAAGCAGTCAGACGCTATACGATCACAAATAGACAACTAATCAAGCCAATTACTGTAGTTCAAAGTCATCTCGACGCAGATTTCAGATACAAAAACATTTGCACATCAAATAAACATATCTACACAAATAAATATGATTACAAGAAAATCATGCTTAGAGCAATAAACTCCTGACCTTCTGAGGATAATTAGCGATGAAATGCAAATATTAGATCTATGTGCTGCACATAGGGTACATATTGGCTTGTGCTGACTGTTGCATCCGTTTAAGGAAACCTGGTGAAGTAATAATTGCAGGTGTTTTCGGCCTTGTGTGTATTTTTATAATGCATACTTTTGACTGGAAAGTTCTTTTTCTATTCTATTAAAAATAATTAATATAAACTCACTTATATTAAATAATTATTAAGATCTATTGAATGGAAACAGTTTAGTGCGTCACTGTACAATAACGTCATCAGTGCATCAGGAGCAAGGGTCCCTTTATAGTCAACCAGGTGGAGAACCTAGGTGAAGCACGGGTCCGGACTCGTCTTATTGTAGTATTCTAGATACATTGATACTGCTCTCTGAAAGTTGTCTCTGAATGTAAGGCAATAAATATCTCTTGTGAATCCCATAAATCTAATTGTGCAATCTTCTTTTTTACCAACTTCCAAAAAGGAAGTTCTCAATTCGATTGCATTTTTCCGTGATTGTTGTCCTTAGAGCTCTGTTCATAAAGAACAGAACATATTGTTTTTTTTCTTTTGGGAAGGGATACTTCTCGTTTTAACTCATGCAAAATGAAGTAAAAATAGCACCCTTCAGAGTAGAAAGTTGAGGAATTAAGAATACAGTTTATTATAATTTATTACATTGAAGGCCATTCTTAACACATTGAGATCACTCCGTGCCTTGGAGAGCTCATTAGCCGTAGGTCTCAGTTGCGATGGGAACATCTGTTTAAATGTTCGTTTTTTTTAAAGTTAACAGCTAATAAACAGCGCACTAAGAATGAGCATCACAGGGCTGATTCTGTTTCTAATTAGAAATTGTTCAATTTAGAAATGCGTTCAAAGTTTGACATTGAACATGTAAACAAGTTCGTTTGTATATTGCGTTTAACTAACTGATAACAGATACAGAAAAGCACATGTATGTTCTATAATTCAGAGATAAGTATTATTGTTTCCTAAATACATTGACAAAATCTAATTAAACGTAGACAAAATTTAAGTAAACGTAACGCCTTGGACAGAAAATGGTAACGAATAGCAATAACAATTCAAAATCGTAAATTTTATTATTTACAAATTCAAACCACAAAATCAATTTCTTTTAACAAAATAAAATTATTATTCCAGATTCATATCATCAGAGACTTTTTTGTAATAAAAAATAAGTTCACATACTTATTTTTTTAAATAATGACATATTTTCTACGTTTTTCTGTCATTTTAACGGTTAACTATACGATATATTTTAAGAAGCCGTGGCGTAAAGGCATTGGTATAAAGAATGAGATTCAACAACCTCCCAAGCCTTGGGTTCGAACCCCACTCAATGCAGTACCGAACCAATCAACTAAAGTGTAGTACATACCGTAGCAGTGTCGTTGTCTCGCGGTTTGGCGGGCGTCAAGTCAGGGTAGCGAGCAAACACGGAGCGCAAAGCATCACGGTATGGGACCAGCTTCGAGTCGTCCCACTTGTTCCCCGAGAAGGGCATGAACTCAATGAACCGCACCTCAATCTCTCGATCTCGAGTGTACTCCACAAAGTCGCAGATCTCGTCATCATTGAAGCCTATAATAAGGGTTTTTTTAACAAGGAGTTATTTGCTGCACTTGTGACAACTAACAATGTAAACTAATGGAAGTTTTGAATGTGTTACATCTGTCCTATACTTTGTTGGGACGGAAGTGTGCGTGTCAAGTGCTATTTGAGTTGACTTATAAGGATGCGTATCTGAAGGCTTGCTTAACCCCCCCCTTCTATTCCTGGTGTCTCTGGGGTCGCAGGTGTCTATGGGTGGCGGTAGTCTAGTCACTTATCAACATGTCAACCATCTGTTCATGAACCCCCAATAGCATACACATAAAATGCAAACTCGAACAGCCAAACTCAAAAATTGAAGCTTCTATTAAGGTCGCCTCAGCTCTGGTCGGTCGCCTCATCTGTACCTGGTATTATAATGTGATATGTAAAAAGTTCAGAGGTACTTCAAACAGTACCCTCAGCTGAAGCATGGCTGATTTCTCGTTCTTTTTCCTTCCTAGTCATTGTTCGCAACGCAAAAACTTTTAGAAATAAATTAATCTCCTAAAATAAACTGGCAAGGCAACATTTATTTCCTCGTCATTATGACAATTGTTTGATTTAAATATAGTTAACGAGAATCATCAACAATGACGCCTACAATATTTTATAGCGGCAATTGGTTTGCCGCTATAAAAAAGAAAAAAATATATATTTAATGGCGGCAAACCAAGCATCCAGCATTTTATTAAATTTAATTATTTTCATAAATATAAAGTTGGTGACATAACAATAACACATTGTGAACAGTTAGGTAGGTCATAATTAAGGTGGTATTCAAAGAACCTACCTTTCATTAGCACTACGTTGATCTTCACTGGTTTATAGCCAAGCTGCAGCGCCAGGTCCACACCGGCCAGCACCCGGGACAGGCCCTGGACATACCGTCATGATCAAAGACAGTTGCATTGACAAATTAAAATAGTAAGATTTGTGTTTATGCGTTATCCTAGAACCAAGACCTCCTAATAGTAGCAAATATAAAACCTGATCCTGCAAGATTTAAACAAGAACAACTGGCTGAGCCTGAATGATTAAAAGTCTCGTAGTTAAGGGATACTAAGATTTGGGGGGGTTATTGATTTTGTTCTGAACGAGATAAACTACATAACATTTTTACGTACGACGTAGGAGTTTTCAAGCCGGTTAGTTTATATAAAACTTTATAACATCCAGGCAAGATCCCCTAGTCGGGGGTTCCCCCTTAGCATTGGAGGTACACAACACCCGTTCGTCCATATACACCAGTAGTCAAAAGAAATATATTTATCTTGACCATCTGAAGGCTGTTAAAAATATTATTTTTTACCACATGTACGAGTGCTTAGAAAATAAGGAGTCAAAAGCGTAAAAGTATTATGAATGTTTGTTTACCGGTCGTCGAGCCATGTGCTCATATCGTTCTGCACGCAGTGAATCGAGCGACACGTTGATGTGAGTGAGGCCAGCGCGCTGGTATGCTGGCAAACGTCGAGTCAGCACAAGCCCATTCGTGGTGATCGCTACGCTCTGCACGCCGGCTTCGCGCAACCCTGACACTACATCTGCTAAGTCTGCACGTAAAGTTGGCTCGCCGCCCGTCAATCGCACCTACAAGGAATCAATAAATTTAAAAAAATCGACTCCTTTTAAAATATTAAATTAATGCATATAAAAATTAAATTTATTTGTTTTAATCACTTTTTAAAACCCTTAACCTGCCTGCCTCACAAGACTACCCATTTAAAAAATACATTTTGGCCAAAATCAGCCACTGTTTTTAACAGATTTTTCACATCAAAAGCAATTCAGCAGTTTGTTAGTTACGAGGATAGATAGAGACAGACTTGATGTGTATGGGAACGTATATTAAAGCTTACCTTGTCAACACCGGCCCGGACAAAGATGCGGGTCAGTCGTGATAGTTCCTCGCGAGTCAGGAGTGCGCTGCGCTTCGACAGCGGCACTCCCTCTTCGGGCATGCAGTACTGACCTGGAAAGAAATTTACATTACAGCCTACGTTTAAATGCAAACTAATAGTAGTAAATGAAATTAAATTCTAGACTTCATTCTTTTTTAAGATGCCACTGGCTTTGGACGTACCAGTTGTACCTAGTAAGTTATTTTTTTTCATTGTATAAGGGGGCAAACGAGCAGACGGGTCACCTGATGCATCTCAAAAGTGCGTTGCTGCCATCGAATCGAATGTCGATTGAAAATAGGTCACAATGATTTATTATATTACGGATATTATTATTACGGAGTATCACTACCCCTAGTCATAAGTAAGAGCTGACTAAGGGAGGAGGAGCAAACTACGCAGGACAGCAGCTCTGTAAAGAGAAGGAAAACTTGATACAAACCTTATACCAGCCCGTCTGGCCAGCGTGGTATAGTAGGCCAAAACCTTCTAAGGAGAGGTCTATATCCAGTAGTGGACTATTAAAGGCTGTTGATGTGATTTTTTATATGCCATAACCATAAAATCACAATACGTTTTGCACAGTAAACAAAGCAATTTTTTTTTGGAATTTACATATAGAAAATATGAGACAAATTAATTGGCATAACTAATAATTTGAAACGCTTGTGGCTGATGACTCTATTCTGCACGGTTCATTGGCATTAAAGTTTTGGTTTATTTCCGATTCTATCAATCAATCAAATACAATTTACGAACGTGAAGTCAAACAGATGTTTCTGAACACGAGAAACAAAAGATCCATTGCTTAAACAGTCTGTGTAGTTGGTATTCTGTTAATTGTTTCCCAAAATTAAAATGATGTATCATTCTTAAGAAGAGTAGATATATTAATAATAATAATAATAATATATCCCACACACTCACACACGGCTGTCTGATCCCAAACTAGGCAGAGCCTGTACTATGGTAACCAGACCGCTGATAAACATACTTATATATTTCTAAATACATACATATTATAGATAAATTACACCCAGACACAGAACAAATGACCGTGCTCATCACACAATATTTGTCCTGGGTGGGAATCGAACCCACGACCTCCGGTTTAGCAGTCAGGGTCACTAACCACTAGACCAACAGTAAAATATTCAATATATTGACACAATATATTGAATATTTTAGTTCTGTATAATTTACCAGACGGTTTTACTGTAATGTCAACAAAACAAGGTCGTTTGTGTGTTCCGCTCCAGTAATTTAGTACATTTTAAAGTATAAGTATTTTTATTCATTAAGTAATATAATACTTATGATAAACTAGCTGTTCCTCGCAATTACATCCAGGTTTATTGTCACTGCTTTGGCCGTAATGGTCATAGCTCGATGTTATAGAGCCTTTAACCTCTATTAATGAATACTATTTAATAAAATACAGATAATATTATTCAGATAGTAGTTCCAGGTCAAGTACAAGTGTACTAATAGACTAGTCCAAATAATATTTTTATACGAATAATAGTTCTGAGAAAAGAACTTCTATCCGAATAATAGTTCTAAAAAAAACAGTGGCACTCCGGGAGTGCCGACAAAAGTGAAAACTTGTTTTTTTTTTATTACAAAAGGAAAAATATCTATTCGAAAAGTGCCGACATGAATATATATTATATCTATGTTGTACGTTTATACGAAATATATGTTTATCTATACTAATATTATAAAGCTGAAGAGTTTGCTTGTTTGAACGCGCTAATCTCAGGAACTACTGGTCCGATTTGAAAAATTCTTTCAGTGTTAGATAGCCCATTTATCGAGGAAGGCTATAGGCTATATATCATCACGCTAAGAGCAATAGGAGCGGAGCACCAATGAAGAATGTTTCAAAAACCGAGAAAATTTATTACTATTGAGAGACGCAGACGAAGTTGCGCGGGTCAGCTAGTGTAACTATATACAATACTGGCTGACCCGCGCAACTTCGTCTGCGTCGTCCAGTAGTTCCTGAGATTAGCGCGTTCAAACAAACAAACAAACAAACTCTTCAGCTTTATAATATTAGTATAGAATATCAATGTATTTTAAACCAAACTTTACTCTTGTGTAAACGGGGCCAATATATATAGATAATTATATACAGAGGTGTCGGTAGCGGTAACAGTGTCGCGAGTTCAAAGGTTTTTTCCCCAATGTTTTTCCCATCGCAAAAAATACATTCTTTTGTTTGTTGCTCAAATATGCCCAACGCGCCTAAAGAAGTTTTCACTTTTTACAAAACATTAAACTTTATGGTATTAGTTCAGTTTAACTTGGCAGTATTGTGCAGATGACCTACTTCTTTATAGTATAAATGGGGGGGGGGGGGGGCAATCTAGTTTCACACTAAGCAGAGCTTGTACTATGAAGACTACTCACCACTCCTGTCGAGTCGGTGTAAACGCGCCTCAATATTGCTCTTCTACGGTAAAATAATATAGAAGCGAAAATAGACTCATCCTAGTTATGTGTTACGGTTTGTTGAGTGGAGGAACGGGTGTCATGTCCCTCCAACACAAAGGGAGCCTACCAGGCGGGATGATCATGCCTGGCGGGCCGCGGCTCAACGGTTGATGTTGTGAAGTTGTATATACTCGTATGCTAATCGGCAAGAGAATTCTTCATATCGTGATACAGGATTAGCAATTCTCATTCAGGAGTTACTCGGTAGTTCGGTGTGTCTTCGTTAGATGACGCTGTAGTATGTTTCTGTTTCTGTGTGGGAGTCGCCATAGTTGATAAAGTATAATAAACCTACTGACGACAATAGATACTTTATTATTACTGCACTTAAAAACGTTAAAACAATACTGAATAATAGTCCGGAATGATCTTCGATGTATATCGCGCTGTATCTCGAACTGAGCTGTCTCCAATGAAGACGTACCCACATTTATAATACTTGCTACATGTCTAGAAAGCCCTTTACAGCCTAATCTAATCTCTAGTAGAACTTTCGATTTCTGAGAAATGCAAGTTCGTTTCAAATGTAAACAAGATAACCGCGCGACAATCTACTTTCGATCTTATCTCAATCTTTTCGATTGTTATAGAACTCATTGTTCCGTGGCACCCTGCATTATTATTAGAACTCTCTCTGGAATTGCGCAGTTAAATGAATTCTCGAACCTTCGTGAGATCTGGTGACTTTTTTTTGTGGATTGAAAAATTCACGAACACATGGTTGAATTATACAGTTTTTTTAAATAATTTAATCATTTTTATCATTTAACCTGTTAACCTATACTCTCGACGGGGTTTAAAAAGCAGTATATCTTCTGATTCCTGGATATCAAGTGATTAGCTTTTGGGCCGAAAGGGGTAGCGGGAAAACAAAGTGGTTTAAAAACTACACTTTGGGAAACAGATAAAAGGCAGGAGGGACATCCACGTCTCGAGATGACAGCAAAGTAAATGAGTACCTCTGGCACCTGTTGCGACTGTTTGGACATAGGTCACTGCTTACTGGTCTGGTTGTTAGTGATCATAACTGCGAAGCCTGGAATCGTTTCCAACCCCGGAACAATATTGTGTGATGAGCCCGGTCATTTCCTATGTGTCTGGGTATAATTTATCTATAATATGTAAATATTTAAAAATATATAAATATGTTTATCAGCAGTCTAGTTGCCATAGTACAGGCTCTGCTTAGTATGGGATAAGACTGCAGTGTGTGAGATGTGTGAATTCATTATTATCATTTAAATTTACCATCGACCGCTACGCCTTCGCTAATGTGTAATTAAAATAGCCTAAGTTATTTACCAGAGAAAGTCATATGGAAATCTGTCCAACCATTCCGGAGATTAGCGGTATAGACAGACAGACATTTTTAATACTGATATTGTCGAAAGTTCACTTAGTAAAAAGCTGTTGTTATGTATGACAGACCTCACTTACGTGTTATTATATTCATAATAATGTTATACCTGTTGAAAACCCTTTAGTAAGTGTGAAGTTATTGTTATAATTATTTATATCAAATACATAATAGTTATTTGTTTTCCTCAAACCAATCAATTGTACCTAATCATGTCCAATATCGTCGTATTCCACTGCCTTTCAATCTATTACTTAGTATTCATTAGGAATTGAAAATGGATAACACGAAAAACGGGACATAACAAACATTTAAACAGCAGTCCCAAAGTACACCTAAACTAGAGGTTGATGAATCAAAGATGGGTCAGTTTTTTTTCTATATGATTTGAACACATATCACAACACTCAGCGCGACCATCATCTAGTCTATTAGTTTTTTTTTATAGAGTAACTATCGATTCACAATGGCTTCGCACGGGTGCAATGTAGATACTACTAATGTGGTGTCAGTGTGGAGTAGTTATTATTATTATTTTAATGATAGGATTATACTACAGGACTTCTAGATATAATTATGCAATATTTATAGGCCCTCTCCGATCCTGCCGGCCGCTGCCACCCGGGACAGACGTACGGCCCGACGCGGCGACCGGCCGCTTTGCCCCCGCATTTTAAACCTCTAATTTCTTTTAAAATATTTATTAATGATATGCCGTAAAGAGCAATATTTTAATCTACATTAAATGCACAACGTATCTAACGTATTTAATTGGATAAGGAATAATAATGTATTGTTTAAAATAGCTTCGTAAATAACTCATTACTTTTTTTGTAAAATTTAAAGGATAAAAATGGTTACTATGGGTTATCCTTAGGAGATAGACATATACCATCGCAGACTTTTTTGTAGATCTTTTTAAGATATACAATGCCGTTGTACATTATTTTGGTCTATCTCGTAAGGATTAGCGTGCGTTTGCAATGTAAGCGCACAACAACATGTTTTTTTCGATAAATCTTTGAAATTCTCGGATTTTCTCTACTATAATATGTATGTATTTTACATATAAACCTTACTCTTGAATCACTCTCTGTATTGGTGAAAATCGCATTAACATCCATTACTTAGTTTGAAAGATCTAAGCGGACAACAAGCGACTTTATTTTATACTATGTAAGGATAGTAACATGAGTTTAATTATTAGCGTTAATGTTAAATCTAATATCAGAAGTGGGTTTATGACTGCACCCGATGTGGTACGAAACCGAAACCACCCGATGGCAAGTCTAACTCTAAACCCATTATGCGATCGCCGCTTTAGCTTTCTACATCCTTAATTTAAATTTTAAAAATTGTTTCATAGTGTGTCTGAAATGATATCTTAACTGTTCACAATGAGAAGTGACATAACATGTCAATAAAGAGCATTATAACATTAAAGTAACAAAAAAAATCAAAGCATTATAACATTAATGCAACAATTACAGTTCTCATGCATCATCATCATCATCACATCAACAGCCTTTGATAGTCCACTGCTGGACATAGACCTCTCCTTAGAAAGGAGGTTTCTCATACACTCACACTAATAATACTGCCGTGAAATCAATTCAAATTTCATTTTTTAACTGGTGCACTTTGTCAGATCATATGCTAAAGTATATTTCGGTAATTGCGGTTAAAAGTAGCCTATGCCCTTCCTCAAGAATCAAACTATCTCTATACCAAATTTCATTTAAACCAGTTCAGCGGTTTTTGCTTCGCCATCCAAACTTAAACCCCTCTTTTCACCCCCTTAAAAGATGATTTCTAGGATAAAAACTATCTTATGTCCTTTCCTGAGACTCAAACTATTGATAAACCAAATATCATCAAAATCTGTTTAGCGGTTTAAGCTTGAAGAGTGTCAGACAGACAGACAGACACAATTTCACATTTATGATATGAGTGTGGGTATTGATTTTTTATTTGGAGACTAGTAGTAAAGTTTAACATACATATATGTACATATACCAATCTGTATCAACATAGATATATCGGCAGATAATATGTATATAGTTTATTAGTCTAGATTTCTGAATACGGACAGAGATCTTAATTCTTTATCTTGGTTAACGTCTATATGTGTGACCTTGAAATGACTGTTGACATTAAAAACTAAATGAAACGACATGCATCACTCAAGTTTTTTTTAATAATAAATTTTAACTAAAATAAATTTTGAGGTTTCATGTAAATAAATTAAATGGTACTTTATAAATAATAATATTAGTAATTTGCCCAGATAAAAAAGTATTAAGAAATAATTAATCACACTATAACTTCTAATTATATACATATAAGTTTCTAATTATATACTTTATGTTATTGAGGTAAACATACAAGCTAAGATAAATGTAATGACAGTGAAAGAATATATACGTAAATAAATAAAAAAAGTGTAATATTTGTATTTTTTTTTTTTTGGACGTCTGGCAACTACAATGCTTTCTAGTTTCAAACTAAGTAGAGCTTTTACTATGAACGCTAGATTGACTGATAGAATACCTCTATACTATACCGAGTTACGAAAACTAAGTTGTAACATTCAAAATAGAAGCATTTGTTTATTAATTAGATTTCATTATTTCAAGCAGAACTGATTAGGTTTCCTTTGTGCTGACATAAAAAAATGTTTCTACAAATATTCACATAATACATAAAAACATTAAAAACTCACATCGCAGATTGCACCGTTCAGTCAGGGAAATTCGTAGATAATTGTGACGTCTACCAAATGTGTCCACGAGAGGCTCGACTGCGGTCGGCGCAGGCGCAACCGCCTCCACACCTTCCTAACATAGACATGGAGACATTATAATGAATTCGTCAAGTACAATGCACAATCAAACCTATTCAATAAAAAATAACTGCTTAATTATACCTGTCTTGGACTTGCATTACCGAAGGATCTGTTATGATTATAGATAAAGGTTCGCGAATTGTTTACGCGCGTTAGTGAAATTATTTTTATCAAATTATTTCTCATTATAACTGAATCGACGAGCGGCAACAGTAAAGTTTATGATATGTTTGCTGCGCTAAAGTGCGCTATGTTAAATGAATTGCTAGCAGTACGCACTCTTACTTACATGTCAGTGTCACATTTGCTGACAAACAAACAAGGCCAAGCAATTTCTGACATCTGATAGGCCGAGTCTGACACTATCGTCCAGAGTTGCTATTCTCAGACTTTTAGAAAATTGTAAAACATGTTGTTTTTTTATTAATTAAAAGAATGTTTTTTCATAAAAGACATAAATTATAGATTTAAAAAACATGAAACATTAGAAAAAGTTACTAAACTTTATCTAAAAACAAATCTTTTGAGTTTTAACCAATTTTGACTTGATACACTTGTTTTGGAAATTGAAACATTCTATCTACAATATAGTTATAGATTGTTTAGCATTTTGCTAGTAGCCAGCCAGATTTGTACAAGCATCTGCTAGCACAATTCAATGTAGCAAAACATGTTACACATAATAAAAAAAAAAAAAAAATGTTTTCGTTACATTCCGCTGAGAAGACAGTGGACTATCAACCTGCTCCTTACTTCTTATTCTGATGGTGGCATTTAAAAGTCAGTAACGCACGTAACTCTAGTGCCCCTGGATCTGCTCGTTTGCCCTCTGGAAGCCAGTGTGGGACACCAAAATTAAATGTTGCCTTTCTTTGTATTCAACACATTCCTAATAAGAACTTTAAGAAACAGTATAATTATTTTCAGTAGTGTTTTATGTCCTTTGACAGGTACAATCACAACCATAACACATAAATATTATAATAAGTAAGTAATTAACTCAAGTTAAGCCGAGTTAAGCGCGACTAGAGTTACCCCGGTTTGACCCATTGCAATCCTAGATGAGTGATGACACGGATTCTGTCGTCGTCCGTTTGGTTAGCACGTGCGTCTAGAATTCTTGTGTGATTTTGTGACTATTGGGTCTTTTTTTTTGTTATTTTGTGCTGTCCTATTGGTTACGGTGTGTTGTTTGTAACTAAACATTACCGGTAAGTGAACATGAACGGAAATAAACCGCCCGACCCTCCCGATATTCCATATCCAGTAACCCCTCCTTTCACCCCTACTCCTTCCCTACCCGATCAACCCTCAACCCCTTCCAACCCCTTAGAACAGTTTGCCAATGTGATCTGCAATGCAGCGGTCCAAGATAATTGCCCTCTCGCTACAAACTCACGTAAACGGCATGTGAACGATGAGGTAAGTACCCCCCCTATTAAACGTAGCCCTAATCAAGTAAGAAGCCCGCTAGGTCGTGACAAGTACACGACAAATGATACTGGTCCCTACATTGTGCATGTTTCCCGCATGGAGACCCAATTGGGTTCTGGCACAACTCTCCACCCTGTCTCTTTTGGTGTTTTCCTTTTTAAAAATAAATTAACAATGTGGTCAGAGATGGAGTCAAAAAAGTAGGTCGTAATAGGGTGTCAGTACAGTTTGCATCCCCTCAGGATGCCAACTCATTTTTAATAAACCCCTTATTAAATTCACATAAATACACTGCCATCATCCCCACCTTTAACATAACTAGAATGGGTGTAGTATCAGGCATCCCCACCGACATGGATGATGAGGATGTCATAAAATTTGTTACAGTGCCGCAGGGTTGTGGCCCAATAATTAAAGTCAGGCGCCTTAATAGGAAATGTTTTACTGAAGGTGTATTGGAGTGGAAACCTACGGAAACCTGTGTCCTCACTTTTGATGGCCAGGTTCTGCCTAAAAGAGTATACTGTTGTTACAACTCGCTTCCTGTTCAACAATATATTTACCCAACCGTACAGTGTAGGAAATGCTGCAGGTTTGGCCATGTGGAGTCCATGTGCAGGTCCAAACCAAGATGCAGCAAGTGTGGCCACGAACATCCTGGTAATGGTTGTGAGGTATCAGAAAGAGAGGCCTTTTGTGTGCTGTGCTCCGGTGACCACTTTGCTTATAGCAAGGCTTGCCCGGAGTATGGTAGACAGAGAGCTATTAAGACCATGATGGCGGAAAGGAACATATCCTACATGGAAGCAAGCAAGGTTGTTCCCTCTCCAACACGCCGATACGCTGACATCCTAAAAGCTCCACAACTCAACCAACTCCCTCAACCTTCTCAATCCACTCAGCCTACCCAATCCCTCCAGCACACACAGTCCTACAAAAAAACTGTGGTTCGCCAACCTAAACCTCGATCCCCACTCTCACATTCCTACGATAAAGTCGCACACCAATCCATTACTCAATCTCCCCAACCTTCACAACCTAATGGTTGTGCTATGAATAACTTATCCCTTGAACCCTCAACTATTGATCTTCTGTTACAACTCTTAACCTCCCTATTATCCCCCAATTCATCTCTATCCCAGTCTATTATACCGTCCAACGTTGCTGTCTCACTTATCAATATTTTAACAAATTTCAAAAATGGCGTCCCACAAAGTATTCCTACAATGGAATGTGAGGAGTGTATTCCATAAAAAACACGACCTCATATTTCTGTTGAACAAATTCAAGCCTCTGGCTATTTCTCTCGCTGAGACCTGGCTTTTACCAAGTCTCAACTTCCATGTCCCCCATTTCAATATTCTTAGATGTGATAGGCCTGATGGCTTTGGAGGTGCTGCCCTCCTTATTAATACTAAAATCCCCTTAGTCCCCCTATCCTTGCCCCCATTCCTTGAGGATATCAGCGTGGTTGCAGCTAAGATCTGTAACATATCCGTGCTCTCTATTTATATAGCTCACCCCCATCAAAGTTTCCTGCCTACATTGAGAACGATTTTACAGGATCTACAGGGCCCAATATTGGTTATGGGAGACTTTAACTGCCATCACTATAGATGGGGATCTGAACACTGCGACTCTTTCGGTTCAGGTTTAGTGGAGATCCTCGATGATCTGAGCCTCTGCGTACTTAACAGTGGCTGCTCCACTCGTAGAGTTCTTCCTGGTCAAAATAGTAGCTGTGTGGATTTGACTATTTGCTCACTCGACATCGCCGCAGCTGCTAGCTGGCAGTGCACCGATCTGTCGCATGGTAGCGATCATTATCCAATTTTAGTAACCCTCCCAACTTCAACCCACTTGGTAAAATCTCCCCCCCCCCTTTTAAAATATATCCTTTCAGAAGCTACCTGGCAAAATTTCTCCCAAACCCTCGAAAACTCTGTGAATGCTCTCCCCAGACTAGACCTTAGACCCTTAACCCAGGATGATCGTTACCTGGTGATGGACTGTTGTGACGCGTTCGTAGAGGCAATCAGATCAAGTGCAGACAGTTCCTTCAAAATTAAAAACTCGAGCAAAGGCAAAATTCCGTCACCTCCTTGGTGGGACAGTGAATGTACTAGGGCAGTCAAGTATAGGAAGGAGTCCGAAAGGAGATACAATGCCGATATGACCACCCAAAATTTACTCACCTACCAAAACGTTTTCGCCTCTACCAAAAGACTCCTTCGACGCAAGAAGCGCGCCGGTTGGGTTAAATTTTGTTCCTCCTTGTCCCCATCCACCCCATCCTCAATGGTGTGGAAGAACATAAATCGGTTCCGATCTGGTTGTTCGCCCTCTGTCTCTTCCTCTATCTCCCCCAATACAGCTGAGCTTTTCCTGGACAGAATTGCCCCCCCGTATGTCCCACAACTCGATGAAGCGACCTTACCAGACTTACCGTTTCAGTCGGTGGATGCCCATGACGACCCATTCTCTCTGGAAGAACTGAACATGGTCCTCAACAGTGTGCGAGACTCGGCTCCTGGCATAGACGGCATTCCATATTCTTTCATAGTTCAGGCCAAGCCTAGTACAAAAACTTATTTTTTAAACATTTTGAATTTTTGTTATTCTAACGGTTGGATCCCAGATACATGGAAAGTTCAAATTATTATCCCCATTCTAAAACCAGGAAAACATGCTGGTGATCCAAACAGCTTTAGACCAATCGCCCTCTCATCAGTCCTTATTAAATTATTAGAACATCTCATCAAAAACCGTCTCGAATGGATTGTAGAGTCAAGGAATCTACTGCCAAACTATCAGTACGGCTTTCGCAAAGGGCTCAGTACAATGGACAGTGTTGCAGTTTTAATAACTGATATCCGTCTTTCTCTGTCACAAAATGCATCTGTTCTAACATCTTTTCTCGACATATCTGCTGCATATGACAATGTCTTAATACCCATTCTCAGGCAGAAACTGCATCAGCTGAGAATTCCGGTTAAGATGATCCACTGCATATGCGCAATGCTTGTGTCCAGAACTCTAGTCCTAAGGACCTTAGGTGAAGAGTTTGGCCAAAGAAAGACCTGGAGGGGCTTACCACAGGGCTCTGTACTCAGTCCGTTGTTGTACAATCTATACACTGCCGACATGGGCTCATGCCTAAACAATGATTGTAGCATCCTTCAATATGCCGATGGTCTGGCACTATATGTTTCGAACCATTCCATCCAAGAGGCAGCCACATCACTCACTATTTCCCTTAATTCTCTGTGGCAGTGGCTATCAGATCATGGCCTTAGTCTTTCTGCTCAGAAAAGTGCGGTTGTTATTTTTACAAGAAAGAAGACTCTGCCACAGATTGATGTCCAAGTACAGCTGCAGGAAATTCCTTTATTAAACAAATTTAAGTTCCTAGGAGTATATCTTGACTCTAAATTGACTGGCGTTCACCACATGAACCACTTAACCGCAAAATGTGAACGTGTAATCCCAATTTTAAAGGCCCTAGCTGGGGTCTGGTGGGGAGCACACCCATACACCATGAAACTGGTATATAATGCCTTAGTACGCAGTATATTGGACTATGGGCTATTTTTACTGATTCCATGCAATAAAAGCGCTTTGGCAAAGCTGGACAGAGTCCAATCTAGGTGCCTTCGCATTGTTACTGGTTGCATGAAGTCCTCCCCTATAAATGCCTTACAAGTGGAATGTTCAGATCCACCTTTATCAATAAGAAGACAATTTCTCGCTTCACGTTTCATAATAAAATCTGTTTGTAAATCTTCCCATCCTCTTCTTCCAAAAATCTTAGAATTAGACTCCATTTGTACTACCTCAAATTACTGGACTCATAAGGGAATTCCATTGATTCTACAATCCTTTCGCTCCTACTCTACTTTTTTTAACTCTGCTGTGTCATTTGACAAACTCCCTCTGTTTTCTTTTAATTATAGCGTCCTTTGTTTTAAGCCGAATGTTCTTCTGGATGTTGGAATCCCTAAGAAATCTGCCTCTTCTGTTTCCACCTTTAATACACACTTAGCTGAACACTGGGATGGGTTTGAGAGGTTCTTTACTGATGCATCCAAACTTAATAATGATAGCTACACTGGAGCCGCTGAGTACTTCCAAAACTCCAGAATTCTCTTACAGTATAAGTGTCCAAAAGAGGCTTCAGTTTTTACAGGCGAGTGTGTTGCTATCTTAGAGGCATGCTTGTACATTGACTCGCACAACATCCACAAGGCAGTCATATTCACTGACTCTCTAAGTTGCCTTAAAGCCCTGCTACAAAATCCCTTTCGTAGTAAACTTCACAGTCCGCTGATCCTAGAAATAAAAAAAACCCTTTTGAATTGTTCCACCAACTCAAAAATAGTTCAACTGGTATGGGTTCCCAGCCATAGTGGCATTGTGGGCAATGAGTGTGCAGACTCACTGGCCAAAAGTGCTGCTACTTCTGCAATGTCGGACCTGAAACATCTTACACACCAGCATTACGACCTCCTAAGACTGCCTCAGAGAGAATTGTTAACATCCTGGCAGGAAGAGTGGAATAATTCCTCAAAGCATAAAGGGCGTCACTACTACGCAATCCAACCAAGCATTACCCCAAAACCCTGGTTCTACAAATTTAAGAAGGTATGTAAACCTGTCATCTCCACCATATGTAGGCTCCGCATAGGTCACTGCAGCTCACCTGTGTTCCTGAACAAGATTCGAGTACGGGATTCGACCTTATGTGAATGTGGCTTAGATCAAGGCAATCTAGATCACATATTCTTCAGTTGTCCTAAAAATATCCCATCCCTAGATCTCTATTCTCACCTTACCGAACTAAAAATCCCCATCCCTATCAACTTCTCATCTCTCCTAACATTTTCTTCCCCCCACCTTCTCCAGGTCTTGATGTTGTTCATCCGATCCAATGACATCAGACTTTGACCTTCATTTCTATGAATATTGGATTTTTTTTTTTTTTGTGATTGTTTCCTTATTAGTTACCTATTTATTTATTTAATACATATCTTATCTATTTGTACTTGTCTGCTTGTTTCAGTGTAAATACTAACCACAACAAAAAGCCCCACATTCAGTCTACAATTAATATCATCAATTCAATTTTTTGTGTAATAAAACCCACGTATTTCCATCGCACTTGACACTGGCAGAATTGTCGACATCGGCACAGTTTGCCATTTATGAAGAAGAAGAAGAAGAAGAGTGATGACACATGACATGACATGTCATTCTAATAAAATATTTGTGTTTGTGTGCAAAACAATAATAATGGTGATTTAGATATTAAGAAATTAATACTTAGTTAATATAATTTATGTGTAATTGAACAGAAATATTGACGACTACACATAAAATGTCATTGTTTCCTGCTTACGCTCAAGATTCGAGTGAAAATAATGTTGACCAAGAAGGTATTTTGTGAATTTTGTTATTGTATTATGTTAAACTACAGTTTTATTACCTTAGATTATGTATATTGTTTATTTGGCAGTTGTTTGTATGCCGGAAAGTAGCAGCGTCACATCAGCTCAAGAAGCACAACTCCTGGAGAGTGAAAGTGATGAAGAGCGGCAGACAGCGGCGTCAGCGGTGTCACCGGTGCCTGTTGAGCCCAGCTCTTGCCAGTTAAATACTGACGAGTATTACCTCGATCGCAAGTTTGACTGTGGCAACTTAAGAGTTTCGACCCTCTATTATCCTGGCCGACCCCAGTAAGAATTTTAATAGTATATTATGCAGATATATAGAAAGCTATATGTATGCAGAATTTCATTATAAAGAAGAAAGAGGCACATATCTAGTTTAATTTTGTTGTAAAACATTGTAAACACACAGACAGACATCCCAGTGGTGTCATTCAGTGGTCTTGTTTACAATACACTATCTGATTCTAAATGTATGTGTTTATAAGCTTTCATTTAATTTCCAATGGGTGTATCTTTTTTTAATGCAATGGGAGAGGCCTATGTCCAGCAGTGGACTGCGATAAGCTGATGATGATGTATCTTTTAAAGTCAATTGTCCTGATTTGACCATGCTATAAAAGATCAGTAAATATGTTTCTTTTGGATATATTATAGTTAGTAAAACTGAAATTTCTGATTGACTTTAAATTATTTGACCACAAAATGGTAGTCTAATATTAAAGCTAACTCACGACAGGTAGCCATTTTACCTAAATTAATTTAAAACATTTAATTTAAATCAATTTAATATTACTAGATATGAAACACAAAAGCGCGCTGCAGTGGGATTGCGCAAGAGCGAAGGTCGTGGTGTGAAGCGTCGTTACTTCGAAGTGTCTTTAGATGTTTTGCCTGACTCTCTCATGTTTGATGAGGAGTTGGCAGTACGTAATAAAGCGTACCGGCAGATGCTAACAGATCAGCCTACAGATGAAGCACTGTGGCTCAGATTTATTGAGTTTCAAGTAAGATAACTTACATTCTCTTGTCTTTATTATTATTAAGTAGGTTTTTATCCAATTTTAGAAGGGTTTATTCCAGTTATAACAAAGCAAGGACTCTCTTATAACTTGTTTTATCTTATATACCTTTCCTTATGAAATACTGCAAAATTTAAAAATGTAGGCCTTAATATGCCTCTGGCGATAGTGTATGTATTTCTAAATTTTTATTTATCATTGGACTGTAGTAGTTGGGTTTCAGGTATAGTTCGTTAACTTCTTCTCACGGATCTTGAGCGTTCCATGGCAGAGTGGGGATCGCATCGTGCACTTAAGGCAAAATAAAATGCACACCCATTTATAATTTTTTTTTTTTTTTCTTAGCATAGAATAGAAATATATCAAAACCATAGAACCAGTAATAAGTTACGTAGTCAACTTACTACGCAACTTCTGATTGATTCTATAGTATGACAAAATGGTTTTAATTAAAATTTTAATGTTAAAGCTAATAGGTATTTATTTTTGTTTAACAAATATTTTTGGGTGGCCATGTCTTTTTTATCGTCAACATCATATACATAAATTGGAGAATACATTACGCTATGTAATACGTTTACAAGAAAAACCTAATTCCGGAAAATTAAATTGTTGAAGAGCGAAAGTAGAAATGATTAAATTATTAATTTAAAAAAAGAATGACTTCTATTATTTTATTTGGAAGTGTACTCGTCGGCGATAAGTATGAGAAAACGAATCAGGCGCAGCGATATGATGGTAGTATCACTGGGCGACGTTATCATTTATTTTTCTCCCGTCCTGCTGTACCGCCAAAGGGACCTAAAATCGACTTCTGCGCCTTCTGGTGATGGTCTCAAGATCCGATCCGTAACTGTTTATTCTCTTGTTATGGTATAGTGTTGGTTTTATCACTACGCTAGAATTTATTCTATTAATAATTGTTTAATATCCATCACATTTGGAGTTGTTAAAAATACCGAAAGATACATTAGTCAATGAAAAATTATGTCAGGAACGTTGCCGTGATGCAGAGGCGGCTATGGTGGCTGCAGAATCCGCACGAGAGCGCTTGCCGAACTCTCCGCGCATACGCGGTGCTCTGTATAGATTGCGTTCGCGCGTTTTAGTACCACGTCGTCGCCTCGCCCTGCTGCGTGAAGATCTGGCAAAATGTAAGTGCCAAGCTATTATATGTGTTAATCGAAATAAACATAAAAACAATGTTTAGGCATATAACATATGACGTTCTCACTTAAGGCTCCAAGCCTGACCAAAACACAGAGCTGACGACGGAGCTATGGTTGAGACTACTGGATACGGTGGCTCAATGCGGTGACGGTACGGAGCTGGAAGAGACTGCCGCTGCAGCGCTGGGTGCCACGCGTGCATTCCCTTCTGCCTACCCTCACATACTCTATGTGTACGGTGAGAATGTTTTCCACTAATATGTTTTTGAAACGATTCATGAATCGAATCCTCGGTATTTGTAGATAAGTAAAATACCAAATATTATTATAGGCGGGTATCTTCGATCTGCCGGTCTCTGGGAGCGGTTGGTGTTGCTCCTCGAGTTGGTGGCGTCAATGAATTTCCCACCCGGCGTATTCCCACCGGCACCTGACGCCGAGCGCCTCGAAAGGGTGGAGCAAGAATTACAGGATACCGAGGATAAGGTGTTTAGGATTTTGGATATTAATACGTTTCACCCAAAACTTTAGACTGAACTTGAATATTCGTGCAGGCGATCGCGAGCGGTCTGCCTCTGAGTACTGTGTGGGTGCGCGTGGAGCGGGCACGCGCCGCGGCCCACTGGCGCGCGCCCCCCCTCGGGGAGGGCGGCGCGGCGGCGCTGGACGCCGGCGCCGACCCGCAGCGCACTCCGCTAGCGGCCGACGTGGCCGAGCTGCTCTTGCCGGCGCGAGCCGACGACGCGCCTCTCCTGCTGCTGCAGGCGTTGCGCCTCGCCAAAGTGCCGCTGTTGCCGGCGGCCGGCTACGTCTCGGCAGCGCTGGATCCCAGCAACGACGCCATGGGTGAGACTTACATGCCGAGACACATCGTACACTGAACTTTATAAAATATATCTTATCTCGATCAGCCTTAAATCTCTTCGAAAAAGCAGCACTTTATGAAAGTCCATTCGCGTTAAGAAAATAGTGACGCATGCAACCTTTTCCGCTTTTTTTCTTAAGACTATATATAAGTATGATGAATTCGTATCACCGCTGGAAGTGTAGAGCGGCAGCAGGTCTATGGTCACTTGGTGTTGCAGGCGACAGCCGCTGGGCAGCGTGCGGCGAGGCGCTGATGTCGCTGGTGCGCGCGGCGCGGCGCCTGCCCGCGGCGCACCCGGCGCGTGCGCACGGCGCGGCGGGGGCCCGCGCTCTGCTCGCGCACTTTGTAGACCCACCACACTACTTTACTGACGACACTGGTTCGTTCCAATACCACATCAAGTTCATACTTCCCTTTGTTGTTTTGACTTTAAAAAAAACGTTTTAATATAGAAGTTTATTAAACTAAACATTAAAACTTAACAATAACACATAAAAAAGGATTTGTCACTGTTATTTGATGCGTAACATATTTAAACGTTTCGCTGTTTAAAGATTATTGTAGAAATATTTTGCGTAATGTTTTTGACTCAGGTTACTTAAGTTGGGTGAGTTCATTGTGGGAGGCGGGTTGTTCGTGGACGAGCGGCGCGGCTCGTGTGGCGATACTGTGCTGGCGCCTGCGTTGGATGCACTCTTTGCTACTGTTGCTCGATACACAGGTTCAAATTCCGCATTTTTTTTTTACCATAAACTTATTACGTATGTAATAAAATATTAAAGTATATTTAAATGTTCATATACATTTATAGGTCGAAATTACTACCTCGTCTAGAATTTCCCTGGAATAATTCTGTAAGCATTGAAAAAAAGTTTGCTAATTACAAGATTAATCCCTTTTAGGTTGATTTTGAATCTAGTTCACGTAATGTATTCCCTGCTAAGCACTTTTTAACTTAGATCTCAGATTTTTGAACTTATCATTATTGTGTAATTTCTAAAGCCCCATCTGCACAGCGATATTCTACCGCGCGCTTTTATTTTGACAAAATTCTGTGACACATGGGATCTATATAGGACTATAGTTATACTAAAAATCTGTGATTTGATACAAATTGAACGCAATACGATGGCGATTAAATTCCACCGAATTTTACAAAAAAAATACTCGCTGTGAAATATCGTTATGCGGACGGACCCTAATGTTATGATGTGTTAAGGAGGAAGCTGATGCGAAGGAAGCCCGTCGAATTCGTTCGGAGGCACGCTTAGCCCTGAAGCGCTGGGCGGGCTCGTCTCCGCTGCCCTTCGCGCAGTTCGCGCGCCTGGAACAAGCCGCGGCCGGGCCGGAGCACGCTCGCCGCGCCGCGCTTCAAGCGCTGCGGGCGGCGCTGCGCGACCGAGACACTCCACCAGCGCACCGGCTCTATATCGCCAGGTGATACTGACATTTGTGCTTCATTTCCAGCAGTTCAGCGGTCACGGTATAAAATATTTGGTCGCAACTCACATTAAAATATATCTGTAAGTATAAAACAAGTTGTATTATTAAATGCAACTTACGTGATTACTTTACCCGTGCTATTAAGTAGTAGCATTGACATTGAACTCCTTTTATTCTTAATCATAGATACAGATATTTTTACACAAATGTGGACTGCACGGATGATCCACAAATTGTTGTTCTGAGTCTGGGTGTTCTTTGTGTTCGTTTCATGTATGTTTGTAAAGTCCCCCGCGACACAGGATTTACTCCTAGTGCGGGAGTTGTATTTAAAAAACAAATACATTTATGGAAAATGATTTGTATCACATATCCCTGTGTTGTCCGTGTGGTGACAGGTTAAGATTACGGAGTGCAACTACTACAATGCATGCTATGGGTATCGTAAGAGCCGACTAATGAAATAAACTACGCAGCATAACAGCAAAGAGAAGGAAAACTTGACACAAACCCTACATCAATCCATCTGGCTAGCGTGGTATAGTAAAACCTCTTTTCTAAGGAGAGTCTTATGTCCAGCAGTGGACTATTAAAGTTGATGATGATGACATCCTTGTAGGGAGTCTTGCGTCTCTTTATAAGTGTGCACTATAACCTTGCCATATCTTTAAGATATTGTATTTTACCTAATGTTGAATTAACATTATCTATTTATGTACCACGTGCTGGCAGGGTTGTGGGCGAAGTGTGCTCTGGCGCGGCTGGCGACTGCGCCGGCGCCTGGGCCACGGCCTGCAGCGCTCTGCACCGAGACTTGCCTGACGATGAACAGCTCGCTACACCTCCCCCGCAGGAGTTACTCGACGCTGCACTTAGTCAGGTATTTTAGCATTACATTGTTAATGTCAACTTTTTTTATTTGTATTATTATATTTTGACATTATTTTATAAGTCAGTTGAGGAATAACTTTTTATTTATAAGATATTGTTTTTGATGCAGTGTGAAACGGAATGCGAGCAAGTGGAGGCCCAGCTGGAGTCCGGGGAGGAGTGTCCGCTTCAGGCGGACGCGCGGCTGGTGTGGGCGCTGCTGCCCTCGGGGGCCGAGTGGGGCGCCGCAAGGGCTGCGCTTGCGCCGGCTCCGCGCCGAGCTCAGCTGGTGCGGCGAGTGTGTCGCGCCGCTGAGGCACCCATGGTCTGTAACTTCTATATAACACTTGTAAAACTTAGTTACAATTCGATAGAGGGCGTTGTTTTCTTTCTCGTAATCGCGTTATAATTTCGTTCACAGTAGTCTTGTATTAGGGATGTTTTATATTTTTTATATGTGTAGTGTGACTGCGATATGATTCAATATCTTTAGAGTTTTTGAATATGACAAAACTGATTTTTGCTCCATATTGGATTACCAATTTTGGAATCATGTTTTTATAGTCATAATTTGATTAATATTTGTACAATTTTAGAATCAACATATTCGTGATAACTAGAAAAATAATTACTTATGATAAAGTCAATGTTAATTTAATGTATTTTTTATTTATTGCAACAACATAATTATGTACTTTACAGTCCTCGAGATATTATTACACAAACTGCATTGATTACCATACAATACAGTAGGTATAAGAAACGAATTCAAAAAATATATTCCCCGTCTTCATATACCTCGTCTTGTAACTGTATAGCGATGTGCTCATAGGCAGTATGCCATCTATCGAGTCAAATTATAAATATTTAGCATAGTATAGAATCGGACAACATAGTACATAATATATTTATAGTCCATCAAAGTCGTGCGCGACCGTCCTGCGGGGTGACAGACGGTGGCGGGGACGAGGTACTCGAGATGTCAGCGGGTAGCGGGTTGTGTGGCGGGGAAGGGAAACGCTTATCTTCGTGTGTAGCCGTGTGCTAGAATGACGCGCTACCTCGCCCCCGCCACTGTCTGTCACCCCGCGGGACGGTCGCGCACGAGATTGCCGGGTTATAGTCCTGTATGTCCGAATAAGTAGGCCGAAGCGAATGAAACATATATTAGTTGGGGACGGTTCGTAGAGCATCCCGGCGGCGCGCTACCACGAGCAGGGCGCGTGCGCGCTGGCGGCGGCCGCGGCGCGCGAGCACGGCGCCGTGCACACTGCGCGCGCGCTCGCCCCGCTCTTCGCGCACAACGCCTACCTCGCACTCGGTGGGTACTGCGCATTGTGTCATTAGTTGGCCACGGTTCGTAGAGCATCCCGGCGGCGCGCTACCACGAGCAGGGCGCGTGCGCGCTGGCGGCGGCCGCGGCGCGCGAGCACGGCGCCGTGCACACTGCGCGCGCGCTCGCCCCGCTCTTCGCGCACAACGCCTACCTCGCACTCGGTGGGTACTGCGCATTGTGTCATTAGTTGGCCACGGTTCGTAGAGCATCCCGGCGGCGCGCTACCACGAGCAGGGCGCGTGCGCGCTGGCGGCGGCCGCGGCGCGCGAGCACGGCGCCGTGCACACTGCGCGCGCGCTCGCCCCGCTCTTCGCGCACAACGCCTACCTCGCACTCGGTGGGTACTGCGCATTGTGTCATTAGAGATGGAAAATAGTTAGGGCCCTCTATCTCTTTCTAACCGAGCTCTGTGGTTGACTGGGGCATATGAGGGAAATATCAGGCTACCATCTCTATCGTTGCCCGTATCGCTTCCACTTACAGACAGCTGTACCCCGTGTTCTCTCTATGGTTATGGTTCCTTTTCCCGTCATCTTCTGACGTCATATACCAGAGCTATGTTTCAGCTCATTGGGCCGATTCGACCGGGATGTTACCACGGCCTCAAAATTATAACTCTCCCTCTAATTTTAGTGACGGTAAGAGGTAGTACTCATAGAGCCGCTGCGCAATTGTAATCCTTAAATTGCAAGTGTGTGTGGGTAGTAGTAATTACTGTGGCGACTTCCACATAGAATGAAACGCGGAAACATACTACAGCGCCATCTAACGAAAACACCGAATTACGGAGTAACTGCTGAATGAGAATTGCTAATCCTGTATCGCGTTATGAAGAATTCTCTCGCCGATTAGCATATATAGAACTTGCCAACATCAACCGCTGGACCGCGGCCGCCAGGCATGATCCCTGCCTTTGTGTTGGAGGGACACAATACCCGTTCCTCCACAGTCACTTACTATCAGATGATTCGGTAGATTATTCATTATTTTGGTAGAGGAGGCAACACTTGTAAAAAAAAATGTTTAGTAAAAAAAAAGTTTAGCGTGAACTAATTATTATAAAATTTGAATTTTGAAATTGTGACGTGTAACATTGAAAGAACCATGTGGGTATGATTACAGCATGTAGTGGTACGTCGTTATGGTGGAGCGGTGTCAGGCCCGCCAACCCGACGGGCGGCCCGGTGTTCTCCACGCACGTGTGCGCGCTGTCCCACATATACCCCGCGCTGCTGCGAGCGGCAGCCTCTAACTGGCAACCACAAGGTAACAAACACTCATTAACCGACTACAAAAAAAAATGTGTACCTATGTAATTACCATACATATAACTCACATCATCATCTTCAATAGTCCACTGCTGGACATAGAAAAACTTGAGAAAAAAGGGTTTTGGCCCACTACATATAATTATGTATAACTTAAACTTTATTTTTTAGTATTTTTTTACACATGAAATAATCAATTGCGTCGCCATTTTTGTATAAAAATGACTATTTATTATAATATCTATGAAAAGCCCACTTTACACTGTAGGCTTACGCCGCTAAGTTCTTTTGGCGTTCGTTCTTTTGGCGTTTTCAACACGTTATGGTGAAAAATAAATGAATTGAATTATGATTAACAGACGCAGCCCGAGCGGTAGCAGCGTGCGGTCGAGCGGCGAGGAGCGGCGCGGGCGGGCCGCTGCTGCACGTAGCCCGACTGGAGGCCGAGGCACGAGCACCGCGGCCTCGCCCTGCGCCTGCGCTGCTTACTGCGGTCGACGACTACCCACATCATAAGGTAAGTGACGGAGCACCTGTAGTTATGTTGATTCTTAAAATCATAATTGATAAACGGATGGCGTAGTGGTTTAATTTGTGTTATCCACAAATTGTTGTTCTGAGTCTGGGTGTTCCTGTGTCCGTTTCATTATGTTTGTAAAGTCCCCCGCGACACAGGATTTATTCCTAGTGCGGGAGATGTCTAAACAAAAAATATATTTCTGCAACAATTTTTTTTTATTTTTAAATGTATCCATTATATCATTATGTCGTTTACTCAAATATCCGTATGGTGACGGATTAAGATTACGAAATGTCACCACCTCTAATCATCACGTGGGTGTTGTAGGAGCCGTCTAAGGGACCAAACTACGCAGAACAACAGCCCTGCAAAAGAAGGATAACTTGACACAAACCCTATACCAACCCGTCTGGCCAGCGTGGTATAGTAGGCTAAAACCTCCTTTCTAAGGAGAGTTCTATGTCCAGCAGTGGACTATTATAGACTGTTGATGTGAAAAGACGATGACCTAACTTCAGTAACTTTTTGGTAGGTTTCCAATTCTATTTAGGACATAGAGTTCTTTTGCTGCACGTATTTCAAGATGGTTAACGTTACGTTTAATGTGAAAAGTAGAGAAGGCGGCCGTAGGAACTTTTTATTAATTCAGGTATTTATTAATTTAGGTCAGGAACGGCACTTGTGGGATCACACATTATTAGATCCATTTAATAGTCCACTGTTGGACATAGATCTCTTCTTAGAAAGGAGGTTTGGCCTACTATATCACGCTGGCCGGACGGGTCAGTACAATACTCATGGGATGAATGCTTGATGCCCCCCTCCCAGTGGTCGTACGTGCGCGGCGCGGCGTGGTGCGGCGCGGAGGGCGGCGCGCTGGCCGACGCGCTGCTGGAGCGCGCGCTGCGCCTGCACGCGCTGCGCGACGAGCTGGCGCCACCGCCCGCCCCGCCCACTGACACACCGCTGCAACAATAAACCCTCACCATCTTCTACACCACTTTGCGTCACTCTTTAAACTTTCACTCACGAGATACAGACCGACAACTTTCTTTTATTTTTAGAGTTCACTCCTTAAAAATTGATTTTTATATACGTCGCCAGGTATGAAAAAATATGATGAGTAAAATTTAGTGATCGAATGACCTCGTTCCGTTTGTTAATTCTGAATGTAATTTTCAAATGACAGTTCGACTATTTACTTTTACGCGGTTGTCAATTTTTTTTGTGAGTTTGTTATTACTTCTATGATTTCAATATGTTTCAGTTTAGTTAGTAGTCCACTATAAAATTAAAATTGTTTTAAAACGGAAAAGACCCCAAAGTAAATGACAATTAATACGTGCCTTCTAATCATTTCACTAACATTTACATAGATGGCGCTGATCACTAAATTTGTGTGCAATCGACGTACACAGAGTATGCGTTTTTATGGAGTAAACTGTAGTCGTGCCTCGAAACTGATATACAACCTTTTTTACACAATTTTTAACAATTAAAAATATAGAAACAAATTCTTATATTATTAATTGTTACGAGATTACCAGTACCAGAGAGTAGTCACCAGGGACTTCCTTTCTAGCATATACCTGGTTCCCCGGCTATTAATACCCGAGACGGCGTGCGGTTTTAGTCGGTTCGAGTCCGACATGCCACCGATAGGTGACATCCGAGGGGATTTCCGCACGGAAAAAAAAAGTACCAGAGACCACGCCAAAAGACACGCGGTAAGGAGACACACGTGTGATACGCCCTGTAACCTTAACTGACTTAATATATTGTGAGAATGACACAATGTGTATGACAATCTTATGAAATTTATAACAAATTAAAATAGCGGCAAATTCTAAGTATTAATAACATATTTTTTTAATTCTATCGAGTTGAGTACCAAAAGGGAGGTTTTTTGTCTTACTAAAAGTATACATAACTAAATGTAATTAAATAAGAAAAATATTAAATTGTAATAGAATTTTGTAAATAGTAAACAATTTTCACGCAATCTGATTTTTATTTTTACCAACTTACTTAAGTACCTATAGTACGAGATCCCGCTACAGAATTCCTACGTTCATGGAGAATTCAATCAAAATCAGAATGGTAAATCAGTAATAAAAGGGAGAATATGTTTTGGCCGGGTTGCCTATTAAAATGTTCCCTTTAGTATTTTGAATTAAAATAATGTTAGTTGCCTTTTGGTAAGAAATTTAATTTACGTTACGTTTTTAATTAAGCGAACTGCACTCTACTTCATAGACATCTGTAGAGATCTTAAAAAGTGATAGTTGCCAGTTTTTAAAAATTAATTCAGAGACAAAGAGTTAGCGCGAGTTAGCTTTTTAATTCTTTTGCATTAGAAAGACAACTTCATCCAACTGTAGGTTTTCGTATGAAATAAAACCTTTTTTCTTTTAAAATGTTGATGTAGTTGCCAAAGATGACAATTAATATGTATATTATTTTATTTTTTATTTTTATACTTTCGGAAAAGATACAGCGAGAGGTACAATTAATATTTGTCGTATCACCTCAGTTTGAGAGCACCTCCCTAACTACCGCAGCCAGCATCGGAATCCTAGGCATCGACATATCGAGCGAAGTCCAGTTTCGGGGTCACTTTGAGGGTAAGGTCAAATTGGCCTCGAAGAAGCTCGGTGTCCTGAACATATCGAGGCAGTATTTCACTCCGGCCCAGCGCCTTCAGCTCCATAAGGCGCAAGTCCGGCCGCATATGGAATACTGTTCTCATCTCTATGCAGGGGCACCTCAGTACCAGCTTCTCCCTCTGGACCGCATCCAACGAAGAGCGACTCGAATCGTCGATAGCCCAAACATCTCCGATCGGCTCGATCCCTTGGCGTTACGTAGAGATGTGGATTCACTCTGCATTCTCTATCGCATATATCATGGAGAGTGCTCCGAGGAATTGTTCGGACTAATACCAGCCGCAACTTTCCGCCAACGTTCCACACGGCAAAATTTTCATCCTCATTACCTGGATAGTTGGCGCTCCACTACTGTACGCTTTTCGATAGACTTTTTGCCCCGCACAACCAATCTGTGGAACGGGTTATCGTCTGCGGTATTTCCGGACCGATACGACCTTCAAACCTTTAAGAAAGGAGCGTACTCCTTCCTAAAAGGCCGGCATCGCGCTTGTGACTCCTGAGTTACAGACGTTCATGGGCGGCGATAGTCACTTTCTATCAGGTAACCCGTCTGCTCGTCTGCCCCCTTAGGTGAAGGCCAATTAAAATTTTCACTGCTAGAACAAAAACAGACAACTCTGAATATGGTAGGATAATAGAAAAGTAGACACAGGTATTACTAATTTTTCTAATTTATGTTAGAGGGTGCAGACGAGCAGACGGTTCACCTGATGGAAAGTGACCATCGCCTCCCATGAACGTCTGCAACTGAGGAGTCACAAACGCGTTTTTACTATATATGTAATTTGTTTGTTATGCCTGGTCGAAGAAAACGTTGTCCATGTGTTTTTGTTAATTTAGTGACACTAGTAGAGAAAGTGTTGATATCAACACTCCGGCATGCAGCTATTATACAGACGACTCGCTCTGATCAGGTATGAGTTTTGCCTGTAGTTAGCATACAACAAGTTAAATCGTCGAAGATGCGCTGCCGGGACATTTAAAGCTATTTTGCTCACTAGTTCTGAGGAGTCGATCGCTCCTCTCATGATGCAAAATAAAAACGACAGATCCGCTATTTTTCTTCTCTCAATGAGTGGAAGAATATGATTTTTTTTACACCGGCGCATCTAATCACGTAAATAGCTACTGCAACGGTATTGTATATATCTTAAAAACCTTTTCTGTAGACGTTATACATCGGATTCCATACTTGAGAACAGTATTCTAGGTGACTGCGAACGAGGGATCAATAAAGTATTTTAATTTTTTTAATATTTTTAAAGTCTGCTGAGACTGAGTAGGACCCCCAGTGCTTTTGAGGCTTTGCTAACAATGTTAAAAATGTGTGTGTCAAACAGTAGTTTTCGATTCAATAGTAACTCTTAAGGTTTTTAATGTTACTGGCTAGAGAATGTGGTATCTGATAATTTATAAACCTGAAATATTGGACTATGTTTACGTGTAAGGGAGCACACGTAACACTTATTGACATTTAAATCCAGTTTATTCCTTTTGCCTGAAATCTATTGAGATCTTCCTGTAGTTCTACAGCGTCCTTGACCGTATTTATCTGTTATCAGTTATCATTAGCATAAAGAATACTTTTTGAAGATAGGATGCAGTTACTTTTATCGTAGATGAATATATTAAATAACAAAGGTCCTAACAGCGATCCTTGCGGGACGCTTGAGGGAATATTCGTAAGTGTTCCTCTAGATGTATAACCATTTAGCACAACAGTTAGACATCTGTTTTCCACGTACGATGTAAACCACCGGAACAAGTTGCCCCGACACAAATACTCAAAAGTTTACGCATTAAGATTGTGTGATCTATTCTATCGAAGCATTTACTGTAGTCGGTGTATATAACATCGACCTGTGACCCTTGTGACATGAATTTAGAAATAAAATCACAACACTTTCACACACACTCAAGATTAGATGTGGTAGACCGAACGTAAATTTCTAGTGCGACTAACGAGATATATAGTGATTTGTAGTTTATTATAGGGAGTGTTTGTAAATACAGTGCAATAAAGTAATTAACCGACAACTTTTATTTATTATATACCCCGCTCGTGACAGTATTTTTAGTTCCCTTTTTACGTATCGGTGTTTAAGACACCAGACTTTCAGATTGTGGGCATCACGTTGATATCATTCTCCAAATCGGTTCAGGCGTCTTCGAGTAATCGGTGAACATACATAAAAAAAAAGATGCCGACGAATCAGAACCTCCTCCTTTTTTGAAGTCGGTTAAAAGGTGAAACAGTAAAGACGAAATTTGTATAAATTAGGCTAAGTAAGGCCCTTTAATATTTTAAAAAATCCAACAAGTTCTCGCATCATTGACTGATCCAAATTATATTTTCCATGAAAGCAAAACTGTAGTAATCCATGAGTTTACATGCCTTATGCATGGAATCATTGATTGTCAAAATGTAAATACTGGAAGATTTGTTTTATGCTTTTTTTCCTAGCATATGTCTTATTGCGAGAGTTGTTGGTGCACATACGTAGTGCGAACTGAACTATGTATTATTAATTAACAGGTATACGAAATTTCTTCCCAAATGTCAACTAACATTAATTTAATTCAAAATACTACCCACATTTTAGATAGCAACCCGGCTAAATCGTATTTCCCTTTTATAACTGATTGAATTATTTTTTTGCAAAATTCGATAGCCGTTTGAGCTAAAAAAAAAACTTTTTATCGATACCAAAATGATCACCAAGTTGGAGTCCAAAAGTGGCAAGGATAGATTTACCATATAATACTTCAACATTCTTTAAAATATACATAATGTATCCAATATTAATTACAATTTCAAGGGCAAATTTTATTTATTATTATTAACAAAATGTAGATTTTTAAATTTAGCTCTTAGATTTAAGCCAAAAAGCTACACTGACTCGTGAAGGATTTGAACCTCCGCCCTCCGATGGTCAAGTATTTTTATATATCGGTGCTCTAACCTACTGAGCTAACGAGTCCTCTTTTACGCTTTCGAAAACATCAACTAGTTTCATACAAATTACGTCATCGCTCGCTACAACTAGCGATCTATTATTATTCACAGTGAGTAATGACCTCGGAAAAGGTTATTTTTAATTTTGAAGGATCAGCTTCGCGTATGTGGAAACGGCCTTTTCGGAACGGACGGTAAAACGAGGGTCAAAAATAACCGTGAGTCCGATTAATCGTTATTTTATTTATTTATTGTCAGTCGAATAACAATACTCATAGTGTTAGTAACAATTTGACTTATAGCTAATACGATGAACACAATGAGACGAACCAATACCTAACATGACACCTGCAACTCTAGAGACAAGTGCATTGCCCTTTGAGTACCACTCCCTCCTAGAACGGAGGGAAGAGGGGAAGGGGGAGTGTCGATCCCGTCGAGCCGACCCGTTTGTGCAGAAGCTTGGGCCACGGCCGGCGTCGATACGTCACACAATTACTTGTACAGGGTGGGAAAAAGGCGTAGCTCTGATATGTATTTTGTTAATACTTTGGCGATTATCACACTGCACCGCGCTATGTCGCGTAGCAGTATCTCAATTTGTATCTATAGAAAACAGCCCAAGAAAACACACTGACAACGCGTCGGCGTCCAACACGGACAGTCGGTCGCCTCTCAGGTTAACACAATGAGAAAGATAATAACTAATAGAATAAAGATAAAATAATAGATAAAATAACTAATATCTGTAAAACTAATAAGTGAATATAAAATCATTATCTTTGCAATAATGCTTTTACCAAACAAGTAGGTACATGGTAATAATCGCTAACCATAAATGACTGATAGTTCAATCCACAATGAAACTTTTTGTATTCTTCTTCGCTCACATCGAGTGTGATAGAAAGTGTCAAGAAGTCACATTTGACATAAGGTAAAAGGTTGCAGAAGGGTGGGTTTTTGGTAATGTTGCGTATATAGGGCCCACATACAGGCAGAGGGAGCGTTCGGTGCAAGAGCGTTGACAGACGATGTGATGAAGCGCGGGACGGTTGCAGCACTTCTATTTTGGATTCCAGCCCTACTCGCTCTCCTAGGTCCAGCGACTGGTTAGTGCTTAACTTCTACGCAAAATCATCTGCTATAGACGTATCTCATGCCTTTGAGGGAAGGCGAGAGACGATAGAGCGTCATTTCTCATCATACTGACATGTATCTTACGTCTTTTCTATGTTCAATAGACCTTTGAAACATGTATATTAGTTGGTTTATATGTATTTTAGTTGGTTTTTAACTTAACCCTTCCTCAGTAAACTGTCGATAGGCCACTGAAACTGCTGGCTGACAGGACAGATTGGTGAAACGCAGCAGCTGTTGAGCCTTGGTATCACTTCGGCCGATCAAGTCGGCTCTGAGCATTACTCTCCCACAGTTAGCCCCCAGGGGTCACATTTTACTACATGATATTCTGGTTAAGTCCATCAGCCAAGATTGCTTATGTTGGTATTGGGTGGTATGGGTTACTCCTTAGCCATTGCGACACCACAGCTTAATTTACTAAAGGTCCTCTTGGAGGTGTCCTTGGACTTTTAACACTGTATGATTATTATATGTTGCATGGAGTAGCTGCTGACGGCGACAAGTTGTCCAATGACCACGAACACGAGGCTGAAAGCGACGATGAGGGTGAGTCCGACTCTGCGCCCTTCATGGTAAGTTACAACACGAAACACTCACAACTCAGTTTGAAGTAGACATTTGACAAAATCATAGTAAACTGTGATTCATTCGATTTTTGAATAAGTTGGATTGCTAGATGGGTAGGTTAGACGTTATTCAACAGTAAATCCAGTATAATATAAATAATAAAATTATTACAAGATTTACTTTTAAATTGGCAAAATAGGGTCTTTATGCATCGTTTGAAAACATCTTATTGGCAACAACGCATCAGTAAGTAGTAACCCTAATCTACGTACGAAAAAATCCAATTATAAATCACCGTTCATTCACAGTTCCCTGTGATTTTGTCCCATACCTAGTTTGAAGTTTGAACTTTTCCAACAACTTCTTAAATCTGAGTTTATGGTGGCCTTCCTGCCCCTAAGAGGCACACGGCTCACATAACCTATACCTTCAGAGTATCTATTGCAAAAAAATATTTGAAATCTGTCTGAAAAAAATGGAGTTTTATTATTTGTGTAGATTGTTCATTGAATAAAACTTAAGTTTTCTAGAGATTGATGCATACACAATGTTTGCACAGGCGAAATGAGCGAGCGAAATAAGGACTCAACTCAAAACAAATCCGTACAATTTCAATATGTAAAAAATGTGCTTAATTTAATAGAATGGAAGTTTTAAAAATAAAAACTTTTTGGAAAAGATTTAGGTTCAATCTTACCCTAATTTCTGAACGGTTTTTGATGACTTTATAAAGTGTCCACATCAGTGTAAACATCTTTTTTCATGCGACATGTAAAAGTGATTTCGTGTAAAGGGACGAAAATATGTAACAGCAAGTTAGAGAAGTACGATTGCGTAAGACGTTGCGATTTGACCATAGAGCGCACTCGGTACTAGAATCGGTACTTCTAATTAGGGTGTCGATTTGAGAGGGACCTGAAATAACATGGTCCGGGTCCTCCTCGGAGTAGGGCGCCTGAGTCCGGCCGTCGGGGTGGTTTAGGTACCTATTCCAATGCCAGTCTATCAGCTGTAAACATTCTGAATTGTTATCGCAAAATTTCAATATATATTTTTTTCGGAGATATTTTACATCAGTTGTTAGACAGTACAAAGTATAAATACTTTACTAATAAGTTATGTGGCCGTGGGTATAGGTCGTGGTGGAACATGGAAACGGGCGGCGATGCGGCGGTTCCCTGGTGTCTCTTCGCACAGCGCTGACATCAGCATGGTGCGTGCGTGGCCTGGAAGGTGGCAACCCTCGCGAGCTGTGGGCGCTCTCGCCCGGCGCGCTACCTACTCCCTCGCGGAGAGTAGCGCGGGTTGCGCTAGTGGCGGGCGCGGAATCTGACTCACCAGCGCCACATCTGCAACCTGCTTGGGTTGGCGCTGCGCTTGACATTGCAGTGCTGGAGCTTGAAGCGCCCTTCGGTGGTGGCGCCCGTTCACGTCCTATTCTTATGGCGACACGCCCTGAAGACTGCGCCACTGGCACCGTGTGCCACATAGTTCGGGTCCGTGGGCGCCCGCCTCACCTGCGCATCGTAGACGCTGTTCTGGTACCTGGAGAAACTTGTGGCGCCGCCGCGCCTGGATGGGCCTCTCTACGCGATTCGGCTCTGTGCTTGACAGGCCCCACGTTATGCTCGGTAGGTATTAGTAATACTTACATGTAATCAGTCCGTACTGTACGTAATCTGCTTGCCCCACAATACAATTTTTTAATGTCGCTAGTGTCTAATTAACAGTTTGTGATTTTTTTAAATTTAAAATAAGGAACCGATTATTATATTTTCAAAAGAGGAATGTCTGTATTTAGATAAATTTACCTCCCTACAGTCATTCAGACAGTAAAAAGTGCAAAAATACTGTTAAAAAAAGTTAACAGTGATTATTTAGACAAACATAACCTGTTAGACATTTTCCAAATGAACTTGTACTATTTATTTACAGTTACGTAATAGTTACAAATATTTTGCTACTATTTTAGGTTTGAACCTATTATCGTCATCATTGTCTATATCAGGTCTTTAGATGACTTTACTAAATGTTGCCATCGCAGATGGACCGCGGGGCAGGAGTCGTCTGCGACGGTAAGCTATGCGGCGTCCTAAGCCGCTCAGCTCGCGCTGCGGGCAATGCGTCGCAAAACAACTCACCAAACACCACGAGCGCGACACAGGCGGACTCCACATGTGGAAATATTCACGTGGCGCTTAGTGTAGCGCGAATGCGACACTTTCTTCACTGTGCACATACATTGCGCGCCTGTGGACGGTAGGCACTTCATATGTGGATAGTAGATAAGTAATAAAAATTGGTTGCCTGTAAAGTCGGTATACGGGCGAAAGTTTTACGTGACAACGACTATGTCTGTCTCTCTCGCTCTTAGGCGGGCTAACCATGCCCGATTGGAAGGGACGTGTGCCTCTCACTCGCTCTCATTGTGAGCGCATAACGTGAGCGGAGCGTAACGCAGTTTCTTGAAGTGTCACCCGGCAAACCAATTTATAAGACGTTGTCACGTCAAAAGCGAGTCTAAAAGAATATATCACTACTTTTTTAATCACTGACATTTATTGAGCAAACTTGCACATTTTTACAAGGCATACCTGAGTTCCGTCAGTAACAAAAATTTAGTATATGCCTTGAACAATATACATATATTATAATTGGATCCGTTTACAGCGGTGGGGAATGTTCCAACCAGTGCAGTGAGCGGCAATTAATGGTATTAGAAGCTAGTGAAGGCGGTTCGGGTGGGGGAGATTCTGACAGCCAAGCGGAGCGTTTCTATACTTCGTCCTCTTCTATCCAACGGCCGACCGCGACCATAGCGCTTACCACAGAACGGCGTTCGACGGAACGAGTAGCTTTTGACAACCCTCCTACCACTATCGAAAGGTTTATCCCGATGTTTAGTAAGTGTTACGATATTTTGAACTATTAAATGACTATAACTAGTCAAAAATAATTAAATAACGGTATTTCCTTTTCGCGGGTGAGGCTGCGGGCAACAGCTAGTTTAAATATAAAAGTAGATTTTTTTGCCATAAGTTTCATTACCTTGTTTTGCTATTCATAATTACCGAAGCTTACTTTCGAAAGGAAAAGATTGGCCACACAGTCCAGGCTAAATGGTTATATTTTAGAGTACTGATATTGTGCGATGCAGAAGTTACTTCGATTTGTTTTTTCTAGATGGCGCTCATGTACATGTATAATAGTTTATTATACGCAGATGTCACATACTAAACTATAGATTGCCGCAGGTCATTATGACTCTTAAATAGATTAATCAATGAAATTAATATTATTTGGCATAGAAACAGAAGACTCATCACCAACACGCAGTGTTCCGCCTGCAACAATGACGACCAGGCACACTTCGACTATACAGGAATCGACGCTCCGTCCCAGCTTCGAGTTCGAACCTAACCGCGCCGACTTTCGGGTAAAAACCAATGTCTTTATCAGTCACCAGCTAAAACACAGGTCTTTGGTAGGCCCCTGACACGTATTCCTTACACTAAAAAGAAATATTATATTTGACTGCAAAACTCATAAAAATACATATGTTTAAGTCAACGTAAGAAACTCAGCAATGAAAATTAGCTTAAAACTTAGTGAGATCTTTCAACTAATGACAGATATTTAAAAAATTAGCTGTATTCTACAAGGTCCATGTGGTGACAGATTAAGAATACACAGTGTCACCACCACTATACTCGTACATCCCGTGGGTGTCGTAGGAGCCGACTAAGGGAGAAAACAACGCAGAACAACAGCACTGCAGAGAGAAGGAAAACTTGACAAAAACCCTATACTAACCCGTCTGGCCAGCGCGGTATAGTAGGCCAAAACCTCCTTTCTCAGGAGAGACTTATGTCCAGCAGTGGACTATTAGAGGCTGTTGATGATTCTACAAAAACCTTTATCTAGGTACTTCTTATTTGAAAAAAAAACTATACTTTAATGTCTTTAGAAAATGTGTAATTTTTACTTTGTGTTGTTTACTGTGCAACTGTAATAAGTAGAGAATATTGGCCAAAACAGTTTCGCCTGATTCCTAAAAGCTGTGGAAGATACATATAAGTCAAGTAATATCCGTTTCAGTAGTCTAAGGCGCCAGCTGTTTACCGAGTATTTTAACTCAGATGTGCAGTATTACTCCCTAAGGCTAAGCTTCTACCATATTTGATAGTCATTGATATCATTCAAGCCATGTTTCGATGTATTAACTTTATTATTATTAAAAACTTTTAAGACTTTCATTAGATCTAGTTAAGACCCCACTTTACGTCATCCATATACTGGAGGTGCGGCCTTGCGCTGGCCTACGAGCTCTCTGCCGCCACCAAGTGTCGGCATTGGGTGTTTCTAGGGTCCCGCACGAACCTCACGCGTGTACTTGAAGGCGGGCGAGTACGGTGACAATGCTGTAGACTACGGTGAAGCTGAAGAGAGCGGTATGGGGGGCGGCCCCGGCGCCCCTGCTACCACGACAGCTGGTACTGCTGTATCAATGACCACGGTGCCAGGGACCTTCACGCCTGTGATTCTTACCTTGAAGAGCAACTCGGCGGTTACGTCCAATTCGATGCACAGTTTTCTGACGTACACCGATGATCTTTCTACCAAGACGACCACATCCCATGTGAGTACGAAGAAACCCAGCTCCATAGCTGTGCGTTTGTCCAAGTTGGATGCTCAGAGGGCCCCCAAGACGAATGTGAGTTTGGGGCATCGGTCGCTAGGCTTTGCAATCCCACGGCCTTGTACCTTCATGTATTTTGTTGTCTTTTTGATATATTGTTGTTTTTGAATGAATTTGGAGTTTAAAATTAAAGTTTGCAATCAGGATCATTAAAATCATGGCTTCGTAAATTTTATTTTCCTTATTTCCAATTCACAGTTCTATTAATAAAACTGTAAATACATCAAGTGTGTATTATGTCGAGTATGCTCCGACATTCAATCGACCTCAGGTTAATTGCATGGTCATTCAAAAGGTCAAATCTGTATGGGTAACAAAAGTATTTGTGAATACATTACATCAACCAGATATAATGGCTATAATAAACTTATTACTATACTGATTTTATGTTTTCTATTGTTATATTATTATCAATCTACGAGGATCTTACGAAGGAAACATCGGGACAAAAGTACATTATACTTAGAACAATATAATCAGTTGGCTCATGCGGTATACGTACCTACCTTTGGTGTCACTTGTCCCATGGGTCCCATGGGTTGTCCCACCATGGGACAACGTCACGGGCCTAGTGATCCCACTAGTGGATGGATAGTACAATTCGACGCAGTGACAAATTTAACTACTCGTTAGTTAGTCCAGTTTCTGCCATTTACTTAGTACGTAGGGACTTGGTTGGTCTTATTTATCCCGGTAAGTAAAAGCTATCAGAAGTTTTGAAGGGCGTATAGTACGAAGAGTGGTTAACAATGGATATACAATATACATGCACTGTAGTGCATTGTTCATTATAGCTTTCTTGTAGGGTGATGCTAGGGCTTTTGTACAGCGTTTTATGGATACAGGAGGAATACCATCACCACCTGCATCCTTAGTTTCATCTAGTCCTATAAGTTCGCTGTATATCTCTTTGCTTTCAAACTGTAGATTATAAAATGCTGCAGACGCGACAGCTTGAGAAGTATTCGCGGGTTTGGGTACATATCGTCAGGGGTGCTAAAGTTTATAGCGAAACTATTTCTAAACATGTTACGAATTTCCTTGCCGCCTACTGCGATTTTGTTATCCATAGACATTTGTGCCTTATATGTACTACCTTTGCTTATTTAAAAAAAAAAGACCATTATGTTTTAGGGTTATTTGTTACGGCGTTTTCTATATTTGTAATATAAATCTTGGCTTAATTCAAAAATCTTTATTCATACCGTAATTCCTCAAAAGTCACTTGGTCTAGTGGCTTTTTGTATTTTTTTTAAATGGACTTGGTATTTGTATTTTTCTCTAAGAAGTCGAATCATTTCACGAGAGTACCACAGTGGATATTAATTAGTATTGACGATCGGATGGCGTAGTGGTTTGTGTAACGGACTGCTACTCCAAAGGTCGCGATTTCAATTCCCACTCAAGGCTAACATTTGTGTGCATGTTTGATTTGGCCTGGGTGTTTCTATGTTTAATATGTAGGTATTTAAAAAAAAGTATATAATATGTATTTATATCAGTTGGCTAGTACCCATAGTACAAGCTCTGCTTAGTTTGGGAGTAGATGGCGTTGTGTGAATGTGGTAGAATATTATTGGCTAGTTTTATCATAGGTATGAACTCATTTATGGTTCGTCTCAATTGCTTACAAAACATCCACCATATCGTCAACAGATGCACAGCTTCTGAACTCATTATCCCACTCTATCACTAATAAATCATATAAAACTATCTCATAATCTGCGCGTTGAAAATTAGGTTTTGGTACCGTTGTAGCTTCTAAGAAATGTTCCTGTACTGGTAGATCGAATTCCAGTGGGGGGTGTTAAGAGTTTGATAAATTATACGTACATCGGACGATATCTGTGATGGAGATATTACATAATGTTACTTAAATTTAATATTTTAGATATATTGTTAAAGATATTATTGTAATAAATTAGATCAATTAAGGTAATAAACTCCGACAGTATCGTTTTTGTATCGGAATTATTAGGTTAAGGGTACAAGTGCTCAGAGTTATTATGGCTAAGCCATTGCACATTTCACATTAAAATCTCATAAAATCAAATTAGTTCATTTTTATGTAATACCTTGTGAACGTTATTGGTAAACATCACAAGTGTATTACTATGGATGGGTGGCGATAGGTATACTCCGCTGACGTACATTTAATGGCGACATTTTTTTATGGAACTTTTTCCAATGTTCATCCATAAATCTTGAATTTTGCTTTCAATCTGGGATAGTGGACACGATTTCAGAGTTTTGGTGATGGCAATTAAAACTCCTTTTCAATCTTTACGTTTTCTGTAGCTACTTGACTCACGATCGACTGTATAATCTTGGGTATAATCTATGTGTACCCGAGACGGCGTGCGGTTTTAGTCGGTTCGAGTCCGACATGCCACCGACAGGTTTGACTGCACGGATGGCGTAGTGGTTTAAGCGGTCGCCACGCTGCTTCCTACTACGCCGAGTGTTGTGGGTTCAAACCCCACATGGGACGACACTTTGTGTGATCCACAAATTGTTGTTCTGAGTCAGGGTGTTCTTTGTGTCCGTTTCATGTATGTTTGTAAAGTCCCTCGCGAAACAGGATATATTCCTAATGCGGGAGTTGTCTTTAAAACAAAAAAAGAAAACACAAAAAAAAAGGTGGTATCCGAGGGGATTACCGCACGGAAAAAAAAGGTATAAAATCTATGTATCTATCGTCAAACAACTAGGCTTATACCTAAATGACATTTTGCACATGTCAACATGTTCACGCTAGCCACGGATATAGTCCCCCTTTTTTTTTTTTTTTTTTTTTTTTTCCCGTGCGGAAATCCCCTCGGATACCACCTGTCGGTGGCATGTCGGACACGAACCGACTAAAACCGCACGCCTTCGCCGGGTACTAATAGCCGGGGAACCAGGTATACCCTAGAAAGGAAGGACCTGGTGCACGGATATAGTCCCCTGGAGCTGCATAAACCCAAGATTCTAAGTAAAATATATTTATTATAGGTATTTTTAAAGTTCGTAATAAATCTGGCATATTTACGCATGTCTCACAAATTTTTTTTTACAAAAGAAATTCTCAAAAGACACGTAACGATAAATCTCCGAGGTTCTTCTTGAGGTTCTAAGTCTTTTTTATAAAATAGACCAAATCGTCATGATCGTAGAATAATGACGGTTTTAAAAAAAACTACGAAATTCAGTTGGTTGCTACATTGTCTAAATATTATTACTACATTCAAGAAAAAATTATATGTATTTTGGATTTTAAATTATTCAATGTCATGTCAATGTCATATGTCATGTCAAATGTCATGTGATTTTTCTAAAAAAATGTATTAATTATTAGTTGTTATTTTTATTGCATTTTAAAACAAACCCTATTTTTCACTTGCCAATTTTCATAATCGCAGATTTGGAATTGAAGAAGTTATGTCAAAAAATAACATAATTATTTAAAATGGCTGCCCTGTAAAGTTCCATAAATGTCCGATCCCACACTATTCTACGACGATGACGAAATGGTGGGTCTAAGCATTAAAAAAATAGTAAAATTTTAATCACCTACGTACCCCACCAGGCAGGATTCCAATGTATTGCTACAATGGCTATGTCAATTAAAAAAAAGTATGAGAACCATTTCATTAACATTTTAAATTAGTCGTGACTGTATGACTAATTTAAATGTTTGGCCTTAGCCTCGGCTTATTTTTAAATTTAAATATAAAATACAGCCTTATAAGATTAAAATTGTATTCAAAAAACCATTAAGGTTATTAAACCCACATTATCGCGTCTTTGCCCCTACTCGTATTGTATATTAAAAAAAAAACACTAAATGTTTATGGCAGAAGAAGCGAACCGGAACTGAAATTATTTTTATATATACATAAATAAAAAAGTGTCTGTTTGTAATGTCAAAATAATAGGTTTTTTTTCATGCTCACACTGCTATTTGCACGATACCTATGCCTAAAAAAAGTTTAGTATTTTCTGTCTGTCTGTCTGTTCCGATTTTGATAATATTTTACCAACAGGTGCTGTCTATATAAGTAGTAACTTAGGCTATTTTTCCTCCTTGAAAAACCCAATAAAATTTTGCTCCGTCCGGCAATCGAACCCAAGTCCTCATGGACTGCAGTCGCGTACCGTACTACACCACACACAAAGTAGCGCTTTTCATATTCCATGTAAACGAAGTCGCGTGTACCAGCTAGTTGATACATAAAATTTGTATAAAAATCAAGATAATATTGTAATCAAGAATCTCATTGGAACTTCTGCACGTGCCGTGAATATTATTATTATTTCAAGGCTTTATATTGCCATACAGGTTTTTATGCACGACTTAGTCGACTCGAATCTGTTAATAGCGTATAATAGATAAAAAATAAAATGCCTTTGATTACCTACAAATAATTTTTACAATAATATTATCTAAATAATAGGTCTTTACCTATGAAATTTTTCGTCTTGTATGCAATAAGTGAAAGTACTTATTTTTTCAAACTTTTTTATTTCTGTTATTCGAAGTAATCACCCATGCAATCGACGCATACTCGTATTTGCCAACGCATTGGCAGTTTATTCTTGTAAAAATCAGCTGGACGGGAGGCAACAAACTCTTCAAAGGCATTTTGTACTGCCTCTCGTTAATTGAATTTTTTACCCACTAAAAAGTTGTCTAAATTTTGGAAAAAGTAATAGTCGGTAAGTAGGTGCAAGGTCTGGTGAGTAAAAAAAATAATATTCAAAAAAATATTGTTTAAAAAACTAAAAAAAATATTTATTACATTATTATTTGACTGGTAATAAATTTATTTTCTATTTTTTAGTTTGGTTTTCTATAAAAAAACGTGTTTTTTAGTTTATTAAACTATTATTAACTATTAATTTCACTGTCCAATGTCAACTATCTATACCTACTAATATTATAAAGCTGAAGAGTTTGTTTGTTTGTTTGTTTGAACGCGCTAATCTCAGGAACTACTGGTCCGATTTGAAAAATTATTTCAGTATTAGATAGTCCATTTATCGAGGAAGGCTATAGGCTATATATCATCACGCTAAGACCAATAGGAGCGGAGCACCAATGAAGAATGTTCCAAAAACGGAGAAAATTTATTACTATTGAGAGACGCAGACGAAGTTGCGCGGGTCAGCTAGTGTTAAATATAGAAGGTACAGCAAGTGTACTCTTAGTACCACCCCACAAATTAAATAAAATCTTTTCTTTTTTTAACACAGCAGCATCTTCTGAACGCAGCTTAAAATTCCTAAGTGAATATGCTAGTATGAAAATAGGTGACGTATTTTAATAATCGACTGCAATACAAAGTGCGAATAATGCAGAAAACTGGCAGAAAAGGAAAGACATCGCAAGACTTGCGCAAACCCGAAAGTGAGCGGCGACGGCGAGCTGCAACCATGCCCATCAACAGCCATGACCACTCTGGCAAGAGTGTCCGACTAGGATTTTAATATTCACATATTTACTTACCGCATTCAATGGAAAATCATGTAATTTTTCAAGGAACAAGATTTCATAATTAAAAATGTGAGTACAAATTTATGTTTGCAGAAGCAATGCAGATACTCTTTTCAATACCGGTCTTTCAATGCCACTTAATAATTTGAAGGCAAGAAACCTTATTCGATTTTTAAAAGTTCATATTATTAATACAACTTACATAATTATGCCATGTTCAAATGTTCAAGTTGTGTGCTGTTTAAGTGCAACTTAATAAGATGCAGGAATGACAGTATATGATTCTAATAAATAATCAAACAAAACTTAATTTGAGCTACATTTATTTTAACTCATTGAGTACATAATAATTGTTAATTTATAATATTATTCGTAATACATCTTAAATTATAACATTTATATTAATAATTTAATTTTTAATTACTATCAAGCATCAATAAAAAATATTGTCATTGTAAGGTAAGACATAAAATATGTAGATCTTATCTATTTAAAACGTATCTTCGTCTTTACATAATGTGTACCTAGATATTATGGTATAATGTTTGTTACATACCCATCCACGCAATGCGTTTAAAAAAAAAATTGCCAGATTGTTCTACAAACAGTTTATACCAAAGCGTCAACATCATCATTGTATAGATAGTTCAACTCAGTTGTGCGCGCGGCCCTATGTGTGCGTGGGCTTGTAAATATACAACTTTCATTCGTGTGGCAGTCGTCGTCCGACTGCCGCGTCACTGCTGCAACTGAGTTGAACTATCTATACATCATTAGCAAAAGAACACTGCTGGACTTGGCTTGGACGAGATTATTTTGTATAAAATTTACGTTTCTTTTTTATTTATACACGCACATTTCTGATGGCTTTTGAATGAATGAATAATAATAATACATCACACATCCCACACACGGCCGTCTGATCCCAAACTAGGCAGAGCCTGTACTATGGTAACCAGACTGCTGATAAACATACTTATATATATTTAAATACATACATATTATAGATAAATTACACCCAGACACAGAACAAATGACCGTGCTCATTACACAATATTTGTCCTGGGTGGGAATCGAACCCACGACCTCCGGCTTAGCAGTCAGGATCACTAACCACTAGACCAACAGGCCTGTCAAAATATATTGAATGAATATTTTATTTCAATTAAAACTTATTCACATTAACACATAGTTTTTGGTTGCTAAAATAATTCTGGACTTGAAGACAGTTTGTGTTTGGTATTAGCATCTGCTGCTGAACTAGGCTAGAAACCTGTATTTCAGCTAAAAGCGCCTCCACCTCGATCTCATTTTAAATATAACATATTGTTGACAATTAAGATCTTTGCCAAAGTGGTGACCCCTCAACCTCAGGTAAAACATATCTATACCTTTATATAAAAATGTTAAGTTCCTTTGTGTACGCTTTAACAAAAGTTCTGCACCGATTGAGCTTAAGTTTTGACACGATACACAACCCGCCTGAAAGATTGTTTTTATATATTTTATTTAGTTTTATTCCCCACTTCTCATCAATGTAATTTCAATGTGCCACAGCGACGCGTGACAGGGTACAGTTATTATATTACAAAAGCAATCACAGGGTTACATAATTTGGTAAGTATTCCATAAAGATGTTTTCCCAAAGCTCTAATTCTTCTTTGTCAGGTGCATTACTCATAGCTAATTTGTTGCCAATGTCCAGGTACTCTTTCTTCTCTGAATCGAACGGTCTCCACTCCACACCGAGACTTTTGTCAGGAGTTGGATTTCTAAAATATAATTTTTTTATCAGCTTACTTATGACTAATGGGAACGGGAAGAAATTGGGAGTATTGGCGAAACTTGTAGTTATAACCTTTATTTTCAAAATTGGGTAATTTCTCTTCTCCCAAAATGGTGACCCAGCTTTTGAAATTATATATATTACATTATATTTGACATGTGTACACGAGTATATTAATTAAATATAGATTTCACTCAGACACAGAACTGACCGTGCTCATCATATCTGTCCTGGGTGGAAATAGATTGCACCAGGGATTTCCTTTCTAGAGTACACTTGGTGATGGCGTGCGGTTTTGGTCGGTTCGAGCCCTGTGGCTGTCTGCCTGGGTGGGAATAGCTAGGTAAAAGAAGGTCATATCTGTTTTTACATTTTAATAGATATTTCTCATATTTTAAGGGTTTTTAGAGGTTATTAAATATTGTTCCATGCAACCCTGCATTATTATTAGAATTCTTTCTGGAATTGCGCAGTTTAATTAAGTCTCTCTTGCTTTCTGGAATTTTTGTGAAATTTCGTGACAATATCAATGTAAGATGCTTGTAAATTTGCAAAGTAAAGAATATCGAAATTATTCATCACCCTTTTGGGTAGCATTTCTTCTAAAATTTTGAATGGGACTAAACGAAAAGTATATACTGCCAAATTTTTTTTTCCAAATCGGTTTATTAATGACAGGGTGCAAAGGTAACAAAAATAAAAAAACAAAATTCAGAACTATGTGCTATTTGAAGTCAGTTAAAAATAATGTTTTATTTGTTAGATTTATGTATCTCATATTGGTAGCTATCCCTTACTCTAGTCATATAATAATAGGACGAGGGCACGGAAAAGGTGATGATAATGTGTGTTTATTACGTACCCGAACTTTGCGAAGTTTGTCCACAGCGTAGTCATCCTATCTATACATTTAAAAGTTTCAGATCCAATATCAACTTTCTCAGTCTTGATTTTTACTGGGAATAAGTACGCCAAGTCGTCCGCGTGAGATACCACAGCCTTATCCTTGATTATATGAGTTAACCCCACGGCGTGACCAAAAAAGTTTCGCTCCGATACACAAGAAAATTTGTAAAAATAGACTTTGTTCTTTCGTGCATATATTTTACCTGCAAAATATACACCGTACACAAACATATCCATACTTAAAAATTTCAATACGTCGTCTTCTGAAATGTCTGCCCCCTTAAAATAGAATTGCCGCAGTTTTCTTCCAGCCTCTAATTGATCAGTTAAGACACAGTGTGTTTTCATCCATTTAGGAACGAAAAATTCATTAAAATATTTAGCTTCTGCAATCATAGTCTCTAAAGGATCCCCAATAGCCAAACTTATAAGACCTTCATCTTTAGTATAGCCAATTATAATTTCCACTCCATCGTGTACACCACATCGTATCACGTCACTCACATTACCATAAAAAAACCTTTCCTGTCCAAAATCTTTTTCGTCTACAATACTAAAATAAATTTCATATGATTTTTGAGCTTTTGAAATTTTTAATTTTAAATTAATGAGATTCTCAACAGGTGTTTTTTTAAAGAATTCATAAACTGTTTTATCGTCTTCTGAGAAGCATCCTAATTTTTTAGCGAGAAGCAGAGTCTTTTCACGGGATGCAAAATCTTGCGCCCACCAGCAAGCAGCTGAACCGCTTTGAAGGATTGCTCTTTGAAAGAGCCCTCGTGACATTGGTGACATTAAATGATAAGACACGCTTCCAGCGCCGGCACTTTCACCGAATAAAGTAATATTTTCAGGATTGCCACCGAAATTCCCAATGTTAATTTTCACCCACTTAAGCGCTGCAACCTGGTCTTTCATTCCGGCGTTACCAGGTATATCTTCCGTATCAAGACATAGAAAACCTAGAGCTTCAAGCCTATAATTAAAAGTGACCAGGACCACTCCATGCCTAACAAGAAATTGAGGTCCGTAAAAATCATCATCGCCGCTTCCCCAAGCGTATCCACCTCCATGTATCCATACCATGACCGGTAGTAGCCGTTTAGGTTTTGTATCTGGTGTGTAGACATTGGCAAACAAACAATCTTCGCTCATATTGCTTAGGTCATGATTCACGATACTGAACTGAAAACATACAGGCCCAAACTCTTTGGCACTGCGTGTTCCTGTCCAGGGCTCTGCCGGTTGAGGTGCCTGAAATGATAATTAGAGAATATGCAAAATACTCATAATAATAACTAAATAAAATATAAATATAGTTTGGTAAAATTAAAATAGAGTTCCACTAATTATATCTTAGCTTCATAACATAGCTCTTACACATCACACACCACATCACATCAACAGCCTTTAATAGTCCACTGCTGGACATAGGCCTCTCCTTAGAAAGGAGGTTTTGGCCTACTATACCACGCTGGCCAGACGGGTTGGTATAGGGTTTGTATCAAGTTTTCTTTCTTTTTGCAGTGCTGGTGTTCTGCGTTGTTTTGCGACCTTAGTCGGCTCTTACGACACCCACGGGATGTATTGGGGTAATGACATTCCGTATTCTTAATCCGTCACTACACGGACTATACACATCTACCTACACCCACTTTCAAAACTTATGTACCCACAAGATAATTGTAACTTAATGATAATGTACTTCTGCAATTCTTTCTTGCAAAATAAAAAAAACGATTATTAATATTAATACATAATCATTTTATTTAGTAGGTGATTACAATCTCCCCGGAATTGAATGGCCGGGCATCGGTAGTCACCTATTTACCCAGGTGCAAAATGACGTGAGCCGGTTTCTAATTGATCTGATTTCCACTACGAATACTATACAATATAATAGCATCAAAAATAGCTCAGGTCACATTTTAGATTTATTCATCAGTAATACCGAATGTAAATTAGAGTCAGATATCGCGCTACTCCAGCCTGACAATCACCATCCCCCATTTTCTATCTTGACCTCACTGGAAACACAGTACACACCTATGAAGCGTCCAAGCCTATATAAATATAATTATTATAAAGCTAACTACCAAGGAATAATTGCGGAACTAAATAAAGTAAATTGGAATAAACTACAAGGTGTCTCAAAAGAAAGTTTATATTTAGTAGATCGATTAAAAAAAAAGTAAGCAGTGTATCGAAAAAATGTTTATTAATTATTAAAGTACACAATATGGGCATTTATTTCTTAAAAATAATATCCTCCAAATGTAGACCCTCGCGTTCGCGGCACTCATTTAATCGAACAGTAAAATTACTTATGACGGCACGGCAGGTTGACTAAGTGAGGGCTGCCATTTCGTGACGGATATTTTCTTTGAAATGCGCCAGGGAAGTCGGTTTATTCGCGTAAACTTTAGATTTAAGATAACCCCATAGGAAAAAGTCCATAGGGGTTAAATGAGGACTGCGTGGAGGCCAATTTATGTCACCTCTCCTGGAGATCAATTTTCCTGAGAAAATTTCACGAACTCGTGGCAGAGACGTATTAGACGTGTGTGACGTTGCTCCGTCCTGCTGGAACCATGTTCTTTAGTTATGGCCAGGCAAGTTTTGCAGTTCAGGCGCCAAGAAGTCGTTTAACATCTCCACATAACGCTCTGAATTCACTGTAACTGCACGCCCCCTTTCGTCTTCAAAAAAGTAAGGGCCGATAATTCCTCGCTCCGACATCGCAGCCCATACTTTCACTTTAGGCAATTCTGCTTATTTACGTGTCCATTAACATGAAAATGAGCTTCATCCGAAAACAAGATGTTGGTAAACGTTGAAAAGCGCTCAATCACCTGATTTACGAAGACAAGCCTCTGACTGGCATCTTGGGGCTTTAATTCTTGCACCAATTGAATTTTGTAGGGGTGCAGCTTTAGGTCTTTGTGCAAAATGCGGTGTAATGATGGTCTATGCACATTTAAAGCACTTGCGCGCTTCCGAATTGAAAGGTTCGGGTCGTCACGAACAGACTGATTAACACTCACCACGTTTTCTACCGTTCTTGATGACCTTGGTCTCCCGGATTTTGGTTTTTCCAGCGTTGTACCGGTCTCTTCAAACTTATTGACTCATTTTCGAATAAGAGAAATGCTTGACGCATCATTTAAATGGCTAAAACCTCGAATACTACAGAACCTTCTACGCGCTACAGTAGCCGAATCACCGTTTTTGTAAAACTCTCGCACGCACAACGTACGGTCTGCTCCCGAGAAACGCTCCATAGCAACTGAATTCACAAGAGCCAGGCTACCGATTGACATAACCCCCGCGCCCCTCGGACTCGTTGTGTTCACGCAGTAAGCTAAATAAATATAAACTTTCTTTTGAGACACCTTGTATTTGTGCATCTCACCAGTGACCGAGCACTAGATGTTTTTTATGAATATTTATACGGTATTATTCGATTACATGTTCCACTCACGCGACGTAGATCAACTGCATTCCTGTGTGGTTTAGTGCTCCTCTCATTAAAATTTTCAAACAGAAGGAAAGTGCTTGGGTAGGACTAGGGAAAACTTCGAAAACTATCAGATTATGAAAAATTCTCCATCTACCGAAAACATTTTAAACAACTATCTGAACAATGTTTCAATAAGCATATATCATCTATTGAAGATAGCATACCTCTCAATGTTAAGCACTTTTGGTCGTACATTTCTAGACGCAGGAAGGACAGCGGACTTCCAGCTAGCATGTGTTATAAAAATATATTTTCTAACAATCCCAAAGAAATCTGCTCATTATTTTCCAGATTCTTTAGCTCGGTTTATGAATCATCTACCTTTGATGCTCAGAATTGGTCACCCCCCAATGAACTTGCTGAGATATCTTCTTGCATATCTGACATCTATCTCGATAAGAATGTCATATTAAAGTCACTGTTGTCATTAGATCTAACTAAGGGGCCAGGTCCGGATGGTCTCCCACCTATGCTCTTTAAGCACACAGCGCAATGTATCCACATTCCGTTGTATATACTTTTTAACAAATGTCTCAAGGAAGGGGTATTTCCGTGCATTTGGAAAAGAGCTTTCATTATACCAGTTCATAAAAGTGGAGACAAAGGTAATATAGAAAACTACAGGCCCATATCCATACTGTCCACTTTATCTAAGCTTTTTGAAAGTCTAGTACACGGTCAATTATTTCCTCAACTGAGTCATCTTATTATTCCCGAACAACATGGATTTGTTAAATCCCGTTCTACTACTACAAATTTAATGATCTTTACCCAATTTTTATTTGAGAACTTAGATAAGGGCATCCAGGTTGATGCTGTGTACACTGACTTTCAAAAAGCTTAGATAAGGTGGACCACAAATTGCTTTTGGAGAAAATTGCCTTCAACGGCATCAGAGGTAATTTACTTAGGTGGTTCACATCATACATATTCCGTAGAACTCAAAAGGTCGTTATCAATGGTTATGAGTCCGATTTTATGGTCGTCGAGTCCGGAGTGCCCCAGGGCTCAGTACTAGGCCCTTTGCTTTTTATTTTGTTTATAAACGATATTAGTACCTGTATAGTTAACTCTAAATTCCTAATGTATGCTGACGATATGAAAATCTATAAGACCTGCACGAATACTCAGGATTGCATACTATTGCAAGAAGATCTTTGTAGGCTCTCACAGTGCTGTGTTGTTAATAAACTGCACCTTAGTTTACCAAAATGTCACTTTATATCCTTCACAAAGAACAAAAGTCCTATTAACTTTCCATATACACTGAATGACACAAATCTAAGGAAAAACGAATGTACTCGAAAGTAAAAAAGCCTTTCGGATGTATGGTTGCGTCATGCGCTCTTGTAAAGACTTCAAAAAGCCCACTACCTACCTTTTCCTATATAAAGCACAAGTCCGTTTCCAGTTAGAGTATGCTGTACCCATTTGGAGTCCCTTTTATAAGAAATATAAGCAGAGGATTGAAATGGTACAGAAAAAATTTCTTCGTACTACTTATTACAAATGTTTTCATACTAAGATTCCTTATGTGGATCTTCTGAAACATTTTAAGCTCTTAAGCTTGGAGCATAGACCGTCTTACTAATGTTAATGATGCTGTACGGCATATGCAATAACAAGTATAATTGTACGGAATTATCAAACAGGCTATGTTATGTAGTACCCAGGTCTGTCATTCGGAGGGAGGTGCGCGTATTCTACACGGAAAAGTGTAGAACTAATGCTGGAGAGCGTGCACCTCTTCGCCGATTATTGACAACGTACAACTCACATGTTACGAGCTTGGATATTTTCGCTCTCACTCACTCTAAATTTAAAAAAATTGCCAATGAAATTCTTGCTGATCTTTGATAACATTCTCAGTTAACTACCTACCTATCTTATATTATTACATATAATTCACCGATTCTGTATAGTGCGCGTCCGTTACCTTTTCTACTTCATCTATAAACTCGTGGACAATAGTGTGGGTTATACGTTTTAAATATGTAAATGCTAAATCAATTGTAAAGACTGCATTGTATAACTGTTTTTGTCCCTAATAAATAAAATGAAATTAAATAAAATAAATACCTAGCTCTATCATCACGTCAGCTTCGAGATGCCAAATTAAAATGATTAAAACTCGTACATCAGGGATGTTCGACTTCGGTTTCGAACCTCCAATTGATTTTACACCTCCGACTACGACTGTGGCTCCGATAAGTTTGAATCGGAGCTATGACGAAGCTTGAAGGTAACGAGCACGTCGTGTAGGACTACGCACCGTGCGTCGGAACACGCTCATGGTCGACGCACGGTGTCCATTGACCCCTTATTAAAACTGTATTATCTTGTTTCTAATTAAGTATTTTTCAAATATATATAATAGTGAAGCTTTTCGCTCGTGTTTTTAACCGTCTTAAAAAAAGTAGGAAGTTCTCAATTCAAATTTTTATGTTTGTTATTTCAGAACTATCTAATTTATGAATCGATTTGAAAAATTTTTTTTTTGTTTTGGGAGGGTAGGTATACTTTCCGTTGGATCCGACTTAAATAAATATCTGAATCACTATTGACAATAAAATGGAATTTTAAGAAATCTTGTTAAAGAAGATACTCAAAAAAATTATGTTACCTACCTACGTAATGCGTACAATAACTTTTTGCTTCTATTAAAATATTTTGATTGATTTCTAAACGAGTCTTGTTTAATATTACTTTTGGAATTTTAATACATTCTGTACAAACCTACTATAAAATATTCAACGAAAAATTATTAGTTATTTATAAATAAAAATTAGCTTATTTATAAATAAAAATTAACACATTTGCTTACTAATTATAATTTTTATTTATAAATAACTTTTGACCTTTACACACTCAAGTAATCGAATTAAAGTGGATATTAAAATAACAGAATACAAAAAGTAGACATAAAAAAGTATTTTATTATTATTTAGGCAGATTAATTATTATTAGAAAACAAACACTTATAACATTATAGGAACCTAAAATATTGTAGGTTCAGATGAAGACGAGATGCCAAAAAGACTTAAAGTGAAGTTAAAGAAAGAAGATAAGAATATATTTTGCATTATCACGTTGAATAAAAATACCAATTCAAGAAGAGGCGCAATATTCAGAGAAAGGCTCATGGCAGATCTCGATCATTCGCTTTGAATTTTTTTAAAGCGATTTTTAAGCTTGACTTACACAAACCTAGCGTCATCATCATCATCAAATGAAATGATGAAATGATATTTATTTCTGCAAGTAAATCTTTTCAGATATTTTAACAAGTCGGACGTTACGGCTAGAATTGAGCGGCATTTCCTAAGACTCTGGGAAGAAACGCCGAAACCAACCACAGAGGTGTCTCTTTTTTTAAGTCAGTGTACAGTGTTAAAGAGAACTATTTGAGTGCAGTATAAGGTCTGGGGTTGGCCTTTTGAAGAAAGGACCATAGTATTGAGTCGGCCCATCCATACAGACGGCATACGAGCCCCAGCCATTGTGTAGCTGTACCGATATAGTTAGGATCATCAACCCGGAACACGACACTACCGCCTGCAGGACACTTGAGTAGGCCGTGGAAATACTCAAAACCACCAGGAAGTTACTAAAATATGAACTAACATTACAAGCCCACGTCATACTCACATTTACATACACCAAAGAATATGCTATACAATTCAATTTCAAATAAACAAATTGAAAACAAACGAAATACGAATTACAACAAAAAATTAAATGTTCATTACTTTTAAATGTGGGAATGAGCAGCATCAACCCCAAGCAAATTTGTCATTTAAATAATCTGTAACCGGGTAGTAAGTACTTTGTTAATACCTGATTCATGAAATTTGCTTTTATTGTAGAATCGCACACCCTGACATCTAGAAGACTTGGTTACTTTTTGTAGTCTAGTCGTTGGCAACACGAGTTTATCTTTATTTCTAGTGTTTATATTATTAATGTCGCTAAATTTTGTGAATAAATGAATATTTTTCTTAACATGCACTAAATTTTCATATATGTATTTTGAGATGCGACTGTCATAATACCAATTTCTTTAAGCTTATCCGTCATTGACTGCCTAAAACTGAGATAAAAAATTGCGCGAATTGCTCTCTTTGGCGACACAAAGATATTCAGAATATCAGCAGCATTTCTAAGCCAAAATACCGTATGACATTACACTATGAAAATAGCTAAAATATACCAGTCTAGCTGTTTCTACATCGGTTAATTGACGAATTTTACAAACCGCGTATGGTGCAGAGCCGAGTCTATTCGACAATCCATCAATGTGTGGGCCCCACTGCAATTTAGAGTCTAGAGTTATACCCAAAAACTTACCGGTGTCCACAAGATCCAACCTTTCCATTTATCAGAACAGGTGTAAAAAATCTAATACATTTAGTTTTTCTCGTTTAAAAGTAAGTTATTAACGTTGAACAAGTTCACGACCTTGGAGAGAGTGTTACTTACATCGTCAGTAACTGATTGTTGTCGTTTCAGTTTAAATAAAAGTAAAGTATCATCCGCAAACAGCACTATCTCCATCATCATCATCAGCCTATTGCAGTCCACTGCTGGACATAGGCCTCTCCCATTGCACGCCACTTAGATCGATAAACTAAGTTAAACCTAGCGTACAGATCCCAAAGCAGTCCAAAATATAACTAGCTATAGAATGTAATCAGAGAGGCATATTCTATTACTTATTTGGTCCGTGTGGTGACGGATGAAGAATACGGAGTGTCACCACTCCTATTCATTCCGGTGGGTGTCGTAAGAGACGACTAAGGGAGCAAACTCTGCAGGATAACGACACTGCAAAGCGAAAGATAACTTGAAACAAACCCTATACCGACTCGTCTGGCCAGCGTGGTGTAGTAGGCTAAAACCTCCTGTCTAAGGAGATCCTTACACCCAGCCGTGGACTATGAAGGGTTGTAGATGATTCGTCTTGTTTGCGGGTTTCCGTAGAATCACCAGTCTACATTAAAAATGTCACAGTTTCAAAGTGTGAAAATATTTACGTATGTAAGTATTTCGTATACCAAACATGTGAGTCTCCCCTCCACGTGAAAATCTTTGGATAGGATAGGAAAATAATCTTATCCTAACATAAATACTATCCTATAGCATCGTATACGATTGTGATGGCATTTTTTTTTTTTTTCAGAAATTAACATTACTAAAACTAAAAATACATTTGAAAAGTAAAAACGTTTCTACGATCAGACACGACATACCAGGTATCACATGAGCCGTTTTTTTTTTTTTTTTTTAGCGTGTTGAAATCCCCTCGGACCGTCACCCCACCGGGGTTTGCGGCGGGGTGGTGTGTCGGACTCGGACCGACTAAAACCACACGGTGTGCCACTCTGCGCCTGTAATAGGAGGGATCCGGGAACACATGAGCCTAACTCAAGGAGTGTAGCAACAACTAAATTTTTCCACTATCTTCACTAGCCTAATATTGTTACCAAAATTACACAGACGTATAAAGTTTCACACAAAAAAAGACGGTACGACAAAAAAGTAGATTAAAATTCACTTCCAACATTTTTTTAAAGTTAACCTTAGAAAAGTATATAACAACTATTTAAAAGTCATAACAATTTTGCATCGGCCTCTCAATTAACCCGTATTCAACGAAGATTACTTAAATATACCTTAAATCTGAGATCTCCAAGCGGTGGTCGAGCATACGGTATACCCTTGAAACTGTAATATATTCCACCATACTCATTCGTCACCTCCTCACCTTCCAATAATCCTTCGTTGATTTTAACTAGCACCATTATATTCACTTAAGTATATCTATTAAGTAAATACACAACAGAACTGAATGCCGACTAATTCAAAGCGACCTGTGTCTTATTATATATATAAGCGAAGTTTAAGCAGCAACTCCACCTCTATTGGGCTTTAACTTGTACAGTCACGAGCATAAATATCTTGTAATGGATGATTTCTATACAAAAATAAGTTTAATTTAACCTTATCACAACAATCATATACGATCCATAATATTTTATACCATTTGTTGTTTTTTTAAAACAAAATGATAATAAGATTAACGAAAAACAAATTTTCATGTGTGTGACAGTTAATATTTAACTTCATCAATCATCAATCATCATCAACAGCCTATACTAGTCCACTGCTGGACACAGGCCTCTCCTTATTATATATTTATCTTAGTTGTAACTAAATTCTCTAATCTACATAGCTGAAGTTTCAGGCAGAGGAGTATTTGGAGAGATGCTAAAACACCTGACCCGGTACGGGATACTTTAGTTGTTACAAGGATTCGGCACCTGGGTCTGAAGATAACTCTCAAGAAATTAGCCTAATAGTTTACTGAGAGGTTCAGGAATACACCTGCGGCAAGTAGCCTTACTATGTGAGGTATTCGCATCGGCATTGAGTCCTCGATGGGATGTGCAGGGCTGGTACTTGCTCACCAAAGGGACTTCAGAACTTACTAACGGCGTCTGACCAACTGATTCAGGCATATGGCAGCCACCACTGCTTCGTTTTGCGAGAAATGTGTATGATTCAACGGGAAGATATTTGGGACTTTGTGTGATTCACAAATTGTTGTTCTAAGTCTGGGTGTTCTGTGTCCGTTTAATGTACTTTTGTAAAGTCCCCCAGGATATATTCCAGGACATATTAAAAAAAAAGAAAACGAGGGTGAACAGCTTCTAGTTGGTCAGTGACAAAAGATGCTCCAAGCGCCGCAGACTGCAATATGATCCTTAGTCTACATAAGAGCTTGACTGACGTTGAAGGCGTATATGGGATCAAGTGTTGTTGAACAGGTCGCCAAGTTTAAGGAGGTTCATAGGGATTCTCTGATATCAGGACCCCGTGAGGCAGTTAGATGTGAGTTTTAGTCACCGACTATTATACATGTTTTGATTTGAATAAGACTTCGTATTAGTCCCAGTGTTTACCCACAGAATCTATGCATTTAAACAGGCAGTTTAAATACATAGATTCGGTGAAGCCATAGTTTTGAAGAACACTTTGTATAAGAGGACAATGGAACATGTTGCTCAAAACATTCATACAATCCGGTTAAAGAATGGAAGAGAAAGTTAGATGAGAAGAAAGATATATCATAAAGGGGAGTTAACAGAAGAAAAGGGATTAAAGGGATATACTAATACGGATTGATTTGGTCCCAGGCGAACATAGTGGAATAAACCGTAAGCATTCCTCGAGCGCTAGCTGGCTTTTGTCGGTTTGAAGGCCGAGTTCTCAAACAATTTTAGTTATATTATTAGACTCGGCGTAATCTGACACGTTCCAAAGGGTCTGGCTGATTTCTTTCATGAGCGTCAGCCTGTCCGACTTGGGGTCGGGCATGTTATTGTTTTCAGACGACACAGAAGAAGAAGACAAATTGGGGTAAACAAAACAGATAGGGCGGGGAAGCCAGGTTAAGATCTAATCTCAGATGGGTAACGGGATTGAGCGTTCTCTTTAATTTCAGGTGCGCAAGGTGCTGGAGGTTCCACATCATCATCTTCCTACCCTTTTCTTATATTTATTTGGGGTCTATGCAACGAGTTTTCTTATTCCGTTCTCCTTGACCACTTGACATCATCTTTCATTAATGTAATATAATATAATATTCTACAACATTCACACAACGCCATCTAGTCCGAAACTAAGCAGAGCTTGAACTATGAGTACTAGACAACTGATATAAATACATATATACTTTTTTTTTGTAAATACATACATATTATACATAGAAACACCCAGACCAAATCAAACATTAAATGTTCGTGCACTAAATGTTTGACTTGAGTCGAATCCGCGGCCTTTGGAATAGCAGTCAGTTACACAAACCGCTACACCATCCAGTCGCTAATTAATTGCGAAATACTTTTGGCTTTTTGTTTTATGGATCATGGTCACGCTATCTCTTCTTGGGTATATAATATAATAATCTTCGTACATAGCAAAAAGCAAAATGATCTATCACTTTGAGGCACTCAACATCACTGTTCGTGAAGTCATACCGTAAAGTGTATCCAGTTTAAAAATAAATATTATAAAAGTGGTCCTGTCGTGTGGTGCTTCAGTGAGGAAGTCGTAGCGTTAACATTACAAATCATCAGATCACGTCAACAGTCTTTAATAGTCCACTGCTGGACATAGGCCTCTCATTAGAAAGGAGGTCTTGGCCTACCATACCACACTGGCCAGACGGGTTGGTATAGACTATAGGGTTTGTGACAAGTTTTGCTTCTAGTTTACTCACTTAGTCGGCCCTTACGACACCCACGGGATGAATAGAGATGACATTTAGTATTCTTAATCCGTCACCACACGGATATTACAAATCCCGTCTTGTATTCAGATGGCACGTTAAGATTAAACCCACAGATATATAATAATGAGGTCAAGTAATAAAATGAAAAAAAAAAAAAAAAATACTTTATTTTAGTTTTTATTTTCTAATAAACCACATAAAAATAATGTCTAAGGCCTTGAAAGAAAACGCTGAGCCATTTTAGTTAATGTAGATACTGCTAGCATGTTATAAAAGCATAATTATTTTAATGATCCTTGTTTAACATTGTAAATGCAATGTCAGTTTGTTTGTTTGTTGCGCTGTCAAATGCCTAAACTACTTCACCAAACATGTTAAAATTTTATATGCACGTTGACAGGGATACAGAAAGGACGGGGGGGGGGGGAGGGTTTATACGGTATACTTTAACCCGGCAATCTCATGCGCGACCGTCCCGCGGGGTGACAGACAGTGGTGGGGGCGAGGTAGCGCGTCATTCTAGCACACGGCTACACACGAAGAGAAGTGTGCCCTTCCCCGCTACACCACCCGCTACCCGCTGACATCTTGAGTACCTCATCCCCGCCACCGTCTGTCACCCGCAGGACAGTCGCGCACGACGTTGATGGACTATGGCGATGCGCCCCGCCTTTCACGGGTGCAATGTAGATACTACTCATGTGGCTACGACTCGACGGTCGTTAGGGGGCCTATTAAACCTCTAATATCTTCTAAAGTATTCATTTTAATGATATGCTGTTAAGAGTAATTTTAATCTACATATACTATGGGACATTTCGCCTTCCTCGTCCGTAGAGCGTCCGCGTTTCCGGATCCCCACTTCCATTAAGTCCAGTGCGACGACAGACGCACTGGACTTACCTCCTCCTCCTCCTTACTTGCCTCCGTCTGACGGAATTGCGGACCTGGAGCGCAAGCGTTCCGATGTTCTTCGGCTCCCAGGAGTAAAATTAACTTCTGGGAGCCCTACCGAAATAGGCGTCTTAGGCACAAGTTCCTTCTCGTGGGACCAGAAGTCGTCTGCCTTCCTAGGCTTCTCCTTCTTACTCTTCCCATTTATCCATAATTAAATCCTTGATATTTATCCATAATTAACCTCCTCTTTTGTTTCCTTGAAGTCGGTTAAAAAATGTCATTATGCAGAGTTAATCAAATTAAATCATTTTATTTGCTGAGCTGAGATGAAGTTATAGCATATAATACATGGGTGCGATGTAATATAACCTCTTAAAGGTGTGCAAATATTTAGACATAGGTAGTTAAAAGATTATTATCTAAACATGCAACATGACAAATATAATTTAAAGAATATATTCATAACATAAATTTGTCGCGACGTTAATGTCAGAGAATTAATAATGTCAAGAGTATTATAAATGTTACAAAGTCAGATATATTAATCAAAACATTTTTTTTTAATAATGTGTCAGTGTTATGTTTAAAATAGAGAACAAAAATCTTAATTAACATGTTATAATATGTATGTATAACATGTTAAACGTAAATAACGTTAACAATGTGTAATACAAAATGCATATCCTATTTGCGCGACATGCGATACTTAAGGTAATTGAACAGTCGCAAATTATGTTTATTGTGTCACAGCAATCAGGAAATTAAGATGCTCGTTAAATGACTTTGCTTTACTCGTCAATGATGTGTGTGGAATAAATTGTCTGAGGTATTTCTGGACCTGAAGGTCGAACCTTCAAACCTTCACGGTAAGAGAAAATACATTTTTTTTTTTTTGGAAAATACTACTCCCGCACTAGGAATATATCCTGTGTCGCGGGCGACATTATAAACAATCATGAAACGGACACATAGAACACCCAGACTCAGAACAACAATTCGTGGATCACACAAAGTTTTGATTGAATGAGTGGCAAGGTGACCGCTTAAACCATTACGCCATACGGGCAGTATATTGTGTAATGAGCACGATTATTCTTTGATAATTCTGTGTAATTTATCAAAAATATGTGTGTATTTAGAAATATGTGTGGCTGTAGACAGCAAGAGGGGCAACCTGTTCGTCTAGTGTTTTTATCTAAAACTATTGACCATGAAGATGGTCGACTCGCAGTCAGTTAAAGTTTTCACGATACCATATACATTGGTGAAAACCGCATTAAAATCCGTTGCTTAGTTTAAAATATCTAAGCGTATAAGAAAAAAAGCGACTGTACATACTCTTACTTATTAAAAACTAAATTAGTATAATTTCTGTCCGTACTCTTCGTATATACTTACTATTCCAGAAATTTATCTACTCCGCATCAGGTGCTTTGCCAGATATGATCTTATTACCAAAGCTCAAGAACTCTTGATCCTCGATAGTTTACGTACTCCATTTTGCACCCAGACATCTGGAGTTGGGCATCTGAATTTTTGTAGAAAGTTTTGAAGTTAGGAAAAAATATAGAAACTAAGTACCTATTAAAGTCTACTGTAATAATTTATGTGGTGACGGATTAAGAATAAGGAATATCACCACCCCTGTTTATAACGTGGGTGTCGTAAGAGCCGACTAAGGGAGAAAACTAAGCAAGACAACAGCACTGCAAAGAGAAGAAAAACTTGAAACAAACCCTATACCAACCCGTCTGGCCAGAGTTTTATAGTAGGCCATAACCTCCTTTCTAAGGAGTCTTATGTCCAGCAGTGGACTATTAATGCTGTTCAGAATGATGATGATCTCTTCATCAGAAATGCATCGGCACAAATGTGCTGAGTCTACTAGAATGAAGGCACGGCTTCACAGAAAACTGGTGTTAAGATTTTTTTCTTTGCTTTTCATCATGTCAGAAGGTTACCCGAGGCTCTAACTTAAACTCTCGGGCACTTTAAGACAGCAGCGCACTTGTATCTTAGTTGCAGCTGCCAATTGCGATCGTCTGCTCGTTTGGCTCCTATAAATCCTATATCCTTACAGACTTGGTAAGGAATCACACATCCATACCTTGGTAAGGAATTACATATCCTATATCCTTACAGACAGACTAATGTCTGTGGGGCAGTTATAAGGGATTTTCTTTCTAGGTTAGACCTGGTTCCCCGGCTACTGGTGGTGGTGGTGTCAGAGGGGATTTCCGCACGGAAAAATAGGCAGTTAAAAGGTTACTATGTCAAAAAAGGTAATAATTAACCTATTAATTTCAAATTAATTTCTTCAATCAAATATAGAAATCTCATAGATGACCATAGTCTGGTGTAAGATACATTTTCCTAACTGACAAGACACGTAAAGCCGGTGCTTTTATAGGATTACTAAACTATCGTGACCGCACACAGCTGTTTTGTCACTCTCGTCCGGTTCATATTATGTGAAACAAAAATTTCACCATTTGAAGTGTGCGCGCATATAGCATCTACATGTCCGTAGACTGTCGAAGGATTTGTTGCAATAATAATACTAAGTAAAAAACAATAGTGAGTTTTAGTTTTTTTTATTTGTCTTATAATCTATGTTTACGAGGTCTCCATAGCAGTGGCTGTTTCCTCCGTGTACTTGCCCTTGTCCTTGCCGAGGGCTGCCAACCTGCCCTTTGCTCTGCGGTCGAGGATCGATTTACGGTCCTTGTTCATCTTCAGTTTGACAATCACGCACTAAAAACCATAAGAAGAATTTGTAACGTGTGAGGCAGCAATGTGTGTACAAAATGGATGGAATAAACTATCAGAGCCATGGAAGTGTTTCACCAGTAACTGTGAATCTGTCAAACAATTGCAAAGCAGAAGTAGGACAAGAAACACAGTGTAAGTAAAATGTTATCATCATTTAGAAGATAAAGATCTTAAAAATAAATATCACATCTTGCTGCGGATGTTTTCCAAAGGAAATTTAATATTAAATGATTTTTATGCAGCATGCCTCCTGTCTCTGCACATATCCAGAGCCAGTGGACTGATCATGCAATTTGGCGAAGTATGCGAGTTGCAACTTACATGTGATTGTGATTTCATTAAGGACAAAGATGCGGATGTAAAATTAATCAAAATTATTTTTATCAAAGATTACAACCTTTTTTTTATTAGATTTAGACCTTTCGCGAGTCTTGCGCTAGCGTAATAATAATAATTAAGTAACAGTGATTCTGTAAATCAGTCACAGGTGTGATAGTGGTTTTTAAATCATGTGATTTATCACATGTGATTGTGTTTTTACCTGGTTTTAATAAGGTGTCAGCTAGCTCAAGAACTTACCGTAGTTGAAGGCATAACAACTAACAAAGATTGAGAGAACATGAAGTTTTCTTTTGTATCTATCTATAGATCTAATAAATTAAAAATTAATGTTTTTTGGACGATTGTCTCACCTTTGAAGGGTGGATGCCGACGTATGCACTGGCACCGTTAGCCTTCTCACGTTGGATCCTCTCAATATAGACAACAAACTTCTTACGGTACACTTGCACTACTTTGCCAACCTGCTGGCCTTTGTAGTGACCACGGACAACCTGTAACAGAATACAACACAAATTGGTGAGTAATTGGATTGTGTGAAAGCTTGTTACTCAAGTATAAGATTTACTTGATAGAACTGTTTTAGTAAGAGACCCCTTAGCTTATCAGTACAGATGAGTTTGCAATAATTTTATACAACTTTTATATATTTTTGTATTAATTAAACTTGTAAGTATTATAACTGCTTTTCATAATCACTTATAAGTTTCTCAAAGACAATGAATACAGCATTTTTAACTAATTATAGTTGAATTAAAAAACGGCACATCAACAAAATTGTATAATTTGTATTTTAAAAAAAGGTACTTCTAATCTATCCAATGAGAAAGGATCTCATAATACTGTCATAATATGCACAATACTGCTTTCTTTGAACTCTTTGTAGTATTTATAGTCACGGATGTAGTGGTTTAAGCGGTCGCCACGCCGCTTCCTACTACGATGAGTGTTGTGGGTTCAAACCCCACATGGAACGACACTTTGTGTGATCCACAAATTGTTGTTTTGAGTCTGGGTGTTCTTTGTGTCCGTTTTATGTATGTTTGTAAAGTCCCCCGCGACACAGGATATATTCCTAGTGAGGTAGTACATGAGTAATGCCTGTAACTGTTGCATCAGGAGGGTCCTAGATAAGTCTGACAATAGTCAGGTATCCCCTGTATGTACTGTATACTTTATTTATGAAGTTCAATCCATACTAATATTATAAATGAGTCTGTCTTTCTGTCTGTTACCTCTTCAATGTTAAACCACTAAGCCGAAGTGAAAAATGAAATTTGGTATTGAGATAATCAGAGTCCCAGTAAAGGACATACGGTAGTTTTTATCAAAGAAATCATACTCTAAGGGGGTGGAAGTTTGTATGAGGAATCAAGAACCACTGAACCAATTTAGATGAAATTTAGTATGGAGATAGATTGAGTTGTGGGGAGGGATAAATAATAATGATTGTCGTCGAAATCTTCCCTTTCTTGAGTACTTGGTTTCCTGAAGAAAGCGATGCTACTTTTTATCACAATAAGTAAACTAACATTTACGCAGGCAGAGCCACAGACTAAGGCTAGTATACTATAAGAGCAATAAGTTGTGGAAAAACATCCATGTGTTTCTAGCTCTGGAATGTTTTCTTTAAAAATATGACCATGATTGTACGACTTGTTTGCCATAGGGAAGAAATATTTTTCTTTCTCATGTACACATGTCCCACACTATGTTTTTGAAGTTACTCAGCTTTCTGGCTAATTTCTCCTCACAAGACAATACGAGCCAATATGATATTACTTTATTATCCATTTCAATAATTTCACTTTAGACAAAGAAACCTATTGTTGCAGTGAACTTTTATGTGTTGATTTAAAGTTCTTGTTTATTTAAAGAAAGAAATGACCGTCAATATTTTGGAATAATTTTGTACAATTATTAAGGTATTTATACTTAACTGTATCATTAATTTCACTGCTATATTTTAATCAGAATAACATATTTGAGCGGCATACAGGGTATGTTTATCAAAAATGACTCAACCCACATAAAATATAGGTGATTATTCTATTAATTTGTATTTCATCAAGGATTTAAGATATTTTTAATGACAAGTAGGATTCAAGCATGGGGGATTGATTTATGATTAGTAATTTGTCTACTTTATCTAGTAATAAATGCGACTTACGACAATAAGTGGTAGTAATAATAATTTTCTAATGAATTGATCGACTTGATAAGCATAAGAGGCCCCAACTAAAATCCTAACCTACATCAATGTTTGTAGCGTAAAACAATCAGAGCCATCATTGCACCAGGGCACAGACTAGCTGAAGGGCATAGGACTCATAAGAGAAAACCTCTAACTCATCCGCATCCCGACAACAATCGTCCGCAGTCTAAGAATGGTTTGTCTTCATCACACTGTTCAACACATACAAACATAACCTAACACGTAGAAGAAACGAAATACAAACAGATTAATGTTGTAGCATACCTGGACTTCGTCATCTTTCCGGATTGGCATAGACTTTACGTTGAACTTCTGTCTTAACTCCTTTGAAAGGGGAGCTGACATAAGAACTCGCCTGATGTGTGAAGGTGCGCTGAAGTGACGCTTCCTATTTTTCCTCCTTGAGGATGTGACTTGCTTATTGTACTTCATCCTGACGCTCTTCGCTGAAAAGCCAAAATACCACGTTTAATTCACGATGTAATTATGTTTAGGTTACTGTTTCCTGCGTGCTAAATGTCAAGTTGCCGCGACGATAATTTAGATAAACAATAATAGTGAAACATAAAATATCCATTATTTCTAAAGCAGAATAAAGTATAATATTAAAAGGTCACAATTATTTTCAATGAAATAACGACAAACGCTTGATTTTCATGGATTAATCAACGTACCCAAAACAACTCGGGCAAAGAACCGAAATAAAAAGAATTTTTAACTAGTGTTGCCATTTTACTACTACTGTCAAACTAACGATAGTATATTAAGTAAAATCGTGTATTGACATCTTTTTGAAGCGTAGAGGAATAAAAATTACTATTTTTTGTTAAATTAACCAACTTCAAAAGTGAAAAATTTTTTCATTTTAAATCAAATAATTTGAATTTAGGGCACGGTGTTGGTTCTGTTTTAGTCCAAAACTGTCTAATATCGACTATAAAATAGAAAATTCTAATGACGATTAGTATTCTGTAGAGCTAAGGTTATTTTCATTTTGTAGTAATGTAACTAAATCTAGTTGATAATGTTTATTTTTTTGTCAAAAGCTTAATTTCTTTGGACGTATAATCAATAAATATTTTGTTTACATTTGTTCTCAACAACGTACGTGATTTTATCACAGATCACTTCAAAGGAAGGGTAGAAGAAATGATTTATTGTTGTGCTGCTCCTGAAATTGTATTAATTTGACTTACTTTATTTCATGATTCATAATAACTACTGAATGTTTAAGCAGATTTGGATGCCTAAGGTATTTTCAGACTCCTTAACCCGCCTGGATTTATGAAAAGAGCGTGGTTAGAGTAATCGCATATTGTGTCAATATCTGGCCACATTTTGATAATAATATAAAAACATTTATTTTTTATGGAATTTTACTTTTACTTGTGCTGTAAGACATTGCTTTTAACCAAAATTGACGCACTTGACTGGTATCTATTGCCGAAATTACTCTTTAAGCAAGTAAAAAGGGGGGAGGGGGGGGGGGTTTGTATAGGAAATCAATAAAGGCTGAACCGATTTAGATGAAATTTGGTTGTTGGGGAGTTGCAGGGAAGGATAAATAATAATTTTTATCCATTAACGGTGTACAAAAAATACTCAATTTTACAGATTCTGTTGTTCAACTACACAAGTTTTCATGAAGGAGCACAAAACTTGATTCAGACTTGAGACATTATTAAAAGTTGAGAAAGGGAGTGTTGCCACTATCCAAAATGTGTATTGACAAAAACTTACTATATAAATTTATTCTAAAATTTTGACAACGTTGTTTTATAAAAAGGTATATTTATAAAACAACGTTGTCAAGTAAGTGTCAACTGTAAGTGGAAGCGAAACAGGCAACGAGAGAGATGGATGCCCGGTAGTTACCTCTGTCTCAGTTTTGCTCTGTGTTCAGCTAAGCTGCGATTGGCTACTTATTAACCCCTCATATTCCCAAGCCAACCACAGAACTCTACTAGAAAGAGATGGAGGCATCTACCTATTATTGATCTCTCTCGTAGCCCATATCTTGAAGATTGGATTATCTTGTTTACTCTATGCTTTTACTTACTTGAAAACTTTACTTTGCTTGAAAACGAAAGAAAACGATGATATCGTGAGTATTCGTGAGACTCAAATCCTGTTAATTATAAGAGTTTTTGAAAACCTCCATGTTTGTACTTCAACTCTAATAAGTAAATCAATAAGTATTTCTAAATAACAATATCATGGACCTATAAACTCTATTTTTACCCGACTGCGCCAGAAGGAGGGTTATGTTTTCAAGTGTAAATCTTAGATTGTAATATGTTATATAAATAATAAATACTTTATTTACATTACATATTTTAATGGTACAATATTTGCGATTGGAGAATCCTTTTAGGTAAGTAATACTTGTGTTGGGACACTCCGCTCTTCCAAAGTCAAATGTACATTTTTAGGTTATAAAAACATGTGTAATTGTGAAATGTGTGATGCGTCAATACACAATAATTGTGCACGTATACACTCACATAATTATCAATTATAAGTTATACCATTTCGTTTCTGTGGCCGTGGAAACCATGGACAGCTAGGGTGCTAATACTGTTACTAAGACATTTATAAAGCAACTAGGTCGTATACTCAGAAGTCAATGGGGACTCCACGCTCCGGTTCGTTCCTGGTGCAGAGGTTGGCTTTGATCAGGAAACGATCAGGGATGGGTTAATTTAATTGAAACTCTGTGTAAATTTGCTCTTTCATAAGTTCAATAAGTTCATTTCGTTGTTTTCTACTTAAAACATTATTAATAAATATAAGAATATTATTAAAATGTTCTTACTTAAAGTATTTCTCTCTCTACTATGTAAAGAATATGAAACAAATATGTATATAAAAACTCGATAACAGCTTATTATCTTCATTTAGACATTGGTCCCCTAATAAGACTGGAACAGTACCTACTTGATGATATTCATTACATTAAAAGGTGTTATAAATATTAAATCCACACATTTAGATCTACTATAAACATTTTCAGCTTCTTTAATTTATTGTAGACGAAAGAAGGTAGACGAAGGAACGGACGAAGGACGGAAGACGGTAAAGTCCATTTCACGAAAGAAGTCCCGCAGACGCAGCGCTGCATTCGCGCGACATAATGTTGCCAGGGTTAAATATGGGGAAATCAGGTGAAATAATTTATCGTTTACTTTTATTTTATTAACTATTACGACTCGAATATTTACATAAGAAAAAATTTTTTTTTAATATAATGTATTGTTAATATAGGTACCTGTTTGATGTAAATACTGCTGAGGTGAGTTTAGTGAAAAATAAATCTTCTGTAATTTCTAAAATATAAAAAGGAGATTTTAAATTAGAAAAATAAAATTACATTTAAAAGTTTTATTCAAAGTTTTATTGAATAATTATGATCGGTCATACTATGATCACTGTCAGAAGAGTGAATAGAAACAGAATCAGATTCTGTTTCACTATCACTAGCCGTGGATATAATAAATCGATACAATTCTTGATCCATAAGACCATCATTTTTTAAATATTCTTCCTCCAAATGCTCAAAAGCCTCTTCTGTTAGGCGTACAATTTCTTTTGGATCTTGGCCCACGTTTTTATCCGCTACCCGTCTTTTTACAAGGCTCCACATTTTTTCGATCGGATTGAGATCGCAGTGATAAGGCGGCAATTTTAGCAATTCATGATTGTGAGATTTTAATAATGCATCCACGGCATATGTAGGTGGACCTTTGTTTTGTTTAATTAATTCAAATAATATAGCTTTTGTCCAAGTATCTTCAAAATATACTGCCTTTTCTCGCAGCCATTCCTGCATGTCACGTTTAATACTTGACATTGTAGGTGCTTTATTTATTTGAGTGCAGTGATATGGAGCGTTGTCCATTACCACAAGTGACCTTTCAGGTAGGTTAGGAATGACTTTTTCACTCATCCATTTCAAAAAATTAGTTGAGTTCATGTCATTGTGGTAATCTGAGGATTTGGATCGGGATTTGAACATTAACAATGCACCATTAACAAAACCATTTTCAGTTCCCGCATGAGCAATTATCCAACGATTCCCTGATGACTCTGACACAAACATCCCAGGCTCTTTCTCACTTTGCCAGCAACTTTTGGCATGATAAGTGTTATGTATATAGGTCTCGTCTAAATACACTACAGGTTTTTTCTCCAAATTGCGATTTCTTTGGATTCTCTCCAAATATCTTGAACGCCATGCGATAATATCATAACGTTCCATAAGTAATTTGCGTTTCGATTGGCATCGCTTGTACTTGAAACCGATACTTTGCAATATACGGTGCAATGTTGTGATGCTTCCTTGAAAATGTATGTCTTCTCTGCAAAGCTGCACGTAATTTAGCCAATGTTGGTAATTCCTTCCTCACAACATAAAAACTGTGACTTTTTTGCCGTATAGCGCACAAATCAAATCCATCCAAGTCGAACTTTTTGGTATGCGGGCGACTCTTCCCTGGGGTGACGATAACTTTAGAAGTACTCGCCGCTGTTGCGCCTTCTTCTGTAATTCTCGTTACAGTTTTCTCTGACACACCTGCAATAAAATGAACAACTTTGAATTATTATTTTCGTATTTAATTACATTATTGTTGAAAATAACTTTACAATTTTTTGTTGTGTTGTGTTAATTCCTTTTAAAATTTTCCTTAATAAAAATCATGCATTAAAAAAACTTAATTCCAATCTGTAAAAAATCAATCGGGGGGAAAAAATCTGTATATGGCAGCCCCAAAATTTACCTGTCATGGCGGCGACTCTCTTGCGAACATTGTTTATTGGTATTAAAACACCGTGATTCTTGTGTTCCGCTTCACAGAACTCCTTCACCTTTAATATCATTTTGCGACCTGCACTTTTTACAACATTTGGCAACGTAAATAAACCTTATAACGCACTAATCCAATAATAAACTCACAAAATATCTACCACAACAAATGCTCCTTGATAACATCGACAAACGACAACATGACCGATCTCCCCATCTGCCAAATTTAGTTCCACAATTGTCCGCGGGACTTCTTTCGTGAAATAGACTTTAAGAAGACGCCAAGCTGTGACCAAAGAAAACTAAGCAAATTTGGCTTAGAAATTTGTTTCAGCGCCCTCTGTTGTCAGTACATCAAATCAAATAGTAAAGTAATAAGTTTTTGATTGCCTCCGTTCTGAGTAAAAACGGTTGGATGGAAAGTGTTTCATTTGTTAAAATATTTCCACAACGAAATATTTTCTATGACTGGAAGTGAACTATACACAAATTGAAATTGATATTAATTTTTGTGAGAAAAAATACTATTGCATTTCTTTGT